ACCAGATTTCCCTACCCCCTGCTCAATTGCATTCAGACGCTCTTTCATCTGTTTCAACTCCTTCTCCATATATTCAAACTTTTCATCCATCCTCGCTTCTACTCTATCTCCAATCACCTTCTCCATATTTGAAGACACTTCTTTGATGCTTGTATCAACGGTGTCAAACCTTGAGTTTAATTGCTTCACCAATTCCACGAATGTTTTAACAGACACATCTTCCAGAACATCGTCCTCCGCACTACCAACCTGGAACACATACACAAAAACGCATAAACAAGCTACCCAAACATCACATCAAATATAAACTCACTACATACCATATCATTTACCTTTTCTTTCTTCTTCTTCTTCTTCTTCTTCTTTTCTGCATCTCCTTCACCAGATTCAACACCATCACTGTTGATCACATCCTTGACATTGTGGACTTTCTGCCTCTTTGCAGGAGATTCAGAGTCACCCGCTGCATTAGAATTTACATTTTTCCTCTTCTTCTCAGTCTTCTTCACATCCCAATATCCGTTAACAAACCTATCCTCATGTATATCTCGGATCAAATTATCAAGTGCTGGGTCCTCTTCTTCATCTGGCCACGTATGAAATAGCTCTCTGACATCATCCTTCATAACCAATTTACTCACACGCAGCTATAACATAAGAGATTATAAAACCCATTAGTAAATCAATAATTATAACTCAGCCATCACTAACCAACACTAATATAACTCAGCCAGCGCATAAATCATAACTCAGTCATCAAAACGATAACTCAGCCATCACAAAATTTAACTCAGCCATTACTAAAACATAACTCAGTCAGTAACTATCAGTCATCAAAAACGATAACTCAGCCATCACAAAATATAACTCAGCCATTACTAAAACATAACTCAGTCAGTAACTATCATAACTCAGTCAGTAACTTTCATAACAGAGCCTAAACCTTACCTCACCATGCGCTTTGATATCTTCAGCAATGGTCAATTCCATTGTTTTACGTGTACGGTTTCCACCCCAACGAAGCAACGGTATCTCATCCTTGTTGACTACTCTCCCATATCGCTCTCCAAAGCATTTGACTGAATCATACGCCAAAGCCTGTAACACGTAAACCATACCACTGACGGTGTACGTCTTTCCAACAGGCCTCAACATCTTTATAGAATTAACCAGGGCTTCAAATGCTGACCGACCCCATGGATAAGTGTTCATGGCTTCGTCATCAAAAACTCTTTTCGCACTTTCAAATGGTATTCTAGAGTTATGATGCAAGCCATACAGTCCAATGGCTTGAAGAGTCAACAGCCCCAACCACTTACGCTTTTCAGGAGTCCATGTCCTGCACACTAGTAATCCTGCCCTCAGTTCATCTAACTTTGGACCTTCACCACCAGGCACATTCAATTCACTGAAGAACGCTTTGTAGTCAGCTTTAGGTTCAAACTTTTCTGTAGGGATTGAACCTGTGTTTAACCCCGTGATATGACCAAATTCGTTCAAGCCAAACCTGATAGGTTGACCACCAACTAGAAACCAAATCTCCTTCTTGTGTATTCTTAACTGTCTACACAGTAGAAAATGTACAGTCTTACCAGACCACACGAATTGGCTTTCAGCTAGCTTAGCAATTATTCCAATAGGTGACCCCTTCAGTTCATTCCACGCATCTTGTCCTATTGATTCTATAATCACAGGGACATCTCCCATCTTGATATTGTGATTTAACAATTTATTCTCCAGAATAGACTCCCCTTCTGCGTAAAGTCTTGGAGGGTAATCCCTTGGTTGTTCTTCAGAAATAACCTCAGCCATCTGATAAACCATAAATCAGCCGTAAGCATACAGTAACTCAGTCACAACATAAAACAAACTCAGCCACAGTTGAGCAGATAAACCATAACTCAGTCGTAAGCAGAGAGTAACTCAGCCACAACGTAAAACAAACTCAGCCACACCATAAAACAAACTCAGCCATAGATGCATTGATAAATCATAAATCAGTCTAAAGCAAACAATAACTCAGCCATGGAATCGAATAGATATAACAAATTAGCCACCATATGAAAATCAACGTTGGCGAAAATCAGCTGTAATAAGCGTCGATAAAAACCCTCAATTTCTTCGCGATAGTTTTCGGAAAACAGTTTCTATCACGGAAATCACTCGCTATTGAACTTAGATGCGGGAAAAATGTCGGAAAATCCAAAATAAAGATTCGACACATACCTTAAACAAGTTGAGTTGAGACGAAATGGTCCCGACTTGAGGTGAGGCGACGAAGTAAAAGGTCCCGACTTGAGTAGAGACGAAATGCGACGGAGAGAGTTAAGAGTTTCGGCCGGAATTAGGGTTTCTTAGTGTTAGTCGGAATCGCGTTTCCGTCGGAGAAAGAAACAGTTTTTTTTTTTCGGAGACGAACAGTGACAGAGAGGGAAATCGAAAGGGTTCTCTTAATGACGTTAATGACGTGGCTTTAATTTGTTTTTCTTTTAATGACGTGGATTAACATAATTTTCGTTAATCATTTCTTAATTAAAAATGGATTAAAAAAAAAAAACTAATCAAGGGTGTTAATTGTAATTACACAAAGACGCTAAACATATGAGTAATTTTTAAAAAATGTATGATATTCTAGTAATATTTGAACTTTTGGTTAACATCTGAGTAAATATTTCTATACTAAATTAGGTGGTTAGATTAGTTAGGTTTTTGAAATAAAAATTAGGTGGTTAGGGTATTAAGGTCTCTATCCTTCCCATTTTTCTCTTCTTTTTTAACAGTATGTTTTTTTTAAAACAAGTAATCATATATATATATATATATATATATATATATATATATATATATATATATATAGAGTCTTCTCTCATCTTATGATGTCCACCTAAGCATCTATCTAAGCAACACTACTTTTTTGTATTAAAGTATATTCAAATTGTTCATTTAGTGCATATTTATGTCACTTATTATTAATAAAAATTTTAATTATATAAAAATGAATAAAATAATATAAATAAAATTTAAAATAGTAGAAACAATACTATAAAATTTTATTAGTAATAACTAGAATTTAACCCGCGGTATACCGCAGGATGATTTAATTTTAAAGTTAGTATAAAAATATTTTGTAAATTGTATCTCCTTATAACATATTTATTTATATTATAATTTACAATTGTTATTAAGTAACGGTATACCACGAGACAATTATTAATAAACAGAGAATTTAACCCGTATTAAAGCGGTATATAAATATTGATTCAAATTCGTCCGCCATATAAATCTTTTCCGAAATATAACCCGTTCTGTAATTTCTTAACCCGTCCGGTAATTTATTTTTATTTTAAAATTTAATGATTATTTATTATATATAAAAGTTTACAAATCATATCATTCTCTAAGACATTTATATTTTAATAAACTAAAGATTTAATATGTATTAAAGCGGCATGTTAATGATATTTTAAAATTTTATAAATATTGTTATTAAGTAACATTATACCACGGGACAATTTTTGGTTTTATACAATCTTTTCTAAATGAGACTGATTTAATATGTCTAATATTTGTGGTATTAAAAAAAAAAGATTTAATACGTATTGAAGCGGCGGATTAATGATATTTTAATCTTTTTATTATTGTTGATTCAAAAACCCGTCCCGCCAAACCCGTCCGGTCAAAAAACTCATTTATTTTATTAAAGTTCTTATTTATGATATGATTCTGAATCATTGTCTAAAATTTTAATCGATGTAGAACGTTGAACACACATTTTCGTCAATTGGATAATATATGTCCGTTTTTAAAATTTCGAATCACAGTATATGCAGAAAAAATTTGATTTTTTTTTACTTTATGTATTATATGATGATTCAAAATAGTTAAAAACAAATCAAACAAAGATGATAGGAGAATCATAATTATAAATCAAATCTTCTAAATATCTAAATTATTAAATATGGAATATCCGGTGTATGAGTTGGGTTAAATATAACCCGATCCAACAAATTTTTTGTGAAGGATTTTTGAGACGGGTCGGATATCCGATTAACCCAGAAACATTTTACCCACCCTCACCAAAGTGTTGCAAAAATACTAGTATAGATAATATAATTCAACTTTTAAAAAGAAAAAAATGATTGAATGTGTTTCTGATGAGTTTTAGAATGGAAATAAAATATAAATGCATGGTAGAGTAAAAACAAATTATGTAACTGTGTTTCTAAAATTTTGAAGAATTTTTTTAAAGTGACAACATTATTTTTTAAGAACAATAATATATTATAAGAGATTTATTTATTACTAAATGTTATTTAAAATTAAAAGAATATTAGACTCGCCAATTTTAATCTAAGATAGACATTGTCATGTCACAAGTTTTTATGAAATTATTAAAAAAATCTGAAAATCAAAAATATTATAATCCATTTTCTAAAAAAAAAATAATAATCAATAGTCATTATTATGCATGAGTTTAAAAAGCAAAATTAACTGATTGGACACAATATGTAATCGTTCTATGACAATAGTAAAAACTAAATGAATATACAAAGAGTTGAAGATAGAATTGACCGTGCATTTTTCTCAAGGCTGAAGCCGCCGTAGAGCTTGCGTGTATAGTGTGAGGGCCCAAAGAGAAAAAATGTTCCTATATGTTGGATAATGGAGCAGAACATTCATATTGAATACTCCCATTATTTCCTGCAAATGTATAAAGAATAAAACTATACATTTTAGATCGATAGTTTTATTTGGTATAAACCTGTTGACATGAACTTTGAATGAGATGATTACATAATAGCAACACTAACACATACCACAAAATATATGTTATTAGTTGATAGTTTTATGCAAATTATATATTAAATGAAAAGAGACATGAGAATATAACTACCTGCTGAGGAAAATCACCGTTATCCAACTGTAAATTGATCACCACTTTCGCAGCACGATGAACCGGCAAAGGATCTCTCTCCATCTGACCACCCATAATTAGAACCATAAGCGCTTGTCCTGTATTCACTATATTTGTGTTGTTTCCTGCTAAATGAGTATATTTCTTGCTTAGGCAAGAGAGATAGCTCTCTCCCCAGCCGCCCTCCGGGTTTTGCGTGTCGAGAAGGAAACGAACTGCTCGACGAATTGGTTCACAGTTATTGAAAGTCTTCCCTGCAGCCACAAGACCTCTTACGGCAAGAAGGTCCCATAGATAAAACACACTCCCAGTTTCCGCACCATGAACCATCCTTCATTTGCAAATCCTCAATGTACTTCACGCCTTTAGTTATAAACCTTTCAACCTCTTTCTTTCTAAACTCCGGGAATTGTTTACTAAACTGAGTCAACGCTACAATGGCTGACCCCGTACATTCCACATACCTAACGTTAGAAATGATATCCCACAATTTAAACTAGTTTAACTTTTACCCAAACAAATAATAGATCGATAAAGAGAGGTGATCAATATATCATACTCATGCTCGATGACCGTGTCTTCAACAAATTCCACAGGACTAAACCACTGCATTTAATTGGGGTGATTTTTAATGTTACATCTAATTAACTAGGTCGAAATGGTATATGACAAATAACAAAATAAATATTCACCTCTAACCAGGTTTTCCCATCCGCGGGTTCCCAAGCTGTTACAACCTCCATTATCACTCTGTAATAATAATTTTGTACATATGGTGATTTTAGTAATTCTTTTTCTTTGAATGTTACTAGTAAACTCCAGAGTTAGGCGTATTTTGATATAATCACATCAATTTTAATTTCTTACATACACCATTTTTTATTACTATTGCTATTCACTAAAAATATATGCCCATGTATATTTTACTTTTAGACTATAAATTCGGATGATTTCCAGTCGATCAATATTAATAAATCTTGGTTGTTTTTCATGACCCATTGATTTTTTTTTATTGATATTTATTTTAGGTTCCCGGAAACTATATAATTATCTTTTTTTTTTTTTTTGACTTCCCTATAATTATCTTTCTATTGTATTATAACTACGACACTACGTCATTGTAAATAATTTACAATATGAATGAATAAATAAGTTTATCTCTATCCAGGGCCGATCTTTGACAGAGTATGGGTTAACCGACAAATAATATAAAAATTACTTTATAAAAGATTATAATATATCTACCGACAAAATATACATGCTCTAATTGGTTTGGGATGCCAAAACACCCTTAAAATATAATATAGAAAATAATGATACATAAACAATTAAACATACGTAAAATAAGTGTATTAATTAACAATGTATATTATATATGGCTTTGTCAGACATCACTACGTTCGTTCCAAAAGTCGTCACTGCCAATAGGGTTTGGCTTTTAATATAAAAACTAATCTAGTTATTTAAATAATGATTAGGCATGGCATGGGTAACCAAGGATCATCACTACGTTCGTTCCACTAACACACACAAATATATATATATATATATATAGATATAGTTATATACTTATATTACTGTATATGTAAAACTAGATTAACAACTTTCACTAGGTACATTAACGGTTAAAAATAATGTGTTAGTGTGTTTGGTTGGAATATTTGAATATATATTAATAAATATATAGACATATTTTTCAAACTTATTAAATATTTTAACCCACGAGCTAACTTATTACTCACTAGATTTAGTTCGTTCAAATAACATTATTCTAGAGTTCTTAAATATTTACCTGCAAGTAGAGAAGAAAGTCAACGGCAATCAAAGAGTTTCTCCACATTCATTTTCTGGCCAATAAACTCAGACGGCATCCTCTCAAATAATAGACAGCACTGGAGAGTTTGAGCAAATCATTTGTTTTTGTTTTTTGGGAAAATGCAAGTCTTTTGTTTAGACTTCAGACTAAGAAATTTAATTAGTAGAGAAAATTCAGTGTATACTCTTACTTTTAAACTCTCAGCAGTGCAATCTGAAACTGGCCATCCTTGATCTTGGTCCGAAAACGTCCATCCACCTTTCGCAATGTGACGAAACATTTTAATGTGATCACTAGGAGGATTCTCTATAACTTGAGATTTCTTTCAAGTAATCGTATCCTTTAACGAGCGTGGATCTAATTTCATCATTGATATCATCCTCAAGACCGTCTAAGAGGAAATGTAGGGACATGGCTGTATCCCACAATTGGCTGCCAAAAGACTGCAAGAGTTGTATATATGTTATTATAGTAATGCGTCTATTCCCCACATGCCACTCAGCCAAATAATGCTATAGAGCTTCAAACTAGAAAAGTCTAGAGTTAGAAATCAAAGTTAAAAGCATGAAGAACCAACCTGAATTTTGAGGCCATCCTCGCCAATCCATATGAAATCAGAGACTCGAGCAAGATGTTTTTAAAATAATCACCCTCTGGATCTTCTACCCAACATGCAAGCATATGAAAGGCCTATTAAAGGAAAAAATGAAACCTAGATTATTCAGATCCAAGAAAGAAAAAAGAAGAAAAATTATTACCTTTGGCACTGATCCGCCTGTAATGTATCTATTGGCTTCATCTTGATAGTGAAGGAGTTTCATATTGGTTCGAAGAGCTGCTTGTCTTATGAGCTTGTTGAAAGGCATCGGTTTAGAATACTCTCTGAGAAGATATGGACACCTTTCCAAAACAAATCTTGTAAAAATGAGGGTGAATAACAGAGATCTTCCTGCATGATCATAATCACATTGCTTTAATATCAAAAATATTTTGTAAACTACACTTCTTTAGAACTAATTTGCAAACAGATTCTTAAAGAACCAACACATTTTTCTTGTAAAAATGATGGATTTACCTAAAATTAGTGGCTACTTATTTTTATAAGCGTACCATTGTCGTAACCAAATAAACTGTTGTACGAAATATTAGACTGTGAGTAAGATAGACTAAAATTTAGTGTATACATGTTGTTCTCAATAGAATAAACCTTAATACATTTTTGTTTCTAATGTATATGACATGTGATTTGTATTTACAACTTGCCTTTGCACATCGATTTCGGGTAGGCATCCAATTGATTTTGGCGTAAGGCTCTGGATAAAGCTCTTCTCGGAGCTGGAGAATGAGAGGTGTTGGGGTTCCAACAAATTTTTTACCATACAAGTATGACAACCCCATGAAAACATCCCGTAAATAAATCCATAGAGTCCCTGCACATACATAAATATATTTATATGTATAAGCAAAAATATTAAAAATCAAACATAGATATTGAAGATACGGTAACAACAAGCTAATGTTGAAGACAACCAGTTGATGTCAACAAGAGTCTTTATCAATATTTCTAGGGTGCTTTAGCTCAGAGACAAAATTGGGAGAGCAAATTAGCTAAAAGACAATAGTCTAAAACAATGGATAAACTACTTTAGAATTGGGTCTGAAGTTCAAAAAAATTACACAAAAACCAGTCTTGAATATTATCATGCGCGTGAAAATAACGTAGTTGACTTTTTGGGCAAAAGCATTTAGTTCTGACATATATTTAATGCAAGTAGACATTTATTGACAGTGAGACTAATATTAATCGTTGTTTTCTCTAACTAGAGAAGTTTTAGCACGCTATAAACATATATTACATGTCATTAACATTTGTACACATGTTAACACATATATAAAGCGTTAAAAATAGTTATAGTATTAAGTTATTCGATCTATATATACATGCAAATATATATATATATATATATATATAGAGCGTTATTAACATGGGCATAACATAAACATGTACATAGAGGGTTAAATTTATTTATATGCATATAAACACGTACATAAAGCGTTATTAACCTTTGTATACATGTAAACACATATATAGAGCGTTATTTAGAGACCAAAATATCATTGGAATCATAAGTTTCGTCGGATTTTTCAAAGATTTCGTCTGTTTTCGTCGAATTGTCACCAGAATTTTCGCCGGATTCCATCGACTTGTCACCGGATCTGCATCAAATTCTATCAAGTCATCACTACATCTTAGGTGTGATTCGTCATCCCAATAACACTGATTAGATTCCATCATCGCTAGCGGGTTTCCGTCGTTGAACCAACGTCATCGAATCATCAAATGTAATCACAATTTCTTTCGTCTATAGCAAATCTGTTACTAGAGACGAGAACTAACAAGATGCATGATAAATCTTGAATAAATGAAAAATCAATTACGATAAATTCCAAAACTCAATCATGTTTAATAATTCAAAAAGATAAGAGAGAAAGAAGAGAGCAAAAATCTTTTTTTCTCGAAAAATAGAGCACTATTAACATAAATAGACACCCAAAAAGTCGAGAAAAGTAAACGAAAACAATTATATCTTGGCTACCTAAGTTTGTAGAGTTAAAAAAGACGCTTTTCCATCTCGAAAAATGATCAAAAATCATTCATTTGTCTCAGGTAATAGGTTGCCTATGAAATGAGATGGTGGGGCGCGTGATGTTAAAATGGACAAAAAAGATGGCTAAAATTATCATTGTTATGGATTTTACTAAAAAAACTAATTTCTCTCTTATTCCTTGTCTCCCAGCTAATTTGCTCATATTTCTACATCAGGAGTCTGTGGAGTGCACATAAAGTTGTAAACTGACGTGGCACTTTCGACTAACTGATTTGACGTGACAAGTAAGCGAGTAGCTAACGTGGCATAATTAATGTTGGTGTGGTTGTTGGTGCAGATTCAGTGAATATTTTCTGAGTCAATGTACGGAAAGGATAAACTTGAGGAGCAAGTTTATACTTTTCCTGTGTATACTATCGAAAATCTGCTAGGATTTTTGTGGTTGTAGTAATAGTTTTGGGAAGACATTTGTCGCAGTTAACACTTTGACTATTGGGTTGTTAGTTGCTTCGTAGCTCCAGAGAAACAAGAGCTAAGAAAGTTGTTAAGTGTTTATTCAAGTTCTAGGTATCACGATAGGGTGTTACCAATTGATTCTAAGTAGGATATTTCTCTAAATAGAACTTGTATCTTTGATTCTATTGTTGATTCACGGTAGGATGATAAGAAACTATAGTTTTGGGTTTAAAATAGGTTAGTCGGGGTCGATTCTAGGGTTGGCTAAATCGAGTAAGTGTAAGTCTTGTTGTAAAGATTCACTTATAATAAAGTCGGGTATAAAAGCATTGGTTTGGTGCGTTCCAGGCAAATACAGTGTGTTGTTATTGTCTCTATTTTCTCACATACTAACCAATAGAATAACATTTTCTCTCTATTTTTTCATATATAACCAATATAACAACATTATATAATTAAGGTGTCCGAATTCAAACCTCCATTAACAGGAAAAGAGGAAGGAAGGAACCAAAACTCTGGCGGAATAGGTTTGCATCCAGACCAATCATACACTCCAAGAACCTAATCAATTAAAGATTTAGGATGACTAAAGAGAAATGATCGTTTTTATTAAAAAAAAAACAAAACTAGTCCCTTACCGACATGCAAGCTTTTCCCATCAAGGGCGTGTAGGTAGCACCACCGTGGTCGAGTATCCACTTACGAGCCTTTGCACAGGCACTTCCTTGATCATCATGACCGGCTTCTACTCCCACAATTCGTAAACAAATGTAGTTGATGACCGTACAAAACATAATACTGGGGCTTTCTACGTGTAATCCCCACCCACCATCTTCGTTCTATAATCCAATTTTGCTAAGTCTTACTATATTTAGTTACATATACATATGTAGTAAATATACAACTTTACCTGATGGTTATACATGTAACGTAGTAACTCTATACGATGCTCGACAGTGAAGATTTTCTCCAGATGTCCAGTAATGTACAAGCATATAACCTATGCAGTTATTATTTTATTTTATTTATATCATTATATAACTGATTATGTTTAACTATAAAAGTTAGTTTATATTGTGTGAAGTAACTCACTAAAGGGGCGATGAAGAAATTTGGACCAGAGTTATCTGCAGGCCAGTGTCCATCATCTGCCTGCAAGGCCGTGAAATAGTGTAACCCTCTTCTCAATGCGGTTTTTGCATCTTCATACCTTATTTTCGCTGCATCCTCTACTCTAACACGTGGAATCTTCTGTTCAAAATTTTTCTCCCTAAGAAACTATTAAGCCCACATAACAAAGAAAATAATATTTTTTTTTAAAAAAAGGAAAAACAAGAAAATAAAAAATAAAAAATTTCTCTAAATTGTTGTGTTATAAACCGCAACACGTTTCACCTGCATCCTCCATAAGAGATCAGCACTAGCCTTGTAACGTGACTTATTGTCAGAGAAATTCCGACGAGCCTCCTCGACCTCGGCAAGTTCTTGTGGGGAGCCTGCGTTGGCATCAAACCTCCAAATCTGCCTCCCAACATAGTTGTTGGTCGTGAACAAGTGAGTACCATTTTCGGCCTTAGCTCCAATTCTTAGTCTCCACATTTTGTATTAATCCTCCAAGTTCAGTCGAAACGCAAAACAACTAATTATATATGTAGATCGATTTTGCTTGTGGAAACGATGATTCGTGTGGGCACTGATGATATGTTAATTAATAGTTTTCAACTAGATGTTTTCTTAAAATAATTAAATTCAATATTTAATATCTGATTTAAGGGAGTATGATTAAAAGTAGTTGGCTAGATTAGTTAGATTTTATTATAAAATTGGGTGGTTAGAGATTTGATGATTTGCAATTTAAAAATAGGTTATTAAAAAATAATTGAATTAAAAAGAAATGAGTGCTTTAACAAAAAAAAATAAAAAGAAATGAGTGAAGAGTTCCTAATGTATTTTTCTTCTTACGTTTAAAGCGACCATTACCCTAATATCTAAATATTTCACATGCGTCTATCTATATTAGAAGAATCTGACAATATTGAATGGCGGCTATTGATAGAACTAGAAGTATTCTAGTTGCCAACTTGGGCGATGAACACGCTTAACGAGTTATTAAACCATGATTTAATTATATAATCACAACTTGGGCGATGAATGCCTATTGATAGAACTAGAAGTATTCTAGTTGCCTGGATGTCTTATCAGGCGGTTTTACTTGCTCCATTGCAAAAATCCAACGCTTTTTCAAAAGACCATGCAACACGAATCGCCGTTCGTAATTCTCTAGCGTCGTTTGAACAAAATTTCACCCTAATCTCCTCTTTTAGTCCGCTGAACTTGTTTGATGAAGAGCTGCTAATTGTTCCAACGGAAATGATGTAAAGTCTCCTCTAAACTGTTCCTTCAATTCTGTCTTAAGCTGTACATAGGACAGTGTTCCCTCCAAACTGTTCCCTCAATTATGTTTTAAGCTGTACCTAAGACTGTGTTCGAATTTGCTGCCGAAGCCACTGTAACCAATTGAAAGCATCACCTTCCATACAGTGTTGGAATTTGCTGCAAGGAGAAATATTCTTCAACTCGAGCCAGCCATCCTAGTGGATTATCACCAAGCGTTCTTTTTTTTTTTTTTTAACTCTTCCATAACTCTTCCAAGCGTTTTTTTTTTTTTTTTTTTTTTTTGTCTTTGTCTTTGATCTACGATATGACTGGTACATAGTTGAGCATATTGGGTTTTCCAAACCCAATCCAGCTCTCTATAGTATGATATTGTCCTCTTAGGGTCTACATGCTCAAGCTCACACGGATTTGTTATTGGGCTTCTTTCCAAAAGGTCTAATACTAATTGGAGTTGGACTTTACTTATATATTAGAAACTTCTTTTCTAAACTTCCGATGTGGGACGATGGTTTGTACCCAACAATCTCCCCTTCAAACCAAGGACCACGAACATTGGGCCTCCTCTTCAGTGAAACCTAGGCACCCTAACTCGGCACTTTCTTATTCGCGAAGTTCTTGAGGCACCTTTTTATCGTGTCACATTTGAGGGCTTCTCCCACACCGAATTTTAGCCCACACCCCTAGGTTCACATTTTTCAACCTAGGATCTGCTACCATTTATTAGGCTTTCCAAGCCCAATCCAACTCCTCATAGTATGATATTGGCCGCTTAGGGTCTACATGCTCAATCCCGCACGGATTTGGTATTGGGCTTCTTCCCAAAAGGTCTTATACTAATTGGAGTTGGACTTTACTTATATATTAGAAACTTCTTTTCTAAACTTCCGATGTGCAACGTTGGTTTGTACCCAACAGAACAGGCTACTATGAGACTCCATGAGATCAATGTCACTCAAAAAGATCTTGAATGAACTACTTACGGAGTTTAATAAATACAAAAATTTATCAAACCGTGGTGGTTCAAGCAGTGCCGGCTCATATAGGGGGGCGAGCGGTGCGACGGCCAGGGGTCCAATTCCGTGCTCCAATAATTAAAGAGCCCATTTTAATTTTTTTTTTAATAAATATATTAAAATTTTAAATTACAACATAAAAATAAAATTTAGAAGGGCCCATAAATTTTTTTATTATTGTTTTTAGTTTTAATAATTAACTTTTTAATAAAAATACCATACAATTTTTTTATATAACACAAAGAACACAAAAAAAAAAAAAATCTAAGGACCTAAAATTTTTTTTGTCCTAGGGCCTATAAAACTGTTGAGCCGGCACTGGGTTCAAGTCAACACCATCGCTTGGCTCAACCGATGAATCAAGCACGTGTGGAAGCCATGAATTCAACAAGCTGACCAGCCAATTCTTTAGGATTTTTTTTTATTACAACATAAAAATTCGCAAGAGAATTTTTGTAATGACAATCGACATCATGGAAGTACAAATTCTTAGACTTTTAAAGGGATTTTGAATGTGCGAGCTCATCTTGTGACCATCTTTTCATTAAAAAATTGTATATTTTTTCATTTATTCTAAGAACTTTTGTTAAAAGTTTAAAACAAAAAAAGTAATTACTAGTTGAAAAGGCTGTTAAGAAAAAGAAAAAAAAAATACAAATAGTGAATAAAAAGAAACATAAATTTGTTAAGGAACATATAACATGTACAATGAGAGGAAAGAACAATGTAAAATTTAGTGAAACAAGGACTAGAATTGAAAAAATATATTCAAAATCACGTGAAAAGATCCAAAGAACTAAAGAAACAACAAACACACCTTATCGGTTAGACCACGGGTTGCTTTTGGGATAAAGAAAGAACCTACCAATGGACAATGAACAAACTTTAGCCCAGGCTCGGCCTATCGCTATATACTATTTTCCCAGAGAGAAAACAACAAATAAAACTGTCAAAAAGGCAGCTTTAGAGAGAGTAGACAATGGGATGCCATATTTTCCATGCTCAAACAAACCCTTTAGAAATGGAAAGAACAACATAACCACCAAAATACATCCACAAGCCTCTGCCAAACCCGAACCACCTCCTCCGTGACTACAACTCGACCGTTGTTGACCCACAAAAAAAAAAGCTAGAGCAGCTAGATTCACGAACAAAATAAATGTGCCGGGAATGAAATGATGCGAGCGATCAAATTCAAATTTACGCAAGTCTGATTTTGGACCATCATCTTCTCCTTGAGTTGGTTTATCAGGCATAGTCTTTTTAGCGACTATGAACCCAATTTTTGAGATTCCAAGAAGCTTGAGTATGATATCTTGGATGCTAAATAACCAACTGCCAGTGGCTATTATCCTCCAAATTGATTGAGCGACATACCACGATTTTACCGAAAAACCAAGGCTCATGAATTGCCATAGACTGTAGAGACAATGCATCCCCACAAGTGTGACTATTATGCCTAGACAAGGTCCCTAGTTCCACACACAAAAGATGTAAGAAATTATTAAAAATATGTTTAATTAATTCTATGAAAGTAAATTGAACTAAATTCAGAGAGAGAAAGATACCTTGGGAAATAAGGCAGAGTTGTGGAGTACGCAATAAGCAGGCAAGAGACAATAAACGAGCTCAGGGATTGACCTTATACACATGAGCGCCCAAAAATAAGCTAATCGTTGACGGAATTTTAGTTTTCGACGGAACATTCCAATCAACGGACTTTGTTTGTTAAAAAGGACTTCAATTGCTCCGGTCGACCATCGCCGCTGCTGGACTATAGCCTCTAGTCCTAATGACGGCGTAGATCCAACAAACGCAGGTGGATTCGGAGAAATAAATGAGCTAGTCCATCCTCTCAAATGGATTCCGATACTCGTGTTTATATCTTCTGCCACTGAATCGTATAACCAACCGAACTGCATGATTTATATATAGAAAAACACATTAATATGGTTAATATATCGTAAAATGTTTGATTTTAGAATAAAATAATTAAATTGAGAAGGTACTTACGTTGCCCCAACTGGTTTGGTACTCGTAGTGACAATGCCCCACTTGTTGAGCCGCTTCAATGAGGTTTTCAAGACTTTTTTGGGGGTTTGATTTTCTTTGTAATGCATCAACCACCGATTTCACCAGCTCTTTAGAACTCCCATATCTTTTCACTAAACTATCCTCAGCCAAAAACTCCCCTTAATGAAATAACAATAACTACTCTGAATAATTTGATATATAAATAGTGAAATAACTAAATATATAGTAGAAAAGTTGTTATATGAGTAATAGAACATATATAGGAATGTTAACTAGAATAATGAAAATGTTAGATATTAATAAACGAAGGGTGTGTATAATTTTAACATTTCTTAAAATTTGCGTTTTGGATGCAACTTTTTAGAGAATAAATTACAAATTGAGAGATTCAAACCCTCACTTTATGGAAAAGACCACAAACTCAGGAAACTGTGGTGTTGTTTGGTAAGGTGAGGGTTTATCTCCCTTATGTTGTAATTTATTCTCTAAAAGATGTAAAATTTTAAACGCTCTTGCATACATATATGTATATGGAGGGTTATATTGGGGGTTTAAAAATAAAACAATTGGAGTGGTTTTTAGGAGAAAATCCATTAATGAATTAAGAATAAAATGTTTGACAAAAAAAAAGAAAAAAAAAAGAATTAAGAATAAAATAAGTATGAAATGATAAAAATTTGGTTTAGTATACTGTATACACATAAATATTTAAATAAAGTTGCAAAGGAATTTATGAAAATCTCTTATGAATTTCTAATACTTACTTGTAGCAACCGAAGAAAGATTTCCGTTGTCTTCTATATCGTCCGAAGATAAACCGTACATAACTCTTCTAGTGTGGAAGCATCCTGATCCAATATAAAATGGTCCTTGGATTCCCGCAACTCCTCGTCCCAAATACTAATTTCAACAAATAAAAAAAAAAGAGAGTAAGTATATACTGGTCGATAAAATAACATTGAATTGATCAAAATTATATGAAATAAGTAAAAGGATGAGAAACCGCACCGATTGTAAGACGGCAAGTTCGTTTGTGCAAGAATCATAGAAATTTTGAGGATATTGAACGAAAGCACAATGGTTTGAGTTCTTTGAGTTCTGTAAAAATACACACATTGCTTGCCGTACTACATCTGGTTCATTGACATACATGTCACAGTCTACGTTCAACATGTATGGTGCATTTGTCATCAACCCTGACACTCTTAACTGTTCAAATTTCATAGGCTCATCAGATTTTTGCCATAATAACAAAAAAGAAAACGATCTACCATTATTGGTACTTACTTTTAAAGACATAAATATGGTTATATGGATATCAATTCAATTTGATTGCTATACTGTTATTAAGAAATATACTTTTTTACTGTTTTACCTTCATGAATGAAAGAACGCATAAGTCTCTGTATATGAAAGCTCATCATTTCTATTGTAATCATCATATTACTAATTTCAGATATGTTATTGCTGAATTTAAAAGATAGGCGAATCTAAGTCATAGTAATCAAACGTATGCTTGATAGTTGACACAACTTATGTACTTACTATGAAACTTAAAAAAAAAAGAGATGTGTGAGAAAAATCATTAACCAGAAAGTTCATGGCTCCAGTTTTGTAATGATGAAGGTAATTTGGTCTTTTCTCTCTTGAAATGTATACAAGATGAGGGACTTCGTTATCATCTCCTACACCTCCCTTGTTCTCCCATACCACCTTCATTTGCACACATGCATAAAACAAGATTCCATATAATTGTTACAAATTTACAATCAAATTCACTAGAAGGAAACAGCCTTATCTCCTACGATGGATTTCGGCCGTTGGTATAAGTGATATGTATATGTATAAGTAGTATAGGGGTCTAAATGCAATTAGTTTATACTCTAAACCTAGTCTCCTCTGTAAGTGTCTGTATAAATATGTATAGTCTTTCTCATTAATAATATAACATATTCTATATCTATATGGTATCAGAGCAGAACGCTCCTTAAAACCTAAATTTTTTTTTTTCTTCAGCCGTCATCTTCTTCCTTTCTCTTCAAACACAATGTCAAACACCAACAATGAAGTCAATCTAATCGCTATTGCTTCCAACTCTGTTCTGCATGTTAACATGTCCAACGTGACCAAACTCACTGGCACGAACTACATGATGTGGAACCAACAGGTCCATGCGCTCCTTGATGGCTATGGCCTCGCCGGTCACCTTGACGGATCCATTGCTGTTCCGCCCGCCACAATCACTGTCGCCAATGACGTCACTCAGAATCCAGCCTTCATCCGCTACCATCGCCAAGATAAGTTGATTTACAGTGGTTTGATTGGTGCTATCTCTGTTACTGTGCAACCTGTTGTCTCTCGGGCCATCACGGCTTCACAGATCTGGGAAAAGCTGGCCGGCACGTACGCCAAACCAAGCCGTGGCCACATCAAGCAGTTGAAAACGCAAGTCAACAACTACAACAAAGGATCAAAGACGATTGATGAGTATATGCAGGGACTCATCACGAAGTTTGATCAACTTGCTGTTCTTGGTAAACCATTTGATCATGAAGATCAAGTGGAGCTCATTCTCGCGGGTCTTAGCGATGACTACAAACCAGTTATCGGCCAAATTGAGAGCAAAGACAACCCTCCCAGCCTCACCGAAGTCCATGAAAGGCTGCTGAACCAAGAGGCGAAGCTACTTGCTGCGACTGACAAGCTCTCCCTTGCCTTGCCTGCTTCTGCCAACGTCGCCCAGCAACGTCATCAATCTAACCACAACAAAGGCAACTACAACAGCAACAATAAGAGACAGTACCAAGGTTCGTATGGCTCATCGTCAAGCCAGCAGCCTCAGCAACAATTCAACAATGCTCAAGAGAATCGGCCTTTCAAGCATACTTGGGTAAATGCCAAATCTGCAACACTCAAGGTCATAGTGCGCGCCGGTGTCCACAGTTTCAGTCTCGTGGAGCACCGATGACTCAGTCCCAAAGCAATCCATTCCGTCCGTGGCAACCAAGAGCCAACCTCGCTGTTGGCAATGCTTACGATTCATACCCGTGGCTTCTGGACAGCGGAGCCACTCATCACATGACATCGGATTTGCAGAATATGTCTCTCCATGAACCATATAATGGTGGAGAAGACGTCGTTGTTGCAAATGGGGATCCTCTTCCCATCACTCACACGGGTTCAATGCTTCTTCCCTCTCAAACTCGTGACCTTAAATTACATAAAGTTTTGTGTGTCCCTGATATAAAACGTAATTTGCTCTCGGTTTACCGTCTTTGCAACACTAATGGTGTGTCTGTTGAATTCTTTCCTGCTTCTTTTCAGGTGAAGGATCTAACTACGGGGGTTCCACTACTACAAGGCAAAACTAGAGATGAATTATACGAATGGCCGGTGTCTCCGTCACGAGTTACTGCGCTGTCTACTATCACTACTTCAAAAGCTTCTCTCTCAATGTGGCACTCTCGTCTTGGTCACCCTTCTTCTTCACTTTTAAACACTTTGCTTTCAGCTTTTACTCTTCCTGTTTCAAATTCTTCTCAAAAGTTGTTGTCTTGCTCAAATTGTCTTCTTAATAAAAGCCACAAACTTCCATTTTCACAAAACACTATAGTCTCAACACGACCACTTGAGTATGTTTATTCTGATGTGTGGACGTCGCCTATTCTTTCAATTGATCATTACAAATATTATCTCCTCATTGGTGATCACTATACACGTTATTCTTGGCTTTATCCTTTGAAAAAGAAGTCTGATGTGAAGATGTTTTTTGTTGCCTTTAAGTCACTTGTTGAGAATCGTTTCCAACAGAAGATTGGTACCTTCTTCTCCGACAACGGTGGTGAATTCTTGGCTCTCCGTGAGTTTCTTGCTGCCCATGGGATTTCGCACTTGACATCTCCTCCACATACTCCAGAACATAACGGAATTTCAGAACGAAAACATCGTCATGTCGTCGAGACTGGATTGACACTTCTTTCCACAGCTTCGATCCCGATCAAATATTGGACATATGCGTTTGCGGCTGCGATTTATCTAATTAATCGTCTACCAACGCCGGTTCTCCGCCAGTCCTCACCATATTATACTCTCTTCCAAGCTCAACCCAATTATGAGAAATTGAAGATCTTTGGATGCCTATGCTTCCCTTGGCTGAAGCCGTATACACATCAAAAATTAGAGAGCCGTTCTCTGCCGTGTGTTTTTCTTGGGTACTCACTCACTCAAAGCGCTTATTATTGTCTACATGTTCCTACCGGCAGAGTATACGCGTCGCGCCATGTTCATTTTGACGAGAACAGATTCCCATTCTCTGAAACTGGTTTATCGCGGGTAATGACTGAAGTTGAAGCCACGACGTCAGCTCCGGCTTTCTCTCCGATTAACATACTGGTTCCGAATGCCTTGCCTAGTAGTGGACCCCCGATCACAGACCTTCACCCACCATCTCCTCCGGTATCACCTCCGTCAACACAACCGCAGGTATCGTCTCCTCATTATTCTTCTTCTTCTTCTTCTTCTTCTTCTTCCTCTCAATCATCTGAGCCCATTGCTCAAAACGAAAATGAGCCCAATTCCCAGGCCCAGCAAGCCCAATCCACAAATGAGCCCACTGCTCAAGTGCAAAATGAGTCGACACCCACGACTCAGCCACAACCGACCACTGCTACCTCCGCCAATCCACAAACAGCCGCTCGGCTGCCACAAAATTCCCCAACAACTGAGCCACAAAGAACACAAACCCAACAACCTGTTGAACCACCGCAAAATACCCATAAAATGCAAACCCGAGCCAAAAACCAAATAACCAAACCAAAACAAAAACTCAATCTTCATGTTACAGGTCAGTCTAAATCAAAGGAACCGTCCTCTGTTCTTCAAGCTTTAAAGGATGAGAATTGGCGTCGGTCAATGTCCGAAGAGTATAATGCCCAGCTAGCAAATCATTCATGGGACTTGGTTCCTCCTCAGCCATCCCAAAATGTAATTGGTTCTCGGTGGGTGTTCACTACGAAGTATCATCCGAATGGTCAGTTAAATCGGTACAAGTCACGACTCCTTGCTAAAGGCTTCCATCAAAAATACGGTGTCGACTACGCTTAGACATTCAGCCCCGTTTTCAAGACTACCACAATTCGCCTTGTTCTTGATGTTGCTGTTGCTCACTCTTGGCCGATAAAACAATTAGATGTGAATAATGCGTTTTTACAGGGTGAGCTCACGGAAGAAGTCTATATGGCTCAGCCTCAAGGTTTTGTTGATAAGGATAAACCGCACCACGTTTGCTGCCTACGGAAGCCTATATATGGTCTCAAACAAGCTCCACGAGCATGGTATATGGCGCTCAAACAACATCTGCTTCGTACGGGCTTCACAAATTCTTTAGCTGATACGTCTTTATTCATACGACAAACCGGCAAAGAATTCACTTATGTGCTGGTCTACGTCGACGATATTCTCGTCACTGGCAATTCCGCTTCTAATGTTACCAAGGTACTTCATTCGTTTGCTGAACGGTTTTCAATAAAAGATCCAACCGATATTTGCTACTTCCTTGGCATTGAAGCGACATGCACTAAAGCTGGCATTCACTTAATGCAACGCAAATATATACTTGATCTACTCACCAAGAACAATATGCATGAAGCGAAACCGGTATCCACTCCGCTGCCGTCCTCACCGAAACTAACCTTGCATTCCGGCTCCACTCTTGATGATCCTTCTCAGTTTCGTTCAGTTGTTGGTAGCCTCCAATACCTTGCTTTCACTCGACCTGATATCTCATATGCCATTAATCGCCTTTCGCAGTTTATGCACCGTCCAACCGAGGAACATTGGAACGCTGCAAAACGAGTTCTCCGATACTTGTCAAGTACTCTTACACATGGTATCTTTCTCCGAGCTAATTCACCTATTTCTCTACATGCATTCTCTGATGCGGATTGGGCTGGCGACTCGGATGATTATGTCTCCACCAATGCTTATATGATTTACCTAGGCTCTAATCCCATCTCCTGGAGCTCTAAAAAGCAACGCGGAGTTGCTCGCTCCTCCACGGAAGCCGAGTATAGATCCGTGGCTAATACTGCGTCTGAGGTTAGATGGCTCTGTTCCTTGCTCTCCGAAATGGGTATCACGGTTCCAAAAGCTCCGGTCATCTACTGTGATAACATCGGTGCGACATATCTCTGTGCTAACCCGGTCTTTCACTCTCGAATGAAGCATATTGCGCTTGACTATCACTTCATCAGAAATCAAATTCAAGCGGGTATGTTACGAGTTTCTCATGTTTCTACGAAAGATCAGTTAGCCGATGCACCCACAAAGCCATTGCCTCGCCTACAACTTCAACAGGCGTGTTCCAAGATTGGTGTCACAAGAGCTCCTCCATCTTGAGAGGGCGTATAAGTGATATGTATATGTATAAGTAGTATATGGGTCTAAATGCAATTAGTTTATACTCTAAACCTAGTCTCCTCTGTAAGTGTCTGTATAAATATGTATAGTCTTTCTCATTAATAATTTAACATATTCTATATCTATAGTTGGTTCCAGCTCGTCGAAAAATAAAATCCGTCGGAAAATCTTTTGATATGTGCATAACTTTGGAAACTTAGACAAAGACCCTAACTATAAATTTAAAATATAATATATTATACCTTAACAATAGTTGAATGATCATTTGGTTTTGTGTTTGAGAAAGCTTCAAAATCATCATCTGCATCCAACCAATGGAAATTTCCGGTGGCATCTTCAACTTTCCGGCATAACTTCTCATACTCTCTCTTCATATTAATACAAAATAAACATAATGAAAAAACTTTCAATAGTTGACACACCCAAAAAAAAATCTTTCAATATATAACCTGAAAAACATCATATACATAGTAATATATTTTTCTGCAAAAAAGACCTTCCAAATAATGATTTTTGTTTTACAAATTTACTCAACTTGCGAAAAAATGCGGATCAACCAACGAAATCAAATTTACTTGAAATATAATCCATCACTACCACCTTGAAGTTTATAAAACTATGATAAATAATATATCAAATCGAATCTATCGCAACAAAAAGAATCAATTGAATTTTTGAATTTAGAAACTCTATCTAATATATGTTGCGGTAAAATATCTTCAAATATACACATAAATGTTATATTGTGAGTTAAATTTGGTTTCGTGATTTTGACTTGAATTTTTTGCAAGTGAAAGGTAAACATGCAAAAAATATTATTGGGAGGTTTTTTATTTGCAGAAAATCTTATTTAAATATGAAAATGAGTTATTTCACTTGTTTTTGTGAACTAGTAAATCTAGAGAAACAAACAGATAACAAGGACACCAAAAATAAAATAATGTTTTTGTATTAAAATTGGAAAATATAAAAAAAGTTCTTAATCACTGGTTGGGCTTAAGTTTTGTAAACTGAGTTTTACTGTTTTTGAGATTCGAAACCGAGTCATCGGTTCTAATAGATTTCACCGGTTTAGTATTTTAATTAAACTATGGGGTTTTAACTCAATCTAAACTTAGCAAGTACGGTCCCAGTCGGTCCGGTCAACCTACCAGGCAGGCTGGCAGTTTGATTTTGTTTTCAGAAATGAACTCAAACGTAAACTAAACTAATTACCTTGGTCATTTCCCAGTCTTTTCGGAATGCTGAATCATCTGTTGAAACCAAATGGTTTGAGAAATATCTAAAAGGAGCTCTAACTCTAACGTTGTATTTCTTGCAGAAGGGAACCCAAATCATGGCGAACTTTGAAGCTTCCTTGAGAGAGAAGTAAGTGAGAGCTGAGCATCCATCGTCTGACACATAACAAGCTAGTTTATTCGCCGGATAATTGATAGATAACATTGAAAGCACGGTGTTCACAATGATAATCGGCGGCTCCCTAACCGGATCTGCCGTGGGCACGAACATATCTACCGAAGGAAGGTCATGAACCCTGAAATTAAACGTTGTAGCCAAGTTAAAAAATAAATAGAAAGGAATATCTTGGGAAATAAACTAAGAGCTAGGTAATTAGGATTTTATACAAGTTTAATAAGAATATTTATTTTCGTATATAATAGAAACTCTTTAAACCATTATTCATAAATTAACAAACACTATGTGATAATAACTATTTTCCGGTTAAATATTAATTTTTTTTGAAAAGATAATAAGTTCATTTTTTTTAAACGCTATGTAAAGAGTGATATATTTTTTTTACAAATATGTATATTTTATGAAATTTTATTGATACTTAAAATATTATTTATTTTCTCTTATGGCCGGTATAGTATTGTACAATCATCCTTACCATCTTCATGCATTTTAAGAAAATAACAATAATTTATTTGAATCTTTAATTTCATAAATATCATTTTCACCAAGATAATCTAATAGGATATTGACATTCATTAATAATAACGTTAAAATAACGAATGGTATTCTCACAAATAAACTCATTTAATTTCCTTAATATTGTATATTCCGGAACAAATTTTGCTTTATATCGCTAATTTATTTTGTATCGCTAATTTTTCCAAGACGAGAACGTAAAATTCAAAGCATCTAGATCATTGATTTGATTTGATCAAATTATCAGGACCATTGTTCAAATAATATTAATATATAAAAATGGTTTAATGTATTGTTGTATTATATATGTGTAAATAAAAATGGTACCTTTCATCAAGTCTATTTATATAGGGTATATCTTCAGCAGGACTCCATTTTATGCAAGTAAAAATCAGCCATACGAATGAGAAACAAGATTCACAGAAGAAAGCCATGAGCCAAACATTGTCGTTTTGGCTTATATGTAGGATTCGGAACAAGAGAAGAGAATAGAGAAGGCCGAGCATCGTGACGTCTACAGCTCTTAAAACATAGCTTTTGTGAGAGATCCTTTCGCTAAGAGGATGGAGAGATGAGCTTGAATCAGCCATTGGAGGAGCGTTAATTATTTCGGTTTTTGGATATGAATGTATGTATAATAAATACACTCTGCTGACAAAGTATATATACATATACTAACAATGAATGATTGAACAAAGATTCTGCTACACTTGGACTAATTTTTAAAATAATGCTAATGCATATGCATGGTTTAATTAGTTCTTTAAAACTAAGTAAAATATTACTATTTCTGCATTATTGCGTATAAACTGGAAGAGTATATGTATGATTCTCTGCATGAAGATTTCAAAATGGAAGTTACCTTATCGAGAGGATCACTTTCTAATGTATAAATAAATAACGCACTACACATATAAATAAATAAATAAAACTTTTTTGACAACATCAAAGATTCGGATTTCAATGAATAACAAAGTTCAAAGAAAGATTCTTTAATAACCATTAAAAAGGAAGATTCGTAAATCAAGATTCTTACAGTAAAAAAATCTACAGATAAAATTCAACAAAATTTGTAAAGCTACAATCTTAAACAACCAGATCTTATATCTTCTTGACTTCAGCTGTCTGCTATAACACCTTGTTCTATACAATGGGAGGGTTTTGATGTTCATTTATAAACGAAGAAAATGATATTTCCATGGATCGGTAATAATGTGAAATTTGAAACGGGATACACATCCGATTTCTTGGTTGTGATAATTTAGCGACAAATTAACCTCCGATTGTTAATTGGTCGATAATCGTTTATTTAGTATTTAAAGATAACAAAATACCACAAACTAGGGATAAAATTAGTAAAGTTTCGATACACATATGCGTCTATAGTCCGTGGTTAAACACAAACCGTTATTCTATCATTAGCTTTTTCAGCATTTTTTAATCCTATACTACTATTAGGGAAGTACTGTTCATTAAAAAAAAATAACCTTACCCTTTGTAAGATATTACATAAAAATACCATCAAAGATAAAATTTCAAAGAGTAAATTAATTAATTCATTTCAGTAAAGATAAACAAGTCAAATACTAATTTATGTAATTTAATTAAATTATAAGAACGAAAAATACATTATCAATTTTCAAAAGAAAGAATGACCAATCAAAATGAACATATAAGATTTGATATTTAACTTACCATATTAATTTTTTATTAATCATTATACTTGACCTCTCATCTTTATATGATTCTATTTTTGTGAAACAAATAAATCATCATATCATCCATATAATAAAAAATTAGTTTTTTTTTTTCTGCATATGCCATGATTTGAATTTTAAAAAACGAATATAAAATTTTCAATCTATGAAGAAAAAATGTAACGGTTCAAAAATTCAGACTTGAGTAATATATTTCTTTTAAACAGAAGTAGATTCAACGGAAATTTTCACTGAGTAACAGGTTAAAATATTAATCGCATTTAATATGTTCTTAAAATTGCATCCAAAAAAATTCTCACCAAAAACAAAATCGCATCAAAAAAGTTTTCGTTCACTTTTTCCGGTTAAAATGTAATGAATGGTTTTATAAGTGTATTTATTTTTCTTAGTTTTCTACGGAGAGTAGATCAAATCAACATGAGCTAAAAACAAGTTGAGGTCTATGACTATGAGTACTCAAAATTGAATTGTCTTAATGTAAAATTTTCATAAATATTTCGCATAATCTTAGTGAATAAATTGAGGAAACCGGTTGGCAGATTAACGCTCATCATAGTAACTTTTCTAATTAAAATTAGGTGGTTTCATTATTTAGGTTTTGTAGTTGAAATAAGGTGGTTCGGGTATTAAGTTCTATATCCTTCCCCTCTTTCTCACTTTAAATTTATGTTTAAAAATTTGTTTTTTTAGTTAGGTAGATAGATTATGTGGTTGATAGAGAGAAAACTAACACATGTTAAACAATAGCGAGTTTTTTACTATATTTAATTTAAATTTTTAAGCGAATTTGATTAAAATTAGCTGGCTAAATTTTTTTTTTTTTTTTTGACAGCATTAGCTGGTTAGATTAGTTAGGTTTTATTATAAAAATTGGGTGGTTAGAGTTGTCATGATTTGTAATTTTAAAATAGGTTCTTAGTAATATTTAAACTTAAATTGATTAAAACTCATTTTAATCAACCTTAATTTAATTAAAAATAACCTCTCTCTCTCTCAAATGATTTTTATTAAAAGCAATTAATTATTAATTTAGACAGGTAGACCTGCGATTTGGTTGTTAAATTAGTTAGGATTCGTTGATTAAAATTAGTTTCTTAAATTAGTAAGACTTTACAATTAATTTTTTTTATATTACTAGTTCTAATCATGATCGATAGTTGAATTTGATACCGTATTTTTAATCTAGAAATAGTTATTTCTTCATTTATTAATGAAATTACAATTTTTTGAATAGGATAAATGTTAAAAAAGTCTCAACTTTCAAATAATTATGGACGTTTAAATCCTCATTTATCAAAATTTCTTAGTTTTCGTTGACTTCATGATTAAATGGTTAACTTATGTTAACTACATTATTTAAGATACAACGTTAAATCGGGAGACGGAACACGTTTACAAGGTTAAAAATTCTGTTTGCAGCTTCCGTTTAGTTAAAAAAGCGTTTTTTATCTCTTATTAAAAAAGCTTTAATTTTTATATTGTAGACAATTAAATCCTCCATTTTAAATTTTGGACATATCTATCCTCAACTTTCAAAATAAGTTTTTAAATGGCTACCCTCTTGATCAAATGGTTAATTTATGTTGCTACGTCATTTGAGGCACAACATTAAATCGAGAGACGGAGCACGTTTAAAGAATTAATTTGTTTGTTAACAACTTCTGTTTAATCAAACGACCAATGTTCTAGCGACTATTTACCGTTCCTCTTCTCTTTTACTTTTGGTTTCTTCATCGAGATCCAACCATAATTATGAGTCCAACGATGTCTATATCACATGGAATTCTCTAAAAACTGTCAAAAGATTGAGTTTCTTAAGCGTTGGCGATAACCAATTCGATCCGCATCCATCAAATCGGTTATTAAGGAAAGATTTAATAACTTTAACATTCTTTTGTTGGTTATTGGTTTAAGCGTTAAGCGTTGACGATAACGATTAATTTTTTTCTTAATAGGTCTTGGAAAGTCAAGTAACCGATAAAAAAAAAGGTTAAAGCTTTGAACCCGTAAACATTCAATTAACCCCGTTAGTCCATAATCAATGAGTCTGTGACTATTACAGACAACTTAACCCCGTAGATGTGCTCTGTCTCTCGATTTAATGTTGTACGTCAAATGACATAATGTAAGTTATACATTTCATCATGAAGGCTAGATACACTTAGACATTTAAACGACGTATTAAAATTTGAGGATTTAAACGTCCACAATTTGAAAGTTGAGGCTTTTTAGTAAGAGACAAATTAAACGACGACGTTTGGATTAAACAGAAGCTGCTAATGAAAATTTTAACTCTGTAAAGTGTCACGTCTCTCGATTTAACATTGTGCCTCACATGCCAATGTGCCATAGTTAACATAAATTAACCATTGAATCATGAAATTAATAATAACTTAGGCATTTAAACGTTATTTTGAAAGTTTGAGTATTTGAACAACAACGATGGTGGATAATTATGAAACTTTTAATTTCTTTTTACATTCAAAGTTCAAGCACATATAAAATAAAAACACATTATCTTAAAATTTGCATGGAACATCCGGAAAATTTGACTGGCCTCACTAGTGTATATTTGACCAGAAAATTCTATTTTAAAGTTGTTTTTTGTTTGGTTAATTTACATGATTTCATGTGATCAGTGTATTTCATACAATAGAAATGGGATTAACTATATTTCAATCTGGCAGTCAAGCTAATAACTTTAGGATAGATTCTATGGTAAAATCACAAGCTAATATCCATTTACCTTCGATCCATTAGGTCATGGGTTAGGTTGGGTAGTGTTGTCACAAGCTAATAACCATTTACCCTCAATCCATTAGGTCATAGGTTAGGTTGGGCTGTGTTATCTATTTTGATACCTTACGTAAATTTTACAAAACAAAAACGTCCAACAACGACATGCAAAAACAACAACATGCCAAAGCTAGTGATAGACCTCACCATTTAGGTTTTCGGGTCAGTTTGGATCGTGTAATTTAGGCTTCGGGTTATTCGGGATAATGTTATGAGTTCACCAATGCGTATTGAGTTGGATGAACCCATACTATCTTACATACTACTAGTCAAAAATCATTTGCTACTTATGTGAGATATTGTTATCCCCAATATCAAATTAATGACTTTCACCCATATGTTGAGTATATGCCAAAATCAGATATGGGTACAAAATTTTACACATTAATATATCACTTTGTGTTGTATGTTCATGAACCTTACATATATAGTATAGTTGAGACAGATATGGAATTTTGTTTCAGGTGACAAATGAGTCGCTTAAGATCACAAGCACTCGCAATGCTTAGAATAATTGATCATGATTTCAAAGTTAGTGATTATACAATTCCAGCAGGTTGAATCTTCATGGGCTATGTAGAGAAGTACGATGGGCCTTTAGCATTTGATCCATGGCGTCGGAAGGTGATTTTAATTTGAACATCTATACTATTAATTGAGAATCATTCTAACTTAAATAACCTTATAAAGTGTAAGATATTACAAAGATTGTCATTAGTTTTTAGTGTTTTTAAATAACTTCATTAAGGGTACAATGGTAATCACAAAATTAATATATTTAAATTAAAAATAGTTTAATTCTTTTAAATAATTATTAATTTCCAAAAAAATAAACTAACTTTCTCTCTCTTACTAATTATAAACGAAAATTTGAAATTAATTTTTAAAAAATTGTTAACCAATGAGAATTGAAAAACTAAGATTTGATATCCAACTAAGATTTTTATCTAAACCAATCGTAATAGACTATTCTATATCAAAAATAAGAAGAAAAATAATATCATTTTAATTCAAAATTAAAAACACTATTGTTTAAAAGATTTATCAATGGAGGACTTTAAGATTGAATTTAAAATTTCATAAGAAAATTAAATACAAATATTTTTCAGTTTTGTTATATTATTTTCACAAATTTTAAAATATAAAACAAAATTTTATTTCACAATTTCTAAAATACGATATTAGATATTAACAACTATTTATATTTACTATGAAATAAACTCAAATAATAATAAATTTAAAGTAATTATCATTATAACCTTCATTTAGAGCAAGTTTGATAAATATCTAAACAATAGATTGTATATATTAATTTCTAAATTATTTTGCGTTTTATTTTTTGTTTTTCAACCGGATCTTCCTTAAATAAATCCCTAATATATTGCACACAATTTTCAAATAAAAAACAAATTATGCAGCAATAGCATATCCCTTTTAGAGATGTATTTCAAATTTCTATTTTTAGTCCAAAAATCAAATTAATTATGATTAAACAATAACAAGAAGAATATGCAAAATTTAGCTAAGGAAAAATACATTAATAAATGTGTTAAAATATATTTGTAACTTTAGCAGCATATATATTAATCTGCAAAACTAACAGTATGTATTGTATGGTATTTAAAAGTAAGCAAACAAGAATTTGGAACATGATTTTAATGGAATGAAATGAGAATAGGAATTACGAGACGGGATAGGAGGGGAACATAAATTAAAAATCAAACTAAATACCCAACTGGTATGAGTTCGGGTTATGAGCACTATATAAAATAAATTTGTTTACATACTGTACATACGTTTTCAGTTACACATATTCTATTTATGCCGGATACTGGACCTTCATATTTTTATTTCACGTATACGATACAAGTTATGGGACTAAGAATTTATGACATATACAAGACGGGATAAGTTTCCCGTTCCAAAATAGTTACGCCTAGCTAATATACATGAAATAACCAAACTCAAACCGAATCTATATCCTATTTAACACATGTAATCAAACTATTAGAATGTTTTGATTAGTTTAGAAAATTAAAAAAGTAACATCATTTAACTTTTGCAACTAAATTATATCTTAGTTTTATCTTAAATATAATTTCGCACGTACGTGTAGGTCAGAATCTTAAAATATAACTATGCACTAACGCAACTGAATTTCGTTCATTTCTCTAATTTTATAATATTTATACTATTATAAAGTTCACTAACACAACAAAATATTTTATATTTTTAAAATCTATATAACAATTTCTATAAAAATATCTCTGCACGTGGGTGTGAATCCAGATCTAATACACTAAAATATATATCATGGAAACAACGAAATAATCTATATTGTATTAAAATTTGTTAGAATTTTTTTAAAAATATGAAACCCCGCACGTATGTGCGGGTCAAGATCTAGTATTCTTTTAACTGGTTATAACCATATTCCACGCACTAATCAAATACATAGATAGAATTTTCAGCATATAATAATTAAATTTTCAGAGTGAAGATTTGGGCTCAATCCTCTCCAAGACTTACAATCCTTTTGGTGCTGGTTCAGAGTGGTTATAGACTATGTGTAGGAGCTGAGCTCGCTAAAATACAAATGGCCATTTTTATTAATGATTTGTCTAGATACATGTTCACTTTTATTATAATTTAATTTTATTGAAGTCAAAGTTTTTTTCTTACATGTATATGTGATTTGAAGGTGGTAACTGAAGGCGGAGACATGAATATGATTTTGTTTCCAGGTAGATCTAATTATTACAAATCAGATGAAAAACAAGGTGTAGAACTGTAGAAGTATACAATCATTTAAATTCGAATGAGATACAAGTCTGTTTTTTTTTTTTTAAAGCATTTTCAAAAAGGTAAACAGGTTACAGTTTAAAGTAATTATAAAATCAAATATTACCAGCACAGTAATAATTAGATTATAATTTGACAGCTTTCGTCATTATGATGCAAAGTTTAGATCAAGACACTTGGATTTAAGGAGGCAAAGGCAAGCAGTTCTGTGCTCTGCTCGAACAATGACATGTCTTCTTGATACAATGTCACCCATGCTTCGATTCCTTGTCCGTCGTTTGAATCGATCAACACTGTAACATTGTCTAAAGCCGGAGCCACATTTCCGGCGACCCAAATCGGAGATCCCCACCCAAAACAAGCTTTGTAAAGCGGAAGCTTGCACCAGCTAGTTACACAGTGCGGGACATGAGGCTCGGAGATTAACTTGGAATAGTTATTCATCATTTGACCAACCAATTTCGAACCAATGGTAATCGATGATCCTTCTTCGTCTTGGATCAAATGGGCTAACTCCTCTGCTCTTTTTCGTAGTTCTTTAACAACTTCTACAATCTCCACCTCACATTTTCCATTCAAGGTAATGGTGGAGAACATGAGGTTACCGATTAGATTTTCCGATAAAAGAGAAGGTATCTTGGGGCGCAAATTAGCTGGTTGGGCCAGCACTTTCTTAAGAGTTGTGTCTGGTGATGCAGCCACAACGCATCTCCAGATAAGGGAAGTCACGCTCTGGACCCGCGTGGGTTGAGGCACGGCATCTGCACTAGCTGCTCTTTTCCTGAGCTCTTCGAGTTTAGAAGCTACAAACACAAATCTCTTCGTGACACTTTTTCTCTTACCAGCTTGATCTTCTACCGGAAGTGTAAAGGCCTCGTTGGCTTGTGGGAAAAGTTTTGTCGCAGCGAACTCAGGACTCGCCACAGAGTCGCTCTCTCCTCGAGTCGTGGCAGCCCAAACCTGAATGAATGTCGAGAGAGAGGCTGCATCGGCGAGCTTATGGGAGATGCAGATTCCAATGGCCATGCCCCCGCATTGAAAGTAGGTTGCCTTTACCAGCAGCAATGGCCATGTAGGAGTGGCCTCCGCGTCTAGAGGAAGCAACTGTTGTAGGGTCTCGGAATCTGGAGATCTGAGAAAGGCAGAGAGAGGACAGTTATCAACATGTGCGTCGACAAAGACCGCTCCTTCGTCGTTACAGTCGACGGTAACTCCGTTGATTCTGCCAGCAAATGGGTAGAATTTTGTCAAGGTTTCGGACAAAGAAGTCTTGAGTTTGTGGGAAGTTTGTTCTCGGGAGATCAAATCATCTTTTGTGTAGAAAAGAAAGGCGACGGTGTAAACAGGAGGCATGAAGTGATCCATAATAGAGAATTGGAGAGTTCGAAGATCATTCGGAGTTGTGGCAGATGGCTTTATGATTTCTCTACCGATGTCTTCAACCTTGATTGTCTCCATTACTTAATCTTTTCTATTTCTCTTTTATTTCTTTCTTTTGCTTGGTTCTCTCTTCTTTGGACGAAGAGAAGTATTCCTTTATATAACATGAAACATCTGTTTGGGTTTCTCAAAAAATTTTATGTGTAGAAAAACATAAGTTAAAGTATTATTCAACTTCGAATAGCTGCAAGGACAACGTCGAGCCAGCTCATTTTTGACTTGCTGTAGATATTCACCAATAAGCAGCATTATACAATTATACCCTCGGTTGAATTATGTAATATAATATGATTTTCAAAGATTATATAATTGCATTTTGTGGAAGGTACTTGTTCTATTGGTCAATGGTGTAAAGGTTTAAACAACAACTTTGTGGTTTCAATTCCTACAGGCTAAAAAATGAAGTAATTCTTTTTAAAACAAAAAGTTCCTAAAGAGTACAATTTTAATGGATGCAAAGTTTATTAAAATTTCTAGAGTGCTGCAAATAGGGTGTTTGTCATTGTTTCTGTGTGTTAGGGGTAAAACTGTCCATCGTGAGTATGATGCAGAGTTTTTTTTTTTTTTTTTTTTTGTCAAAGACTTGTTTCATTCATGAAGACGGAACAAGGCACAAAACAGCCACAAATACGAGGACAATATGGCTTGAGGGCAAGCATAAAGAGCATAAAAAGGTACAAGCAAAGGCTACACAAAGATAGCTAGAAGAATTCAACAAAGAATCCATGAGAGCTTGGGGACCAAAGCTAGATAGCGATTTGGCGCAAGTGATAACACGGTTTGTCGAAAAATCATCCACGTGCAAAGCGATTTGGCGCAAGTGATAACACGGTTTGTCGATGCAGATTTTTCTTCTTTCTATTACACTTCACTCAATTTTGGGATTTTTAAATCCACATTAGAGATTTTTTTTTTTAAATTACGTTTTTGAACAAACACCACGTTATTTTGTGTTGAAAAAATTATGCACATGCTGTTTTCTGACAAAAATAAATGGAGAGTATTAATTGAACGATATGTTAGGCGAAATTATCGAAGAAGATATATAGTTTTGAAAGAATCTTTACTTGATAAATTTTTTCATTAATAATTTAGTCGAAGATTTGAATATGGATGGAGAGATATACTTGAGGGGCTTTTTCTTTAAAATCTATTATTCAAGGATTGTTTTTGTCAAAATATTATTTAAAGATTTTTAATGTAGTTAAAAGGTTAGAATGGATCTGCCAGTGCTACATTTACCATTAACGACGTTTATGCTAACAAAGTAACAACTATTTTAATATACTAGTGGAGGCCGTGGATGGTGGGATTTGTACCTTAGCTTGGACTAGATCCACATGGCAATCCTTCACCACCCTTGCCAGATCGAGATTTTGTAGAAGTAAAATACTAGAAACAAATCTACATAACACATAAGCATGAAGGGTTTTGAACAACTTTTAATTAATTTAATTAATTGTTGCTCACTTTGTGGTCTAGCAAATGCACATTGAAGTATTTAATGGCAGGAGTAAGGCTATGAACATGTAATGTTATAGTAGTATTCTTCATAATTTGATATTCAAGATAATTGAATTAATTAATAATATAAGCCAGCAGATTTATCCATAACAGCTGTGAACCTTAATTGTTTTTCTCAACAATTAGCATACACGATCAACCAACCCTGAAATGGTTTTAAGTTCATGTGCAAAGAAAGCAAAATAAAAGTTATAATCACGATTTTTGATTATTCAATTAACGGAAATTATATGAGATCAATATTTTCGTCTAGAGGACGTTTATTTGGTTTTATATTAGGCTCACCACTATCATCGTGTACTAATCTAGGTTTGATTCTTAATGGTTAAACATTATAATAAAAAAAAATATACACCGCGGGTGCTGAGGAAGATGATTGATAATTTTATATGGTTGCCCATTTCTATTCAGAATCAATATTTTATCTAGATAGATCCACGGAAGATGGAATCAAGAAAACTGGATGGATTTGTTAGAAGTTACGTTATCTCATCATCAATAGCAAATTGACAAAAAAAAAAAAAAAAAAATAGAATATCAAAGTATGCAAAGTACGGAATTCATGGGCTTTGCCTGTTTCATAAAAGTTGTCGGTGAGAAGCCAAGTAGAAGTGTTATTGATGTTCTCGATAAATAGAGTTCTCGGAAAACTTCCAAAGCGAGACCAGAAATTAATCGGCGACAATGTTTTTAAACCCGACTCGGACGGTGAACCGGACTACTTTCTGGGTCACCGGATCACTGGATTAACCGGATTTGACCAAGGGTCAATTGAATAAAATTTATTTAATATTTAATATTTGTTGAGATTATAGTTTTTATAAATATAAAAATAAAAATAATCATACTATATTTAACAAAATATGAAGTCTAAGGATAATAATAAAGTGATTCAAAATTTTAAATCCAATAAACCGCAACAAATACTAATGACGGAAAAAACTAATAAAACATCGCAAATTCAAAACAACTAATCTCGGTTGGCTCTCCCACCGTTCAATTCATTCTCCTCATGCGGTATTTTTAACTTTTCATCAAAATCTAAAATATCAAATGAGTATAAGAACTGAAAAATTGAAAAAAAAAAATTTGAATAGAGTCTAAAATCTTATATTTTATTGCAAAATCAAATGAAATTTTTCAAATCCATACCAGGCCGGTTCAACGGGTTCACCGGGTCGCGGGTAATAGCGGGATTTTGTGGGTTTTTCCGGTTTTGAAATTGCCGGATATTAACACTAAAACCAAACTAAAAAAATGTATGGATCGCGGATTAACCGGTTGGACCGGACGGTCCAAGTCGGGCGTGAAACACTGGTCTGTGACTACGCTATTAAGATGGCTAGACTACCGGAACTAGTTTAGATGAGGTGGATCTCATGACCTACAGAAATCGAGTTGTGATGATCTTGTGAACAAATCAGATCCTAATTGAATTTTTTTTTCCGAATTACTAAGAAGTAATGGGATAAGGCCCGTAAATCCTAATTGATTTGCATGTCTTGATTGTCTAATTACGTGCGAGAGTTGAGTAATTGAATTCTCTAGACATAGATAATTGATGCTGCGGGAGTAGATCTTTTACACAACTGCCATTTGAGTTCTAAGACTTATATAATCAGAACAATGAACCGAATCGAGCCAAATTGATAAGAAAGTAAGAAATTAATAGAGAAACTATTGAATACCTTCAAATTGTTTAAGCAATATCGGTAATTAGAAAGGCAAGTTGACAAACACAAATGTTAAATAAATTATATAGAGTACAACCAATCAAGGTCAAACATACATCAAGTAGCATGAAAACTGAAATGATTGTTCTCTTTATTGAAATCACAACAAAATGCAAAAGCAAAATAATAATTAAATCAAAGCATAGTTCAATCTTGGATATTCATGACCAGACTTTAAGATATTGGTCACTGGTTTAGATCAGAACTGGAGGATTAAGGACCGCATAAGTAAGCAAGTCTTGGTCACGAACGAACATGAGCATGTCTTGTTTGGGTAAGCCTACCCAAGCTTCTACATCTTCACCATCCTTTGATTCCATTAACATGGCATAGACCATGTTGTCATAGATGGTATGTGAAGCGGATCCTACCCATACCGGAGTACCCCATCCAAAGTCAACCTTGTAGAAAGGTTTTTTGCACCAGCTAGACATTGTGTATAAGTCTATGTCCGGTTTTAACTCTGAAAAGAAATTTCCCATAACACTCAACAAGTTCTGACCAAGTGTGGTATCGGTTATGGCACCTGCAGTATTGTAGCCTTGGAGATTCTCTTCGATCATCTCGTTGACACCTTCCTTGGCCTTTCTAAACTCGGCAACGATTTTCCCAATTTCCATCTCGCTCTCTGCGCCTTCCTTGAGAAAAAATGCCGACTGTAGGTTACCAATTGCGTCTCGTGACAAAACATTCGGGGGAATCCTCAGCCGCAAGTCCATGGATTGAGTCATCAGCGTTGACTTTGCAGCGACCGAGTTAGAGCGTGAGGCATTTGTGGCACATCTCCAGATAAGTGATGTGATGGCTTCCACACGTGTAGGTACCGGAACGCTCTCGCTAGCGGCCTTCCGTTTGAGATCAGCAATCTTAGAGGATTTGAAGACGAATCTATTGGTAATACACTTGCCTTTAAGCCCGCAAAGATCTTCCATTGAAGCAGCCTGGAAAGAGTTATGGGGAGGAGGGTAAATGGTAGCTCCTGTAAAATGAGGAGTAGTCACCGCTATGTCATTAGACTCACCATTTGCTGTAGCCCAGCTTTGGATAAAGGTTAACAACGAGGCTGCGTCGCAGATTTGGTGAGATATAGCCACAGTGACCGCAACTCCTGATCCGGATCCGAAGAAACTGACCTTAACACTCAACAATGGCCATGTCCCAGCAGATTCTCCTGGTACAATTGTTGGGAGAAATTCTCCAAGATTGTTGGTATCATCGAGGTTGTTTCTAAGGAAATCGGAGAGAAGGAGATCAGTACGTGCTTCGGTGAACACGGCTCCTTCGTCGTTGCAGCTGATGGAGAAGCCTTCAATTCTTCCCGCTAGAGGATAGAAACGTGACAGAGTCTCCGATAAAGAGCTTTTAAGCTTTCCGGAGATGATCTCCGGCGACTCTCCACCGGCAACAGATTGGTAGAAGAAGATTGTTGAAACGTAAACTGCAGGACATGAGACGTCAAAGAAAGACAGTTGAAGGCGATCATGAGGTGCGGGTGAAGCAGGTTTGATGACTTCTCTGCCTACAACCTCTAGCTTTGCTTCCATTATCTTCTTCCGAAACCAACTGTCGACGGTAAGAACTACAAGCGTCACGAAGACATGATGCTCTATTTAATAAGTATATCTATTAACGCTTGTTTTATTTAGCTGAATTCAACAATTATTTTTAACATTTGATGACCCAAAAATATGTCCATTTCAAATATAAAAATTAGATTATAAAAAATAGATTATAGCGAATAGACATGTTAGATAACAAAAAACCTTCATTGCCAGCTTTGCAATCTCGTGTATGTCGATCTTTTTTTTTTTTTTAAATTATTATGTCGATCTTAGATATAACGTGTGCATAATGTTTTTTTTTTTAAATGATGTACAATCTAATGTTAAAGTCCTCAAGGAACCTCACGATCGAAAAAATAGATCTTTTTTGCTCGGTTCAGTTATAAATACTATATTTCTACGATCACATTCCACGATTTTTGGAATCAAATCACTTTATTTATAGACAATGCCGTGCTTACTAAGTCACTTTATTTATGATCAATATCTTTGTTTATTCTTTCGAAATGTTAAAATTTGTTGATTATACGGGCCCAATAAAAAGGATCCATTACATAAATACAGCCTAAAATGTTTATTTAATTTATTATCTTATGTATAGACTTTCATGAGCTTCTTCGTAAATGACGTTAAGTCAGACGATATATTAACGTCATACAATATTAAGACGGTCTTTAAACCGACGGTATTAATCTTAAGTCATTGTATAACTGACGTTATATTCAATTTTAACCGACGTAACTTGCCGTGTTTTTTTGTAGTGAATAGATATGTCATACAATTTTTTCACTAGTATTGACGATAATAATTAAATAAAAGGATAAAGAACACACGACTATTAGAGTATTTTACACAAAGAGTTAAGTATTTCTAAATATGCATATTTATTTATCCCTAGTTAGAAAGATCATTGAATCCCCTGCGATCCCTTGAATGTCCAACCTTTGTCTCATCTTAGTTTACTTGCTTCTTTATTTACTTATTAGTTTAGTCGTGACACCAAAACCAAACCCCCTTTTTTATCGATTAGTTCTAGCCTTACTTTTCTCAGACGGATTTATGAGTGTTTTCTCCATGGATATTTTGGTCTATTTGGCATGCTAGAAATCAGAATGTCTTCAATCAATTACAGATCCAATCGGAGGAAATGTTGTTTGCAATTTTAAGAGCAAATGAATGGCAAGGCCCTCAAATAAAGATAGAACCAAAGCAATCAACCAGGATCCGGATCCCAACTTTGACTCCTCCTCCGCACTTAATCTACTACAATACGAATGCCTCTTGGAAAGGAAACCGTTCCACATGATTCATTTGGGTATTTAGCAAATCGGGAAATTGACTCCATCAGGGCTCAAAGGCGAAATTAAACAACAGATCCCCCCCCCTCCCCCCTTATGGCTGAAGCGACGACGATCCTTCATGCTCTTCGACACGCCACCCCCTAGGTTTTTGCCAAATCCATATCGCTTCCGATTCGTCTCAACTAATCAAAGCGCTTAACCCGGAGAATCTTTCAAAATAATTTCATGGGATTTATCATAATCTATCTTTAAATTTTGATGTTTTAGCTTTCAATTACATCTTTAGAGCTTCAAATCAAGCAGCATGTGTTAGTGTCGGATCCCGAACCCAGAGTTCGGATCCACCCGAAGATTGTCACGTAGACCGAAAGTCAACAAGATGGAGGTCAACGGAGCAAATTCACCAACCGAGGCGGATATTCAGAGTAAGGAGCTAGAAAGCCTGACGAAGTGGAGAAAAGCTCGGGAAATAAGCAATGGGCTGAGTGCTCGAAGGCCCAAGAAGAGTTCAAACTCATTTCAAAATAAAAACGTTATGATAAGGATAGAGAATCAAAACGGACACATTTATTAGCGTTAAATAGATTAATTATTGTGTATAAATATGAGACCCCTAAGACAAAGAGAGGTACATGGAATTCTTGCTACAAAGCTAATACTATACTACTTTCTCTTTACATTTTTGCTTACATTTTTCATACAATTTTCTTTACGTTTTAATACTTGTCTTTTGATCTTAAGAATTTCTGCCACGAATAACTATATACTTGAGTGTGTGAATCCGACATCCACAATATGCGTTTGCGAAGGAAACTCTTCTTTTGTTTTCTCTTTTTGTCCAAAAAAATAAATAAATTTGGCTGAATTCAAGTAAATTCAATAATTTTTCAACACACGCTGAATCATTAATTTATTCATTTTTAGATAAAAAACTAAAGAATAGCAAATAAGTAGATCGGAAATCACTATTTTCCGTCGGCTTATGTTTGTATCTAATGTATCTCTTCAAGTTTCTTATAAATACAACCAGATGACAAAAAAAAAAAAGTAGATCGGAAATCTTCTGCCCTCTCTCAGCCAACTTTGCAATCTAACTGTTTTAGTTCTAGTTTATGTTCAAGATATACCTTTGATTTTTTTTTTGTTTTGTTTATATAACGTGTGCATAATGTGATATATTTTTAAAATGATGTACAATCGGATGTATTTAAAGTCCTCATGGAACCCACGATCCGAAAATAGATTTCGTTTCCTTGCATCGGATCGCTTATAATTTATAAATACTGTAGTTAGATACTATTTTTCTCACGATCACAATCCACAATTTTTGGAATCAAATCACTTTATTTATAGTTTATAGACAATATCCTCATCGTTACTTGTGGAGTAAGGGACTTTATAATTACATTTTCTTTTTTCTGTTTAGTTCAAATGTCATAGACATTTTCTTTAAGAAAATGTCATATAAATAATATATGGAAAAACTGTTATAAAAAATTTTAACTGTTTAAAAAAATCTCAAATTTGCATTTGGTAGATATCTCCAACTTCTATTGACTTTTCTAATCTTATTATGTAAAATATAGTTTTCAAAGTTAGTAACTCATAGGATCGTGTCACATTTCAAATATATTGATCTCAGATTTTGACATGTGTTAAACAAAAATTTCCTTTTATTTATTTTTTAAAAATATAAGAAAACTATACGTATATGTCAAATTTAAGAAAAAAAATTATAAGGCAACTATACATAAATATCTTATAAAAAACAATTTTTAAAAAGTAAAGAAGAGAATTATAAGGAAGCTATATGTATCTTATTAAATAAAAATAGAAATTAAAAAATTATTTACTAATTCTAATTTAAAGCTACTAATTCTAAAAGAAAAAGATTACTTTTTCCTTAAAATTAAAAAGATTTAGGAAATTATACAATCTTATTATATAATATGATAATTAAAGAAAATTCATAATCAATTATTAATCCTAGAAGCAAAAGAATTCTAAATACTCATCTCTATATATCTACCTATACATTTTTACAGGGTTTTTTTTGCATTAATTCATTTGGATCCGGGTTTTACCCGGGTTTAACTCTATCCGGATCTTGGATAAGGAATTTTAGGAATGTTGTCTTAAAACCACATTAATTCTTAATTAACACCTAAATTGGAAATATATATAATATATCTAAACTAACCATATTTGTTATTTACCTTAACTACTTCTAACCATAATTATTTAACTATTTATTTCTATATAGAAAGAATATGTGATTAAAATAAATATTTTGTAAAATATTTATTTGGGAAAAAATTGTTCATACGAAAATAATTTATTTTGTTATAAAAATTAATATTTGTTATTTGTAATTAAATTACATAAATAATAATAATAATTTGTCTACACCATCAAATGAAAATAGTTAGTTATTTAATTTTTTATTTAATATTACGTAATCTTTAAAAAATAAATTCAACAATATAATGTCAATGGGTTTAATTCTAAAGATTTGAAAATATTAAAAAAGATACTAACCAAAAATTATCTATCCTAATTTGTTTCTAACAATTTGGACACAAATCTTTCAAATCTTTCGAAAATTTAATGTGATCACATTTGTTACTAAAATCTCGATTATATTCCTAAAATCTCGAGAAGATCTTCATTTAAATCTGCAAATTATAATTTATGAATTAAATAAACTAACAATACGAATATTCCTAATATATTCGAGTACCATAACGAAATTAATTCTTTAATTATACATATATTTTCGAAATTATCTTAAATGCTTATCATTCCAAAAATTAAATTGATTTCGAATATTTCAACAATCTAAATTAATTACTATAACATACTTTATCTCAACTATTGTTCCTAAAATATTGCTTAAATCTCGATTTTAAAGAAACTAATTACTCTATATATATTTCGAAATAATTAGATTTGGATCCTTTCTTTATTTGAACGGTTTATCAAAATTATATTCCTATAATTGATTGTAAAACATAAATGCACTATTACGAGAATATGAATTTAAAGGAAAATCTTTGATATTAATACTCCTAATAAATAGCCGATTTTAATTGCAAAAATCTTTCATATTAATGCTCTGAATAAATATGCAGATTTTAACAGTATATAATAATAATTGCAATTCACATTTCTTGCCTAAATAAAATGAACTATATTAATTCCGTATTCAATCCACCTAAAAGATTTAGGAAATTTTCTCATGATAAACGATTTTTAAAGATATTATCCTAAAATGGTTAGGAATATATGTAGCATATTCTATATTTGTGATAATTTAAAGATTTTCGAATATATCAAAGCCTTGCTAATCAAGATTTTGGATATTCTCTAACACAAAACCCTACTAACCTATCATAACTCTATAAATACTTGATCGTTTCTACTACTTCTGAACACACAAAACACCAGTTGCATTCTTTAACTTTCCAATTTCTAATCTTAATGTGTTGTTTGATTTAATTTCTTGAAATTGGATTCGATTAAACTTTGAATTTTTGTTTATAGGTTTAGAAATAAATCTATTTTGAATTTTCTGCGTCAATCATTTTATGAAATTTGAGGAAAAAGATACAATTCTTTTTTTATATTCATCAATTCTTTTGTTCATATACATCGCTAGAGTCTTTGGATATTATTAACTTTTTTTTTGTTCGTGTGCAGATTCTTTGTGGTCGATCATGTTGGTGATGAGTTACGACTACTCTCAATGCTAGATGCTTTGGTAACAAGTTAATTTCTATATAATATGGATTTTCCACTTACAGATTTGGAATGTCAGATTTTGTGAGTTGAAAAACTATTTATGTTTCAAAGTGTATATCTAAGCTATACAAAAGAAGTATATTTGGCATCTTTTTCTCTTTTTATATTTGTGACTGTAGCCATTAAGAGTATAAAATATCTGGAAAAGATGAAGACCAACATAGAGACACCAATTTGTATCAAAAACAGGCAATTACTCATTTGACTAACTCTGGTTGTGTTATACGTACGTTTATTATTCTTTCAATTTGCTAACGACCTTATATGTGACTATTTAGTAGAGCTGCTGATTTGTATAGGCAGATTCTTCAGCTAAAGCCATTGCTGGAGTACTTTATTAAAATTTCTGACTCAAAAAATTTATATGTTTTGTTTTATATACGTTTATTATATTTTCACTTTCACTTTGGCTGATGATCTTATGTTTGACTATTTAGTAGAGCTTAGCCTAAGGTGCATTAAGTGAATGCACCATTTTACTAAAAGCAATAGACACAGTGAACAAGGTATCATCCATCTGTTTTCATATATATACTCGATTTGACAAAATTCATGTTTGCTTTTTTATTGTATTCAAACCAATAATAATCATATTGAGCTTACATTTCTTGGGTGTGAAATAGAATCACCTTTTCATTAGCAATCTAATAACTAATGTAGTTTCATTGTGACGTAGCTGCATCACATTGTCTCAAGAATATTGAGTCCTTTGAACAGATGAGAAAGCTTACCTGGAGAAGGCTGCCCTAGAGTTTGATGAAGAAAAAAAACATGGCCTGCAAAATAACAAAAACGGTAGGACCAAAATATTTTGTTTTTTCTTTAGCCGTTCGATTTAATTACAAATATTTGTGTTTCACTGTTTGAAGCTCAAGTTGTTACACGAGCAATCAGATTGTATAAAAACATTTCAAGGTTTTACATTGAAAAAATTATTTACAAGGGTTCTTTTGTTTCTGAGAAGATGAATTGAAAGATCAAGAAAGTGAGTTCTGAAAAGCATTGTATCATTCTCTCCAACACCGAAATAAGACTTTTGTAGTGAATTCTGAATCTATTATATCAAATATGAACAAAACAACAATAATTTGAGCAAACCACAACACTCCTCAACCAGGTAACTCATGTTCTTTGACTCTAATGGAAATTAGTTTTAATAAGTTTCATCAATATGAAAATCAGAAATTAATTCTATAAGTATCTAGAAATTAGATTCTCCATTTCAATTCATAACACACAAAACTCATAAAACAAAAAACAAAATTTTTTTTGAAAGATCGTACACAGTAATAAATCTATTCCTTAATCTATATCTTACAGAAAATCGGGGAATATGGATATTGGATGAACAGGAGACATGAACTCTATCTCTTGGCCACAACGAAGAAGATCATCGAGAACTGAAGTAGATTTAGAACGATGGTTTGTGTGTCGTCTCACCTTCGATCCGATGCAAATTAGATACTCATCCCCTTTAATCAATCGAATAATCCACATGCAAGTAGCTTGATTACATAAAAACTCCAAAATCAGAAACGTATAAGAACGGTTGAAGAAGACGAGAAGATTCTCAAAAGAGATTTTTATTTTATTATATAATGCAACATTTTCTGTTTTTTCATAGATATTTCAATTAAAGTCCAAAGGGTTAAATACAGAAAAGACAAGTGAAGCCTAATTAAGGCCCAATACATAATTACACGTCTTTAACATAAATTAGTTTTCTTTTTCAGAGTTTTTTTTTTTTTTTTTTCTGTTTTCTTAGGTAAAGCATGAGACATTATTTGACTATTTTATTTTTTATACAATTAGAGTAATTTTATTTGTCTTTCGAAATTTTGTCTTTTTGGTTTATTTTAACACATTTATAACACACATATATAACACTATATAGCATTATCAAACAATTATATAATAAAGAAAACTTTAGTATATTCAGATTAAATAATAAATTATATAAGTAATGAATATAAATTTTATCCCACTAATAAAACTTACTTAATTTTAAACTTTGGGATAGTAATTTAATAACATGTATCTTATTCGTATAAATATTTAGTCATATAAAAGCCAAATAATACTTTAGGAAATGTTTTAATAAAATTATTATTAAAAAGAAAATTACAAAATGATGTTTAATTTCACGGGATGAGATTATATGGTGGGACGGATTTGGATCAATATTAATACGGGATGGTATACTACGGGTAAAATCCTAGAATTAATAATCAAACTATAATTATACAATCTTAAACACTAAACAAAACAAATATAACTTAAAATTTTGATTTTAGTTGTAAAATATCGTTATGCGGTTATACTATATATCTATAAATTATCTTAAAAATTTTAATTTTTTTATTTAGTAAAAATATAGGCCCGCGGTGTACCGCGGGTTAACATCTAGTAGATAAACAAATAGATAGATAGACAAATTAAGAATATAGGGCGATGGAGGCAAATTAAGAATTATGAACGGCGATGGACATAAAATAGAGTGGTTGTCGAAGAAGCTCGACCCGATGTCGGAGGAGATACAAAAAGTGGAGAAATAAGAACAGTTGGGGAAAGAGGAGAAGATGCGGTAACAGTGGTGTTGGTGTGGATGACGGTGGTTCAAGTTTGGTGGTGGTGGCGGTAAATGTTGATGAAGGTGGTGGGTCGGAATTAACGAGATTTAGTATTGATGGTGATGATGATTGTGATAGTTTTGAGATTCAGTTGTGGTAGTGGCCTAGTGGGTCGTAGTAGTGAGACTCGGCGGTGATGCCCGACGAAGAAAAGAAATAGTGATATGGAAAAAGAAAAAAAATATGGTGGTGAACAAATCCAACGAGAGGGATAGAAAGAAAAGAAAGAGGAGATCGAGCAAAAATAAGAGAAATCTAATTTGAGAAAAATAGAGATTTGAGACTTCTCGCCGGCGAGAGGGAAAAAAAAAGAGACAACGAAGAACTCATGAGTAATTTGGGCCAAAAATTGACAAAAACCGTATAGGAAATAGACTTTGTTTAGTTAATATTATTTTCTTAATTCTTTTTAGTCTTAGGTTATTTAGTACATATTTCCTAATTCCTTATGAATTTGTCTTTTTGTTTTGAGGATTTTTCATATTATCAAGTAAAGTTACATGATGTGGATATAGACTGTCTCATATTTTCTCTTTCGTATTGTTACAATTTTTTATGATGCCAAGCTTTTAAAAAAAAATTCATATGTATACGTAACTCAGACCGTAAATTTACATATTATGTATATATCGTTTATATGTTTACGTAACTATATAATTTTATTTTTATTATTGTCACAATTTGTTTCCATCTTGCCCACATTGAAATTAGAAAGTGTTATACACTCTTCCGATGGATATAGTTAATTTATTAAAATTCAATAATACACATATGAATATTTATAAAATATCATACTGTAACATATAATAAACAAAACTACAAATAGTATTTATATTGCACATTATGCATAATTAATCTATTTTTAAAAAATAATTAAAATACTACATTTTTTAAATTAAAACATATTTTTATATAATTTTAGTTAAGCTTATAAAAATGACAATTTCGACCGGTAACCCGTGCAACACACGGATCATATCTAGTAATTATAAATTTTTGTTGATTTTACCAATTAATACAAATCGTTATGTGTGAAACGAAACAAACAAACGGAGTTACGTTTCTGTTAATGAACAAAACGACTTCATATGAAAACAGAACAAAATCCCCAATTTCGTTTCTTTTGGTACAAACATTGAAACAAACTCAAATTCGTTCGGGATGATGCATAGCAAGATTCTTTCCATGCACCAATAGAATATATAAAAGCTGGAAAATCTCAATCATTGATTTTAAACTGACGCAATGGCTCATGGGTCTATTATTTATCATTATTAGCTCTTTCATGTTAAATCTAAAAATACTAGCAAGAGGGACGTGCAATGCAAACATGTACGCTATAATTAAGATACATATATATTTCTAATGATTTGCTTAGTTTGCTTCTATTATTACGCTAACTCTAAGCTATTGGCAATTCAAAAAAATTATTTGATAGGATTCGAAGAATCTCGATCACATATTGTGATTTGTGATCATATTATTGTATTTTTAAAAAGATCCTTCCAAAAGAAAAGTTATATAATGCTTCTATATATTATTACGCTATCTCTAAGCTATTGGCAATTTAAAAATTTTGGTTGATAGGATTTGAAGTATCTCGAACAGATATTGTGATTTGTGATCATATTATTGTATTCTAAAAAAGATCCTTCCAAAAGAAAAGTTATATAAATTTATTTTATATATTACATGAGTCAAACAGTCGATACGACTAAAAAAATAACAAGTAAAGAAATTTTTAAATGTTTATCAAAAAATTTTAATTGGAGAATCTGAGTTATATCAATGATACCAGTTGTACCGTATATTAAACACACGAACTTCCAGTTTTAATGTCCATATCTGGTGTTCAATTAGGTTGTTGATTCCACCAATTCATCTATAATTGCTTTACCATTTATACCTATAATCTCTAGATAGCAAATTGTGGTATTAACTTGTTACTGTGAGCCTGTGATATCATTTTTAGTCAACAACATGAAAAGACCACCACTGCCGTGGCAGATGAAGACAAAGATGTGTATCTCATTGAAGAAAGTAATCTTCTCACCATTGTCTCTGATGATAGCTCATGGATTGTCGATCTGGTGCTTCTTTTCATGTTAGCCCTCATGGAAGTTTCTTCACAACTTACCAAATTAGTGTTGAATTTGCTAATGTTCAAATGGGAAATCAGGGAAGATTGTTGGAAAAGGGGATGTCAGTCTTAGATGAAACACAAGATTTTAGGTTTAGGGATTATCATTAGGATTTAGATGAATTGCTAGATCGATAAACTGTTAGGATCAAATCATTAGAGTTCTTCACCTTTGATTGTTTTTAATGCTAATTTTAGAGTAGCTAACTAGAATTTGATCTTAGGATAAGTTAGACACGAGAGTGCGCTTATTACTTGAACTATGTTAGGTGGGCAAAAGTAGCTATTCTCAAATAGGTTTGGTAGATATTTTTGTGAATATATCGAACTTGATCTTAATGCTTGTTTAGTATTAGGAATTTACAGACGAGAGTTGGAATTCCGATGATTAGACATAGATAGTCAATACAGACGAGAGTTGGTTGGTTATATTTTTGTGATTTGAGTTCTGGAACGGTTCCTAAATAATTCCTAACAATATTACTAGATCTACAATTATGATATTTTCTGAGAAATTCTCTGAGCCTGGCGTTTCATCCATCTGATTTATATCTTAATTTTGATTCTCTTTGCTGCTTTTAATTACAGTCTTTTTCTGTTTAGCTTAATTCAAAACTAATAGTCTATTGTGTGAAGTAGAAAACTTTGTGAAATTCGATCCCTAAGTACTGCAGTGATCTTTTTATTTGAGAAAGTAGTCAATAGAGAAATTTGACTCATATAACTAGGCGCTAGACCCATCTTCACCTCCCGACTAGCGCCTAACGATTTTTTTAACATGGAAAAGGGCAAGAGATCTTGACTGATATATAAGATATACGGGCTAACCCACATATTACCAATTAGTTTTGAATTGGATTCTCATATTTTAATATATTTATTGTTTAGGATTTAGGCTTAGGCATTTTGTTTTTTTTTGTTATGCTTTTGACAATGACGAGTTACATGAATATGTATGTGGCAACCCTCCATGGACAGTTAAACTTATTATGTGCATGTCTTGGCATTTAGGGTTGAGAGAGGGCTCAGAATCAGGTTGCTATTTGGACTTTGGGCTTTTGCCCGAATGCTTTATCAGAAAAGAATAGCGAGAACTCCTCCTAAAGGTCTGTTCACCATCGGATTACCAGGGCTTGACCTAGGCCTGGGCATTAATACTCGTTACCCGTTTTGTACCCGCTACTCGGCTCGTACTCGTCTTGAAAATTCAAATACCCGTTATAGCCAAGTCGAGTAACAAGCCGACAAATTCTATTACTTGCAAGTAAGGGTCAAGTATCAAGTATCATAATTTTTTTTTTATACTTGCCCCATTACTCGCCCTATTTTATATAACAAAACATATAAACTATAAAGCCCAGCGACCATTAAACCCAACTACTAAAACTATAAAGCCCAACGTTATAAACTAAAATTATAAAGGCCAACGTTAGTAACAATACAACATATAAAGCCCATTACACCCAATTACTTTTAAACCCAATAACAAAAAACAACAAAAGAACAATCGAGAGACAAGTTTCGATTTCAGAATTTTTTTAGGGTTTGGATGTTTGAATGTGTTGTGATTCTATAATGTTTTGAACTTCAATATTTTGTGATTTATGATGTTTAGAAGTCTGAATGTTTTGTAATATGTATGAGATTGTTTTTATATTTAAATCTTTTAGTTTAAGACTTCAAGTAACAAATATCTTGCAAGTAACAAGTCGGGTCAAGTTATCTTGCAAGTAACAAGCCGGGCCAAGTTACTTGCAAGTAACAAGATTTTGGACGGGTACTTGTTATAGCAAGTACTTGTTCAAACGAGTCGAGTATCAAGCCGGAATTTCAATTACTTGTACGGGCTAAAACGAATCACAAATACTTGAAAAATAGTAAGTACTTGCCTTGTCCTTGTGATAGGCGCTTGACCTAGAGACCCATCAAATAGAATATTAAAAGTTGGAAAATCACAATCACTGATTTTAAAAATACGTAAATAATTGAGAATGAAGAAAAAAAGGACACGCAGAACGATTTTGCGTTACTAGCGTGGCTCACGGCCCAAGACAGAACTACGTTGGGACTAATTAATAAAAAAATTTATATTGACCATTACTCGGTGAGATTATTTTAGCTCATTTGGCACTAAAAACATGTGTATTGGTGAGACTCACCAAAGTCTCCCATCTATAAAAAAATTATGATTAGCTGTATTTCTTATATAAAACCATGTTCTTCAATTATTATTATCTTTCTAATTCAAAGTTTAACTTGTAACAAATTTAAAATCATCAATTTATACGGCAAAGTATTAATACCTACATTTTAATCCTATAATTGTTAATAAAATTAGTAAATTATTTAACAATATTATCTACGTTGTTTATTTAATGTTTTAAAGTTTAAGTTTGTTTGACATTGTTAGAAAAAGCGCAGTTACACTGTTATATTTTCTATTATGAGTTGTAACTGCGCTTTTTCTAATTAATAAATTAAAAGATATTATTTAAATATATCTAATATATGTATCTAAGTATATTTAGATGTATTTTTCATTAAAATTAGTGTCTTTTTAGATTTCAAATTTAAAAATATTAAGGGTAGAAATTATATTCATGTAATATTTTATTATTATATAAGTTTTATGTGTCCCATATAAATATTGTTTCTAGATTTGTCACTTCTCACGGGTCAACTATTTTTCATTATTAACTCTTTCATTAATGTTAAATCTCAAAATGCTTGTAAGAGGGACGATGACGTGCAATGCAAACATGTACGTTATTAGATACATATTTCGAATGATAGTTGCATAGTTTGCTTCTAAATGGAGAAGCAAAGGCATGTGGATCTTCAGATCTTCAGCCACCCCGCTGGTTGCGGAAACCACAGCTTTATTAATTAGTAGCCATGCAACAAATTTGGTGTCGGGGCTATTCCTCGGTTCTTTTTGAAGGCGATAGCGAAGTTCTCATCAACACAGTCAAGAGATCTAATCGAAGATTCGAAATAAAAAATATGCTGCAGGATATTCATCTCTGGAAAACAAAGTTCATTTCTGTCAGTTTTATGTTTATAAAACGTTTTTGTAATAGCATAGCTCATTATTTAGCCAAACTTGGTAATAGTTAGGGTGATTTCTTCTCTGCTTCTGTGGATCCGCCAATATGGCTCACACAACTCATGTGTAATGATTTGTTTAATTAATGTTTCCTCCGTTTCAAAATATAAGATGTTTTAGATAAAAACACGCAGATTAAGGAATATCCACTTTTAAAAAGTTCAACCAATTATGAACGAGACTGCATAATATAAATAATCATAAAATATAAAATTAATCTATAATTTGCATAAAAACTTGAAAACATTTTATATGGTGAAACAAAAAATTTTCGAAAACATCTTATAATTTGAAACATAGAGAGTAATTTATTATCATCTATTTTGACGAAAAAACAAGTTGCATAGTTTGCTTCTATTATTACGCGACTCTAAGCTATTGGCATTTTAAATTATTTGATAGGATTTGAAGAATCTCGATCACATATTGTGATCATATCTCTACAAAAAAAAACTGATATAAATTTATTTCAAATGTTTACATAATAAGAAAAATAGACAGCCACATATATACGAACGAATCATACAAGTATACAACACAAACTTATAAATGTTTATGTAATAACAAAAAAACTTACTGGAGAACTCGAGTTATATCAATGGTACTAGTGGTACCGTACCATTAGACACACTAAACTTTCAGTTTAATGTCCATATCATATGTTCAATTATGTTTTTGATTCCATTAAGTCATCTATAATATTGATTTACCATTTATACCTTTAAGGCTTTAATCTCTAGATAGCATAGTGTGGTAATTCACTTGTTACTGTGAGTCTGTGATATCATTTTCTGTCAACAAAATACACCATAAGAAAATATGCTTTCTTAACACGAAATAATGCTATAATTTGTCATTCATAGTGTTTTCATCGGCCCAGATATTTTATTCGAAATAGACTTGCGCAAAACTCTTGCCTATAGTCTATAGACGTGCTCACCCCCAAATTGGTCGAGTTTCACGTGGACACTATAAAGTTGGAAATCTCATTTATTAGTAACGCAACTAGGACCGGCCGGGCATATGGAAAAAATAGAATCAATATCAATCATAGTATGAAAACATATATGAGATAACTTCTTATGACGTGGGTTTCAAGTTTCAACGCAATCCACGTTGATAAAAGAAGTCAATGGAGAATAAAGAAAACAGAAGTATGCCAGAAAGAGTGCAGTAATGATTTATCAGATTATTGTAATCTAAAAAGATCGTTACAACACAAAAACAAACAAAAAAAAGACATATAACTTAATTTTATATATTACACGATCTTTTGATCAAATATACACGACTTAACCACAGACTCGACTATATATAGAGAGCCACAACTATGTGAATCATACAAGTAAAACTCTTAATCTTTAAAGAAGAAGAAAAAAATGTCAGAAATATATGGGTTAGCATTATCTGTTATATTCTCACTTATGGTAGTGAAACTCTGCCATTGGATTTACCAGTGGAGTAACCCAAAATGTAAAGGCAAACTTCCTCCAGGTTCAATGGGGTTTCCGATCATCGGAGAAGAACTTTCGAATTCATGACGCCCTCTGACTTCAGTCTAGTAGTTTCACCGTATCTGGAGAAGAGAATATCCAGGTTTCTTAACTTCTTAATTTCTTTAAGTTCCCTTTATTGCAGATATTATACATGCACTTCACATTGTTCATAGAATAAATATACATTTTCCCATATCTAATTTGTAGATTTTAAATGCATGATTTATTGAAAGATCATAACTTAATTTTTTTTCATATGCCATCCAAATACTAAAACCGTTTGAGATGTGGAAGCTCTGTTTTTTTTTTTAATTAACACTATTTGACTATGAAAATATTAGTCAAATATTTATTATAAATTGAAACGTGTAATTTTTAAATTCAGAATTAAAAAAAAAAAAAAAAAACATGACGTAAATTTGGAGGACAAAAGTTTCAGAAAAATATTTGTTTCGACGTCACTTTTATTTTCAATTTTTTTGGGTGAAATGTGAAATTAATATAGAAAGAATAAACTAGAATAAACCATAGTCTTGTATTTTTATTTTAAAAATATATGGTATGTTTTCATCAATATTGTATGAAACATTAATTAATTTATTTTTATTTGAAAAAAAATCTGTATCAGATATGGTTCGAAAGTGTTTCGGACAAGTCTATTCGGAGCAAAAGTTATTGTCTCGGTTGATCCTGACGTGAATATGGAGATGGCAAAGGCGAGTTCGCAGTTGGGTGCTACAGAGAGCTTAAGGCGGATATTTGGAGAGAACAACGTGTTCCTCCAGAGTAAGGAGATTCATAAATATGTCCGGAACTTGACTTCTCGATTTGTTGGTCCCGAGAGTTTAAAAACAAGATTACTTCATGACATCGACAATTTGTTACGAAATGATGTTGAGAACGGAGCACTAAACGGTTCTTTTGATGCTAGAGAGGCATCAATCAAGGTTATCTACTAAACTCAAATCTAAAACATATTTTAAATCTCTTTTTTTTTTTCTTTTGGATCAACTACATGATTAGATTATTCAATCATTGATTTTGATAGAACTGAAATCCAATACTAATCCACTGTTATTCAATAAATGATTCTAAATCATGTTTTATAATTTAGTGTAATTGGATCTTATATTTGTAAATCATGCTTAATAAATTGTAAATCATACTAAGATTTTAAATACTTCCTTAATATCCGGTGTTATTCAAAACTAAAAGACATTTAAAATCTTTGTATATTAAGTGATTTGAAATGAAATATCTTTGAGTTTTATAAGTAAATTATTATTTTGGTAGCCAATTTATTTTGTTCTATAAATCTTCCATTGAATATAATATTATATATATTAAAATAAAGAAAAATTCCATCATTTATATATGTATTATATATATATATATTTTACAACAAATGAATGAATATTTTAGAATATTAAACCAGAAATTGATTAGACATAGAATTTTCTCGGCAATGAAATGAAAAGAAGAAAGTTACTATATCTTATTTATATAATTGTTGTGAATCATATTAAAATACTTCATATAATAAATAAAAAAATATGTTTTTCTAAGAAAACATCTTATGTGCGATAATAAAAATAATATAATTTTATTTTTTGATAAAAGGCTTAATAAAAACAATAAGAATGAACTGTAAACTTATGTTTTTTTGTCTTAAGTTATAATAATTTTATATGTTAATGTAATTTCTACGGTAGTAAAATTTTGTATGAAACTATTTGGTTATTTATTGTATCATTTAACAATATAATCCCGGGTGCTTAGTAAGCGTTAATCAGAAAATCTGATACTAATCATCTAACGATATATGTTTTCTTAACATTTTTCATTTGAAGATGGTGGGTGAACTTATTGCGAAGAAAATAATGGGTGAAACGGAATCTGAGGCCGTAAAAGAACTCGGGTTATGCTGGAGTGCTTTCCGAACCAGTTGGTTTCAGTTCTCTTACAACATTCCTGGGACAACTGTTTATCGATTCGTTAAGGTAAGATTCATCTATGTGCATCATGCTACTTAAATCTTATGTTGTAATGAACACATTTTTTTTATATAATACATTATACATGTGATTTTTGGTAGGCTCGGAGAAAGGCTGCGAAGCTGCTAAAGGCCTTGATTCTGAAGAAGAAATCATCAAAAGAAGGACTTGGCGATTTCTTGGATATTATATTTGATGAAATGGAAAAGGATGGGGCCGCTTTAGACATAGACAGAGCCGTCAACTTGATATTCACCTTCTTCATACTCTCCCAAGAGACAACTCCCGGTGTTCTAGGAGCGGTTGTGAAGCTTGTAGCAGACCACCCCAGCGTTATGGAAGAACTACAGGTTTTGTTTTCTTATTGATATTCCTTTCTTGTTAATTTTGTAGAGATCTACAAAAACAACATGTTAACCATGAAATGAATTGCAGAGAGAGCACGAGGCGATTGTTCGAAATCGAGCTGATAAAGACACTGGAATCACATGGGAAGAATACAAATCTATGACATTCACTCATATGGTAAGGTTTTGAGCAGTTTATTACGCAATACACATGTTGAAAGGGAAAAAAGAATTAAATGTCCATCATGTTTTCAGGTTATCAAAGAGTCGCTTCGGTTTACTAGTACACAACCTACCGTGCACAGAATACCTGCTCAGGACGTTCAGATTGGAGGTTGGCATATCTTCTTACATTGCATAATACCTGCTAATGATCAGTGTCGTGTTTACACACAACAGAGAACATATAGAGTTTGCTCATGAGTTAGTTTTTTTTTTTTTTGACAGATTATACATTACCTGCTGGGTGGCTATTTTTTGGCATTCCGCAAGTTCATTTGATGGAGAAAAGTATGGTGATCCACTTACCTTTAATCCATGGAGGTGGCAGGTAACTGCTTGGATTCATCAAGAGTGTTATAATACAAACATAAACAAGTATAAACATTTTATGTGTGGGGATAATAATTTCAGGGAAAGATATACACGGTACGGTATCTAGGGATTACATGCCGTTTGGAGCTGGCGGGACTCATTGTGTAGGGTCTGAGTTTGCTAAGCTCATAATTGCAACCATGCTCCATCATTTGTCCAGATTCAGGTTAATTAATTTAAACTTAAGAATGTTTATTAGACCAATTTGAGGAAGTAGACTGTTATGCCGAAACTTATATGATGTGAATTTGTTTTGTCAGGTGGTCACTGGACCCAAAAACAAGAGTGCTTCGAAGGTATACACTTATGTTCCCGGCTGGCTGCGAAGTCCACATCTCCAAGGATTCCGAGTGATGATCATTGAATTTGTGGTCTATCCTTATATTTCTTGTATAAATAATTGATGATCATTGATCTAATTGTTTTTTTTTTTTTTTTTAATAATCTACTCGCATGAGTACTGTTTGGTGTGTCTTTATCTCAATAATTCCTTGTGTTTATTAGTCCACGTGTCTTTATATTCATTAATTCCCTATGTTTATTATTCCAGGAATCTCTATTTTTCATTGAAGAATTTTGAGCTTTCCGAAATACTGCAAGGCACCTTTTTTTTATCTTATTCTCACGCATTTTTTTTGTAATTTCTCTGTATCTATCATTTTCTTGTTGGCTAATCTCAAGTTTAGTTTTCCAGAAAGGTTTTGAACATATTATTAAGCATATGTGTTTGATTGATTATGTTATAGTCAATCATACAGTACGTGATCAATTAATTAACGCAGTGCAATAAATCACCGAAGTTGTACTAAGACATACAGTATTACACGCCGCTAGATCAAATATCAGTGTAACACCGAAGTTTAATGCAAGTTAGTATAATATATTGCCATACGAAAGTTACCCACAGATGGATCTTTATGTGCTTTACTTACATATTGTGATCATGTCCTAATTTTTGTCGTACATATAGCTCATTGAGTTGATAAAATTTTGTTAGCTAGGTAATGTCTCCTTTTTTTTTTTTTTGGGTTAGCTAGGTATAGTGTCTCTTTTATTAAAGTTCCTTCACTTTGAACAATAGGTCTTTGTATTATCCTTACAAAAAGAACTATTAATTTGTGAGTTAAACGTTTAAATTTTTTATCACAGAGCTGAAGTTCTACAAATAATTAAGCAAAATTAAGAGAATCATGAAACGCGAAGATAAGAAACATCAGCGCAATGCTCGGGGGAAAAAGAAAAAGCACAGAAACGTATGCAGAATGTGGGAGTAAGCACAGCTGTTAACAATCCCCTTAAATGACCGCGATACCGTAATCTTGTTAGTCGTATAAAGAGAGCTTTACCTGGCTTCAGTAAATATCGTATCAAGCGATCGTCTCCACAAGCCAATCATGTGGCTCGAAGCATTGCCAAAAGTGTCACAAAGGATGGCCGTTTCCATCATATTTAGCAATGGGAGGACCGGCTTGGCTTCATTCTCGTATTGAAGAAGAGACATCTATTTAAATTATCTTTTCTTTAATTTAAATCTCTATGTTTTAGAGATGTATGGCTCTGTTTTCTTTTTATATGGTTTACAACTCTGTTTAATGTTCTTTCTTAAATTTATACCACACCGGAGGAGTTATTTTTCAAATAAATTAGATAAAGTGATAATTATGTAGGATAACATCCTTTTATTAATAAAACATGATTTTCCGGTAGGTTACATTTCTTGCATTACATTTTGAAGATATAGATTCAGTGTATCCAAATCTTTATTAAGGAAACAACAAATTTCAGTGCAGGATTTAGACCAAGACACTAGGATTCAGGGAAGCAAAGGCGAGCAATTCTGGGTTCTGCTCAAAGGACAACATGTTCTCTTCAGGCAGTGTGACAAACGCTTCAATTCCTTTTTTGTCCTTGGAATCGACCAACATGGCTAAGTTGCCAAAAGCAGGAGCAATATTTCCAGTAACCCAAACTGAAGATCCCCATCCAAAACTAGCCTCGTAAAGTGGTAACTTGCACCAGCTACTCACGGTGTAGGGCTCATGAGTCTCATAGCTCATCTTCAAATAATTAGTGAGCATCAGATTTGCAAGTTTAGAACCGATCATTGAAGATGACCCCTCCTCGTCTTGGATCACAATTTGTAAGTCATTCTTTTTTTTTCTGTAAGTCTCTAACGGCCTCTTCAATTTTCACTTCCCCTTGTTGACCAACACTCAAAACCACAGAAGAGAACATGACATTTCCGACCAAGCTTTGTGACAGAAGCGAAGGTATCTTGGAGCGCAAGTTAACTGGTTGGATCAACACTTTCAGATCACAAGTAGTAGTCGTTGAGGATGCAGCAGCGACGAACCCTTTCCAGAGAAGCGCAGTGACGCTCTCCACCCGTGTAGGTCTGTCTACGGCTTCTGCACTAGCGACTTAGTCCTCAGCTCTTCTAACTTAGAAGCATCGAACACAAATCTCTTCGTGATACTGCTTCTCTTGTTGGCTTGTTCATGGTGGAACTTATTTTTGATTAGTTGCGCCGGACTACTTTTTCGGGTAACTTTCAAAATTGAAGTTCGTTTGAATGATAAATGGAGATCCGAAGTGGCTAGCTTGGATAGCTTGAAATTTGATTAAAGGATCAAATGTCGCACTTCGGAAGTTAAAGGAGAAATCCAAACCAGGCATGTGTGCCGAGCCACGTTGTATCGTGTCGAGCCGGACCGGGTTTGAGATTTGAGATTTGGGAAATGGGCTTATAACCCAAATAATAATTGTTATTTACCCAAATGTGTTTAAGTCATAATGTTGAATGATTCAACATATATCTCATTTAAATGTGAATTGTGTAACAACAAATCAATTAATGAGAATAATGGAGTCAATGACTACCATTGAAAATATGACTTTTATGTTGAGAATGAATTCTCATTACTCCTCTTTATTTCTAATGTTGAGAGCTTGGACTATAAAACCAAGGCTTCATCTCTCCATTTTCTCATGGACATATGCATCAAAAAAAATCACAATGTCCTTCCTCTTCTCTTCTCTAGTTATCGAGTCTGAGAGTACACACATTACTAGAGTTCGTTAGGCTTCTGATTTTGAGTGTTGCAAATTAGAAGATGGTGCGGTTGTATCCTGGGATTCTGATTGCGTCAAGCCGTCACACTACGGGCAATTAAAGAATTAAGGAAAGAGTGTCTCGCCTCCGCACAAACCGTTCTTTGTTTATCAAATATTGGTATCGGTTGTTGTATTTTATTTCTGGTTTTTTATCATCATCTATTGCAATTATTCAGTTTTGCCATGTCGTAGAAATCGTGGTCTTACAGTTCATCCACCGGAAACTTAAAGGCCTCGTTGGCTGGTGGGTAGAAATTTGCTGCGGCAAACTCGGGACCCGCCACTTCGTCTCCTGCCTCTCCTCGAGCCATAGCAGCCCAACTCTGAATGAAAGTAGAGATAGAGGTTGCGTCGGCAATCTTATGAGAGATGCAGATTCCTATGGCCATGCCTCCACATTAGAAGTAAGTTGTCTTCACGAGCAGCAAAGGCCAGGTCGCAGCAGCCACGTGTGGGTTGTCCACAACGTCTAGAGGAAGCAACTGTTGGAGGGCCAAGAACTCAGGGCATTTGAAAAAAAAGATCAGAGAGAGAACAGTTATTGACACGAGCATCGACAAAGATAGCTCCTTCATCGTTACAATCTATGGTTACTCCATTGATTCTACCGGAAAGAGGGTAGAACTTGGTCAAGGTTTCGGATAGAGAAGTCTTGAGTTTGTGGGAAGTGTGTTCTCGAGAGATGAGATCATTTTTGGTGTAGAAGAGAAAGGCTACTGTGTAAACCGGAGGAAGGATGTGATCATAAATTGAGAGTTGGAGAGTTCGGAGATTATTTGGAGTTGGGGAAGATGGCTTTATGATTTCTTTACCGATGGTTTCAACCTTCATCGTCTCCATCGATTCTTTCTCTGTTTTTTTTTTTTTTTGGTTCTCTCTCTTATTTAGACGTAGAGTAAGAGAAGTACAAGTGCCTTTACAGAAATGTTCTACATTATCTTTAGAAGATATTTAGAAAAATGGAGTAACTAAAACTAAATAATTTTAATTACAAAATTTTGGGATAGCATTTTCATTAAAATGAAGCCTCGTTAACGAATATGATACATATCCCGTACTATAATCTATTTAGTTAATTATCCATTTATAAATGTTTATTTAGTCCAACACATTAAGGATTGGGAAAACAATTAGATGGATACCTGTATTTCTGATTTGAGATGGAAATTATTTAAATTCTTTTTTAAACACTAAAAGTCACTAATTTTTTTTCTTTCAAAAAATCAATATTTTTAAAAAATACTACTAGAATTTTCCAAAATAACCGTCTCTAAATGGATCCTTGCCCTTCATGAAGTCGACCTTTACCCAAATTAGTGAGAGTATAAAAACTGAATTCCGCTACTCAAATTTCTCGATTCTGTCATGTTACCCAAAACTTCCGTCACGTTCGTATAATATTTTTATTACCCAAATTATCTGTTCGACTGTTACTATCCCCGCTATTTTCCCTCCCGTTATCTGAAATTGACATGCTTAATTTGAAGTAATGACTAAAATGAAAGTCATTTTGTCGTTTGTACTTCTCCTTTACTAATATAGAGATTAAGTATTTATTTATTTCTATTTCTAGCCACAGTACTGTGTGGGTGAAAAGTACCATCCTTCAATTTAATGAACAACGGCCCATATACTTATTGCCGGTCCAGGCCGTGTCCCGTAAATAAATCTACTCTAACGACGTGCCATATATATGTAATTTTATTGTAATTGAAATTACATATTTATGGACAATAGGTCTGACGTATTTAATATATATGGCTATATGATTGTGTGTGTGGTCCAAGGATGAGAAAAATCTAGCCATTCTTTTGTGGTAATTGAAGCCATGCATATGAGAAGTTTCTAGCTATATCACACAAGTTGGGTTATCTTGTGAAAATGTAGAGACGATTGAATTGTATCAACTGCTGAACTGCCCCAGGTCCTTCCCACTAAATGGTAGAATATGACATATTTTTGTCGTGTAAAGAATATCAAATCCTACCATCTACCGCTTTAATGGTGTGATTAGGGGAATATAATACAATAAATTTTTTATAAATTAATATTCGATAAATTATTAATCATTATAATTAAATTTATCCGGTCTTAAGTTGGGCTAGTGTCAAAAATGACGTAATTCGATTCTTTATAGGGATCAAATTATCAAAGTGTTCCGACTCTTTTCCAACTAAAGACTTGTATAAAAACATATTGGGTGGCTTCTATACACCTATCATATTTTGTGTATAATTCGGTTTGGGGATTTACTAGAGTTTGAACTAGGTTCCTCTTCAGCTTTCCTTTTGAATTGCTTTTAGTTATCATTCCTTATTTTTAGTTTGACCTCCTCCTTCACCTCCATTTTGCATTAACTGGTTATGTTTTCGACCAATCTCCTTTGAAAAGGATTAAAATTCAACATAGACCAAAAAATAGTCAAAATTTTATTTTAGATGATAAAACCAACCCGATTTCAGATCCAACTCGATATTAGAGCTGATCCAGAGCTTTAACGTTTATATCAAACCTTCTAATTGATCTAAAAGGTTTCAAAATCAGAACAATTTTTTTAAAAAAGATATATCCCATTCTTCATTCATTGCCAACACCGGTCCACCTATGGGATCCGCCTAACCGCAAACATAGCCATGTGCAAGTAGCTTCTAAAATAAAATAGGGTGAATTAGCGCAAAGACATTATTGGGAGAAGAAATTAGCTAAAAGACGTTAGTAGAAATCGTTGGAGACAAGACCCAAAAAAAGAATATAACAGAGCTTGAAGTTCCAGTTAATAACGAAAAAACCAGAGGTGCGTTTGGCCATGCGCGTGGTGAAGGATTATGTCTCTTAAGAGAATCGAAGGAACAACCTGCCATATAATAAATGCTGCCAGGTGAACTGACATTGCCGCGTTGACAAAAGAAACGAAGTAATCGTTAATAAATGCAACATATCTTAACTTGAGCTAACTCAAATTTGAATACAGACAACTAACATAGTTGAATGGACATTCAATAAATAGTTTTTTAATTTTTTGGATTTTTTTTCAAAATCATCCGAAGATATTTTGTTATTTAAATATAAATATTTTATATCTCAGAATATTAAAATAAATTAAAAACCCTTAACTTACCGTTAAGTCGATGACTCAAATATTGTGATCCAGATAAGGTAAAACAAATCACAGAGCACTTCCATAAGCTATCTTCAATTATGGAATTTGATGTTTGCTTCAAATCTTGAATTTAATGTCTATGCCCAAACTTCTAATGAATTTAATGGTTAGGCTAGATTTGTCAAAAATCAATACTGTCTCAATAATGTATCTGATTTAATAAGGTGTTTCTGATTTTGCTCATCGACCCACTCACCAAAACCAGATCTAGATTTTGTGTACATTAAATGGAGAGTAAACAAACAAAACTTGAGGAATTAATGTGGGCAACTATCTAAAATTGCAAATAAATTTTAGTCGTTGAGGTCTTTAAAGCATGAGCATCATTATCCTCGTGTAAAATTTCCGGCTGAAACCATTTCCTCTCTGAACGATCACATTTACTATTGTACCAACCACTCTGTTTATATCAAAATTATTCATTACTTTTATTTCTTATATCCAAAAATGAATTGATATAAATATACACACATCATTAAATCTTATCCTATCAAAATTATGATTCATTCACGTCAAACGACTCTAACATTTTGTTCTTAAACAGCGAACGATTTCATGAATGATTCCTGAATGGAAAATTCTTTCCACACCACAAAAACCTACAAGAAATTGTTTAACCTTTACTATCCGTTGGTTGGACAACTTTATCTTTAATATACAAAATTACAACAAACTACAAACGACTATTTGTTGGAAGTACACATAATTGGCTTAGACCACTTCCAATGGGAATTCTTAATTGATGTTCTAAATCCAAAAGGGATTAAAATTAAATCAAAACAGCTAAAAATATGTAGAATCGGTTCTAAATTTAAGGGTTTTAGAATCCTTTAAACCGTTGACATGTTAGCATATGGTTGGATGATGAATAATTAATAAAAAAATAAAAAAATGTGTCTCTCTGTTCTCTCTCTCTTTCTAGACTTTCTCTATTTATCGTCTCTCTCCGGCGTAAGTATATAAATTTATACTATCAGTTTATAATTATACAGACTTTTGAATTAATAGTCTGGATTATAAGTAAACTACATAAGTCAGGGATATTTAGCCAATATAATATGAATGTAACTACTAATAACTACTACGCACTTTTAGTCACTAATTCTTAAATTTTGTTCAACAGCCAATCAAATGCTAAAGTAAAAGAAAGTTCAAAATTAGTAAGAAGTAAGACTATTTCATGCTAAACAAAAGAGGTAACGAGATCAACACTTTTCTTTTATCAAAGAAAAAAGGACCATTTCATGCTAAACATGTAGCTTTCAATAAAAGTATTAATTAGCAACAACAAATTATTGAATATACAGATCCGCTCACGAGTTTCAAAAGCATCACTGTCGGCTGAAGAAAACTATTTATTAGATTAGACTATTAGTAAGAAAAAAAAAAAAAACTATTTACTAATATATTCAACTATTTCATTGGTCAATAATATACTAAATGATATCATTACTTATTGGGAAAATGGTACTTTCATACCGTACAATTGGTAAAGTATGTTTTTCGATCTAAAAAAATATGTAAAGTGAATCCTAAAGCCGCAAAAAATTTTGAATTTCATATCCAAACTTTATATTTAGTATTTTTTTTCAGAGTCATAATTAACTAGTGTAATCAACCGTTACGGTTGCTGAATCAACCGACACGTGTCTGATGATGTGGATTAAAACGAAATCGTTGTGTTTGTTTGAGTTAGATTATGAATTTGTTTGGCAAAAATCGGGTTTCGAACCTCCGACACCTCACTCGTTCCCATAACCCACAACCATTGAGATTTAAGGAGGTTCGAGACCCGATTTTTGCAAAACAAATTTTGCAAAACTAATTCTAACAAACACAACGACGTTGTTTTAAGCCACGCCATCAAACACAGTTGATTTAACAACCGTAACAATTGACTAACACTGATTAATTACAACTTTGAAAAAAATAATAAATGTAAAGATTGGGTGTGAAATTCAAATTTTTTTACGGTTTGGATTGGAATGAACCCTACATATTTGTTCAGGTCGGAAAACACACTTTACAAATTATACGGGTATGAAAATACCCTTTTCCCATCAGTTACCTTGCTTGTTTGAACAATTAATCCGAAACAATCATTTTGTCGAACTTAGAATGATATGCATCCCGCGTCTCGCGGTTTAGTCTCGACTCTGACTTGTTTTGGATAAAAAACAAAATTATTGGTACTCAAGCCGCAGAGTTTCAAGAGGAAGAGTCTGAGCCACGGTCAAACCAAAAATATACCTTATAACAACTTCATACGATGCTGGTCTGACCGAATTTCTTCGTTTAATTCCTTTCTAGATCAAAACATCTCTTATCCTATTTTATTACCATACCATAAATCAATGAGAATGAATCAAAACTAGAACTAATTATAAGATACATATCAATATTTTGGAAATTTTCATATACATGCATTAGTATAACCAAAAATATTTCTTTTTATCAAAAACAAAAAAAGAAAGAAAAGAAAACAGTAAATATTTCTAGTAATATAATTATGATTAAAGTACTATTAACGAAAGTATATAAAAATTTTGGAAATTTTCATAAGCTTATAAACTTTCACAAGGGTTTAATTTGGCTATTAATTTTTACATGTTGATCTTATAAAAATCATGATCATCTTTTCATTTGAATAATCAATTTTCCCATATCAAAATCCTAAAATTTAAACGCGAACCCCAACAACTTAAACTCTAAACATAGTTTTATTTATCGTTTCATTTATTCATCAGAATACTTGATCCATTGCCATTTAAACATAGTGGTCTTTGCAGGTCCATATTGGTAACCCAGAGGCAAAAATAGATACTCCGTATCGACCAATTGAGAAAAGAAGAATAATTTACTATTAATTACATTTTAAACACAAGCACAACGGCTTTTGCTTTACCATATTGATTAAATAAATAACTTACTTGGACAGGTCGACTCGCGATCAATAAGACGAGTGACCTAGGTTAATGACCGCATTGCACATAACGCTGGAGAATCTACGTTATTATTTGTGGCAGAGGGGGGAGGGGGTTTGCGTTCGCCCCGTACAAACAAAAAAATGATTAAATATATAGTGAATTTGTCAAATGACAATATAGAAGATTATTAAGAAATAGCAATAACGTGACATATTAGAGTGTGTTTTTTTTTTACTTTAATCAACTTGTGATCAATAAGACGAGTGACCTAGGCTAGTGACCGCATTGCACATAACGCTGGAGAGTCTACGTCATTATTTATGGTAGAAGGGATGGTTTGCGTTCGCGCCTTTATAAACAAAAATAAAATTAAATATATAGGAATTGGTCAAATGACAATATAGAAAATTATTAAGAAATAGCAATAACGTGACATATTAGAGTGTGTTTTTTCTTTTTTACTTTAATTATTACCGGCGACTTTTTTCAGTACCATGTGATTTTGATATATAAACATCTAATTTATCACATAACGCTATAAAATATCGCATAGAGCCATCATAAAACTAAACATACATAAAAATCATAAACCCTAAATAAATTAAATACATGTCCTCAAAAAAATAGCATATTACAAAACAAAACAAAAAATCATCCTCCGTATGACCACATACACATAAAAAGATAACGTGTTACGGGGGGGAAATGACACGTGTTCTAAAACAATACAAAATTATCATGCAAATAATCTTGAAATATATACTACTAGTATACAAAGAGATAGTACCTCTCCTCAGATATCCTAAAATCAACATATCCAAAAGAGGAAAGAAAAAAAAAAAAAAAAATTAACATGGTAGAGGTTTATGAGTTGTGGGCTGTGATAGTTTCACTCATAGTGGTGAAGCTGTGTCATTGGATCTATCAGTGGAGAAATCCGAAGAGTAATGGAAAACTTCCTCCAGGATCGATGGGTTTTCCAGTCATCGGAGAGACTTTCGAGTTCATGAAGCCTCATGATGCTATTCAGATACCAACATTCGTGAAGGAGAAAGTACTCAGGTTATTCATGTATTCATTGGTTTCTTTTTAAATGTCGTAATTACTTATCAACTACATATTTGACCACTACAATCGAAATATAAGTCTTTGACCACTATAATACATAAAATTGAATGTAAACTTAATTATTACTGAAAACTTTAAAGAAATGATTGTGATAAATTTTATCGATGAATTAATATAGTAATTTTTTTTTAAGAAATGTAAACATCTATCAATTAAGTAAAACTTACGATGTTCTGCACTTCCTTATAATCAATGTTCAAGAAAGCGCTAGGCGCTAAACGGGCGGTGATCCAACGCCTAGCGCACTGATTAGACGATTTTAGGCGGTTTAGACGTTTACAACATAAAATATTATAGATAAGATATTATAGCTAAAAATTATATAAAACTATATATATTAAAAAATAAAATATTAAATCGTAAACAAAAAGTAGAGACACGCATTTCTTGAATTCATATCAAACTACATATGAATGTTTATAACCATGTATATAACGGTAAAACTTATAAATTTAAATTTATAAGTTGAAATTTTGAAAAATTCACTAAAACGAGATTTATGTTATTTTAGGCGGTTGAGGCGGTCATATAGATGTCACCTGAACGCCTAGCGCCTAGTCGGGATCTAGGCGACCGCCTAGACCGCTTTTTAGAACAATGCTTATAATAAATGAATGGATGTTTTTGTATGCATACTACATGTAAAATAAATTGGATAATTTTTAAAGAAATGATGAATGATATCTAGTAAATATAATTAGATGAAATTTCTATACATAATTTAAATTTCAAAGAACAGAAAAAAAATCCTAATTAATTAACTCTCTCTTTGGATAACACATTTAAGTGAAAAAGAAAATAGCAAATTAAGGTTTTCTTCTTGAGAATATGTTGATGATGTTTTCTCATAAGCAATTACTATCCTAGCTTAGTCAATTACCGGGTCTCAGTTTTTGCTTTTTTTTTCCTTCCAAAAAAATAGACATGGACCAGTTTTTAAGACAAGCTTATTTGGAGGCAAAGTTATAATTTCCACTGCTATTGGACTGAACATGGAGATAGCAAAGACAAATCATATTCCCGGTATGCCGAAGAGCTTAGTGCGGCTATTTGGGGCAAACAACTTGTTTGTGAATAAGGATACTCATAAACATGCCCGTAGCTTGACAAACCAGTTTTTAGGTTCGCAAGCTTTGAAATTAAGAATGATTCAGGACATTGATTTCTTGGCTCGCACACACATGAAGGAAGGAGCTAGGAAAGGTTGTCTTGACGTCAAGGAAACGACAAGCAAGGTACAAAAAATACGTCATCCATTTTGACAGTTTTTGTATCTCATAACAAGATTACTTTCCACTTAATAAATCATCTCATCAAATACATATCATCAAACGTTACAGATCATTATTGAATGTCTTGCGAAGAAAGTAATGGGGGAGATGGAACCAGAGGCAGCAAAAGAACTCACACTCTGTTGGACATTTTTCCCAACGGAATGGTTTCGATTCGCTTGGAATATCCCGGGGACTGGTGTTTATCGAATGGTGAAGGTGCATATTTTTCAATCATCTACCTTAACATATAGTGCTCAATATGGAAAGGATTTGTGTGGAAAAATAGATGCCATTGTGTTTTCATAATTGTCCCAAATAAAGGGCAAATGAGCAATGGCCCAAGGGCCCATAACCATTTAAAAAAAAAATTACACACAAAAACCAACAAATAAAGTAGAACTTCTATAAATTAATACTCGATAAATTAATAACCTCTACAAAATAATAAGATAATAACTTTTTTGAAAATCTTATGTAAACATATGGTCCCATCAATATCATAAATTAATAATTGTATAAACTTATAAATATATATGTATATTTTTAAAATATTTAGTGAAATATGAATCTAGTATTGTTTGTTTTTCTTAAATTTGTATTAATTCTTAACAGAGTTTAATTCTAATATTTTTACTACATTTTAAAAATTTTGTGTTATTTTCTAAACTTAATAATTTTTTTTTCTACTTGTAATTTGTTTTAGAAAGATATTGATTATTAAAAAAAAAAAATTCAGATATAATGTTTCAAGTAATTACAAAATTAGTAAAATGTCTCTATAAATTAATAATCCGATCAATTAATATCTCTATAGATTAATTGAATTTTTCGGTCCCGACATTATTAATTTATAGAGGGCCTTCATTTTTTCTTGAACTGAGCATACGTATTTTGTGATAGGCAAGAAATCGGATGATAAAGGTACTAAAAGAGACGGTACTTAAGAAGAGAGCATCAGGAGAGGAATTGGGGGAGGTTTTTAAGACCATCTTTGGAGATACGGAAAGAGGAGCGGAAACTATAAGTCTAGAGAGTGCGACCGAGTACATATTTACTCTGTTTTTGCTGGCTAACGAAACAACACCAATGGTCCTTGCGGCTACAATAAAGCTCATAAGCGACAACCCTAAAGTCATGCAGGAGTTGCAAAGAGAACATGAAAGAATTGTCCGAGATAAGATTGAGAAGAATGAGAAGGCTGACTTAACATGGGAAGACTACAAATCAATGACTTTCACCATGATGGTGAGTATCCCCAACAAAATCCTATATATTATAACTTAACAATGATGCAAATATATTAATTAACATGCAAATATGACCAGGTCCATAGTTCATGCTTTAAACCAACGAAAATAGTAAACTGATGATTTAAATGATATTTTAAAAAACTTATTTACATGAGTTTGGAGTCATAATTTCATGAAACTTACATATATGCTACGTGTTTCATTTTAGGTGATAAATGAGTCTCTTAGGATCACAAGCACGGTACCGACGATGCTTAGAGTAATTGGTCATGAGTTCAAATATGGTGATTATACAATTCCAGCTGGTTGGATCTTTATGGGTTATCCTTATGTGCATTTCAATCCAGAAAACTATGATGACCCTTTAGCATTTAATCCATGGCGCTGGGAGGTGATTTTAATTTGATCTTCATCTTTTAATTTTTATTTATTTACACTAAGCAAATTCTTGGGAATTTAAATATTTATTAAACTAAATTTTCAGGGAAAAGACTTGAGCGCGAACGTCTCCAGGACTTACTTTCCCTTTGGCTCTGGTTCTAGACTATGTGTAGGAGCTGAATTCGTTAAGTTGCAGATGACCATTTTTATCCATCATTTGTCTAGATACAGGTTCATTTTTATCACTCCACGATTTAGTTTAATTTTAACTGCAGTTAAAGTTTTTCTTACTTATGTTTTGTGTGAAGGTGGTCAATGAAGACAGAGACTCCTGTACTTCGAAGATTTGTACTTATGCTTCCACGTGGATCAGATGTTCAAATCTCAGAAGACACCAAAACTGGATAACTCTGTTGGTTATTAGAGTGATTACATTGTAGTGTTATGAGAGAATAAGAAAAGTTTTAGACATTTCTCTTCCTTTCACTCTTTCTCCTCAACTTTTCAATTTGTTTTTGTATGAGAGACTATTTGGATGTTTTTCAGTATTTGCTCTAAATCTCATTTCGATTTCTTATGTCATCCTTTATATATCTATGGTTTAATTTCATTGTCTAACTACCCGGAAGTAAGAATTAAGTACACTTCGACGATGAATATCAAAACTTTGTGTTCTTCCCATTTTGTTTTGGTTGAAAGTGTGAATATAATGTGGAATTGCCACTTTATGGTTTACGCTACAACAAAGAATTCAAATGGATAAGTTTCTCATATGATTCAATGACATAATGTAGGAGAGTGATTTAGCACCCTCCGGTTGAACCCAATAATATACCGAATAGACCAATATAACTGCGAGATCAGCCCATGAGCCAAAAGCTGACAAGCTCGGCACCGACCTACATGAAGAAAAGGGAATACTCACTCGAATCTAATTAAAAAGATAAGTAAATGATCTAAGAAAAGAGGAATGAATAAATATTCTCGTCCGAAAATGAAGGAAAAAAGACCATATTTCGAGCGAGGGATCCGATTTTTGACTCTCGAGAACCCTATGCTTGATTATTGCTAAAAAAATCTCTTGTAATTGTCAAGTTTTTTTAAAAAAAATAAATGTAAAATTTATTCAACCAAAGAAAACTAGTTTATATATATATCGAAATCAATAAAGAAAATCACTTTCTTGAATCGCTTCTATACTTTAACTTTCTTGAATCTCCTCTTTTTTTTCGATCTAATTGTGTGTGTTTTGCTCGCACACACAATAAGGAGATAGATCATGATGATCAAACCGAGACCATCTCTTGAACATGTCTTTAATATGATCATGCAAGGTAAAACATAGTAATTGTGTTTTATAGTTCTAAATCGAGCCGAAGAAGGTCTCTGATTTAATCTACACGTTTAGGGGGCTTTATGAAAGAAAAGAAGTTACTATACTCTATACCTTCTGCGAAGTCAAGGAAAATGTTATTTGAGAATACGAAAATAGGAAAGCCCAAGAAACACTTTGACCCGAAAATAAAACCAGACTGGTTTAAGACTTTAAAAAAGACAATCAGATATATAGGTATTTAAGAGCAATTGCAACAAATTAATAATATAAAACTGATATAGTGATTTATTAAACTCGACCAATGGTTTTATTTAATTTGGGTAATTTAAAAAAGGGATTAAGATCATAGAAGTGAGTTAGTCTATTGTGTGTGATCCTTGTTTTGGGATTGATCTTAAAATTCCCAATGATAACAGGATTTGAAAGAATGAGCAGGGTTGTGTTACTAGTGATTAGGTGTTTGGAAGGTCGTGTAGTCAGGATTGTTTTCTTATAGAATTTTTTTCTGACTATGTAAAAAAATCGTTTGGTTAACAATCATCTTATAAAAAGTGATTTTTGTGTAACACTTTCTATATTCTCGAAGCGTGGACTTTATATACGTCAAGGTTATTCAGCAGACATTATAAAGACATGAAACTTGATACACAAGCAACAGAATCATTCGCACATGTACATGCATTAAATTCCTTAATAGTTTACGTACTATTTGCAAATTTCTTATACGTCAAGCATTGTATTATAATCAGTAGTTTCTGTGGATCCAACTTTTCAGAGTAAATTCATAACTCGCATAAACTTTTGACAATTCTAACACAAAAATACAATAAAGCTACTTGTGTATATATACTATAGTGTTGTTATTGTGGCATCGTCCAGATCTAAATCTAATAGAAAGCCTGCGTGAGTTGACAAAATAATTTAAAACTCTTTTGAAACTTTTATTACCCTGTTTGACAACTCTTAAACACAAAGATAACTGTGTTTTCTTAAATAAATAAAAAGCAGTTACCCATTTAATTGCGTGAGAAAAGAAAAGAAATTACAAACCCAGCTATAGTGCTTTCAGGCAACCACATGGTGGTGGGCGAGTGGTTCTCGTTTGGTTGGAAGGATCGCCCTGTTGGTCTAGGCCAGGGATCGATTCTCCCCAGACGCAGTTTCGCTCTCTCATTCCTGTGGCCACCTGAGAATTTACCTGCGGACTTGCTCAGGCGCCCCAGACCACCAGTTTATCAGGGGGCCCTTAAGTGGAGGCTTAAAAATCCCTGTGACGCGGGCTTAGACCTAGTGGGCTAGTCAGATCACTGTGTGGTCTGGATACTGGGTTATCAAAAAAAGTAATTGATTTAAGAGTGAGTTATTAACGGTACCAACCAATCTCTCAACCGACTTATCACTAGTAAATTTATTCAAAGTTACCCAACTTGAATAAATGTATATATCTTGAATCGAGGAGAGATCACTGATGTATAAAAATGACCACTAAATTCCTCATTTTTTACATTTTTTGTAAAATTAATTTTTCAACTTTCACGTTTTCAAATTAATTAAATTTTTTTTTTTCTAACTATGCAAATTTAAATTTGAAAAAGTCAATGTTAAATAAAAAAAAAGAAAGACATTAAAATTGAATTTTCGTAAACCCAATTTTACGTAGTCGCAAGTTTCTTTGACTTCATCGTAGAATCAAGTACCCCTAAATTTTCAAACCAACATTTTCAATTAGATGAAAGAAGGAAATAAGTTTACATTTTTATGAATTACTGACTATGATAGTTTCACTAATATTGGTGAAGCTATTCCATTGGATCTGTAAGTGGAGAAATCCGAAAACTAATGTATAACTACCGCCAGGGTCGATGTATTTTCCAATCATTAGAGAGAATTTTCAGTTTATGAAGCCTCATGACGCTCTTCCGTTTCCCACATTCGTCAAGGAGAGGATCCTCATGTTATTTTCCTCACAAACTCTAAGTTACAACAATATCCAAAATATTTCCTCAATTTACGTCTATATAAACAAATATGTAAATGATCATTATTTAAAAAATCTAAGATGAGAAAATCTATTTTAACTAAAATAACATTGTGAAAAAGGTAGTAAGGACGTCAGGTGAATTATTTCATAAAATAAGAGAAAGAAAAATAACATAAATTTTAGGACAATATAGATATGTAGAGAAACAAAGAAAGAACATGTTTCTCATATATTTTTTGATATAATGATATACTTAAAAATATAAAAATGGAAGAGGCCACGTTGTAAGCTTTTCGGAGTTTGTGTTAAAGGAAAACTTTAAAAAGAATGTGTCTCTCAAATAAGATTTTAAATATAATGATGTACTTATAAATGAAAAAAAAAAGAGGATCATAATAATTTATTTGGTCAAATAAAAAAAACAGAAAAGATAGTTTTTAATATAATGAAAAAACTAAATCTAAAAAAATGAGTAATGTGTATTTGGATTTAAAGAGAGAGAGAAAAAAAGGAGAAATGTCATGTGTGAGCATTCATAGCTTGAGTTAAATAAAATATTTTGAAATCTTATATAAAATCGCCTACTTGGATAAATATCATTTTTTTTTTACGGCTAATAAATATCATTTATAACTTGACGAGAGAGCACTAGTATAAACTATAAAGAGAGTACCCCCCTTGGGGAATCATGCACCCCTCAACCAACATCTTCAAAATAGTTGAAAAAAAGAACATGGTAGAAGTTTATGAGTTATTGACCGTGGTAGTTTCACTCATAATGGTGAAGCTATTTCATTGGATCTATCAGTGGAGAAATCCGATAACTAATGGAAAACTACCTCCAGGGTCGATGGGTTTTCCGATCATCGGAGAGACTTTTGAGTTCATGAAGCCTCATGACGTTCTTCAGTTTCCAACATTCGTCAAAGAGAGAGTTCTCAGGTTCTTTTGCTAATTTCCCGACCATGCATTTTCTGTGTAGTGTTTGAAAATATATTATTCAATTACTCCTAACTTTAGTTACGTAATTCCCTTGTCAATTTTTTCGGAAAAAATAATAGATATGGACCAGTTTTTCGGACAAGCCTATTTGGATGCAAAGCTATAATCTCGATGGATCTTGAATTGAATGTGGAGATAGCAAAGGCAAATCATGTCCTTGGTGTCACGAAGAGCATAGCACGGCTATTTGGGAAAAACAACTTGTTTATCCAAAGCAAGCAGTCCCATAAACATGTCCGGAACTTGACATTCCAGTTGTTAGGTCCACAATGTTTAAAGTTGAGGATGGTGGAAGACGTCGATCTCTTGGCTCGCACATACATGGAGGAAGGAGCTAGGAACGGTTGCCTTGACGTCAAGGAAACATCAAGCAAGGTGAAAAAAAAAAACTCATCCATTTCGCGCTGTATATAACTCTTGGTATGATTAATTACATTCTACACGATTACTAATGGATCATCTCATCAAACACATATCATCAAACTTTACAGATCTTGATTGAATGTCTTGCAAAGAAAGTTATGGGTGAAATGGAACCAGAGGCAGCAAAAGAACTTGCACTATGTTGGAGATATTTTCCAAGGGATTGGTTTCAATTCTCTTGGAACGTTCCTGGGACTGGTGTCTATCGAATGATGAAGGTTTGTGATTTTCAGTTCATCTAAACCTTTATCGCACTATATGTGCATATATATGACTTTTGAGGGAAAATAATCGCTCGTATGATGTGTTTTGTGACAGGCAAGAAAGCGGATGATGAAGTTGATAAAGGAGATGGTACTAAAGAAGAGAGCATCAGGAGAGGAGTTTGGAGAGTTTTTCAAGATCATCTTTGGAGAAATGGAAGGAGGAGAGGGAAAAATGAGCGTAGAGAATGCGATCGAGTACATATATACTTTCTTTTTGATAGCTAACGAAACAACACCAGGGATCCTTGCGGCTACAGTAAAGCTCATAAGCGACCACCCTAAAGTTATGGAAGAGTTGAATAAAGAGCATGAGGGAATTGTTCGAGGTAAGACTGAGAAGGAGGCTGGCCTTACATGGGAAGACTACAAATCAATGACTTTCACACAAATGGTGAATGTCTGCCACAAACATATACAATTATATGGAGACAAAATTCACACATTAATATATCAATCTACTCATTATCAATTAGTTTTGAGTTTTATGTTCGGTAACCTTGATTTACATAGTAGTTCAAACACATGTTGTGTTTCGTTTCAGGTGATTAATGAGTCACTTAGGATCACAAGCACGGCGCCGACTGTGCTTAGAATAACTGACCATGATTTCCAAGTTGGTGATTATACAATTCCAGCTGGTTGGATCTTCATGGGCTACCCTAATGTCCATTTCAGTCCCGAAAAATACGATGACCCTTTGGTATTTAATCCATGGCGTTGGAAGGTGATTTGAACTTTTACTATATTTTCATTAATCAAACTTATAGAATTTTCAGCATATAAGTATTAAATTTTCAGAGAGAAGACTTGAGCTCAATCCTTTCCAAGACTTACATTCCCTTTGGTGCTGGTTCTAGACTATGTGTGGGAGCTGAGTTCGCTAAGCTTCAAATGGCCATTTTTATCCATCATTTGTTTAGATACAGGTTCGTTTTTTTATCACCTATTGACCCATGATTTAATTTTATTTTTAACTACAGTAAAAAAAAAAAATTAATTACTTATATATGTGCTTATTGTTTGAAGGTGGTCAATGAAAAAAGAGACTACAGTACTTCGAAGGTTTATGCTAATGTTTCCATGTGGATCTGATGTTCAATTCTCAGATAACACCGACGTGGATAACTCTGTTAGTCATTAGAGTGGCTATATTTCTTAAGGTTGTTAGTTCGAATCCTTTATATATGTGAGACTGTTCTGATTGCTGCAAATGGATAAAAACCATCTTGTAAGATGCAACGGTCAAGAATTTATCCATGTATGTAGTTTGTTTCTATTGAATTAATAATATACGGTCGCTTATTAAACACCTTCTATAACATGCATGTGTTTTTTTTTTTCTTAACATGCATGTGTTTAATCAAAGAAATAGATCCAAGAACTCATCATTTCCTTACAAGTACGTACAACTCATGAGACCTTAGAATATGGCTTAAAAGTGTTGTAAATTAAGATTCTGTTTACGTCCTAACCCCTCTTGATTAAACAATTTTTCCATCTAAAACAAGCTTACAAAATGCTTCAACTATCCGCTTTCATCATTCTAGGTCGTTTCCCTTAATCAATGATAAGTTTGATTACTAATTCTTATCGACGTCTATATTCTTGTTTTAAGAGAACGTAGATATTATTCATCAAAAAAAGTGAGCTAAACGCCTAAACCCGACTTAGCCAACCTAGGGAATATTCACGTAAAAAAAAATTATGAATCTTACCAGAGCCTTTCTAGAAAATATTGTTTCTTCATGATCTTAAACTCGAAAAGACTTTCACCTTTGATAACTCATCTAACCATCGCAGATACTGAGATCATATGATACGGACGCGATTTTTAGTAAAATAAGCCACCCCTCTTGTGGATAACATATAGTTTAAATGCTACATGAAGAGGATAAGCTTGAATTAAGGAATTCAATAATGTAAGACTAAACGAGAAGAAAACGTTTTATACAAATCTCTTATTCTAAATATCAAATTCTCCATTTTGTTTTTAAAAAATCTTATTTTCCCACACACCATGGGACAAACCTAGTCATTATTTGAATAACAATAACTGTCTCAATAATCAATATACATGTTGAGGTATAAATTTCATGAAACGAACAAAATATGATACACAAATGTCGTCTCTAGAATTTGCTATGATTTTTGTAAATTTAGTTATACATGGTGTGACTGATATATCCATTTAGCGAGTAAATAAATATTGAAAACAAAAGTCTAAATCACCCTCAAAATTTACTAATCTAGTAGAAAAAAATTTATTCATTTTCAACAAAAAAAAAATAAAAAATTTATTCATTTTTTTCTTCATTCTTGGGACAAAAGAGAAAATGTGTTTGGGAATATATTTCATGATCTTAACAGAACGGTGTTTTCAGAACGGTGTTTTCAAAATGCTTAGCTTGTACAAGACATGAACCGTATCATAGCCTACTGATTAGAAACTAAGAGAAAAAAAATTGAAGTCTACTAAACTCTTTAAATATCATGAAAGAGTTATTCACAAATTGGAAAAAAAAATTGACAAAAAAAACGATAACCATATAGAGTACAAACAAGATCTAAGGTCATGAACACATCAACCAAATTAACATGAAATTTGAAATGATTGTTCACTTTATTCAGATCACAACGAAACGCAAAATCCAGCATGGAGCAACCTTGGATTGTGTATTGAGGTGCGACTGGTACTAGTCCTGTTTAGGTCAAGACTGGGGGATTTAGGACAGCATAAGCAAGCAACTCTTGGTCATCGACAAACAAAGACATGTCTTCCTCAGGTAGGCTTATCCATGCTTCTACACCATCAACTTCTTTTGAATCAATCAGCACTACACCCACCATGTTGTCGTAATTGGTATGTGACGCAAATCCCACCCAGACCGGACTACCCGATCCGAAGTCAACCTCGTAGAAAGGCTTTCTGCACCAGCTAGACATTATGTATCTGTCTATGTCCGGTGACTCTGACACAGTTTCCGCCATCAAACTCAACAAACTCTGACCAGTTATATTGCTTTGGACACTCTCTTTGATCATCTCGTTGACTCCTTCTTTGGTCTTCCTGAATGCCGCCACGATTTCGGGGATCTCAAACTCGCTCTCCGCGTCTTTCTTGAGAGAGAATCCGATTTGTAGGTTGCCAATCGCGTCTTGTGGCAAAACATTAGATGGAATCCTAAGCCGCAAGTCCATGGCCTGCGACATCACCGCTTGCCTTGGAATTACCAAGTTAGAGCGTGAGGCTTTTCTGGCATAACTCCAGATAAGTGACATGACAGCTTCAACACGTGTAGGTACAGGGACGCTTTCGCTAGCGGCCTTGTGTCTAAGCTCAGCAATCTTAGAGGGTTCGAAGACAATCTTTTGAGTAAACATTTATTTGTGATGTTAGAATCGGAATCCGTTAATGGGAACTCTAAATACATATGAGAAGAAGGAGGAGGATAAATAGTAGTTTCAGCGAACTCAATACTATTGTTTGACTTCCCTTTGGCCGTAGTGGTGGCCCAATCTTTAACAAAGGTCACCAAAGAGGCTGCATCACAGATTTTGTGAGAGACGGAGACAGAAACCGCCACCCCTGATGAATGTCATCGTCTAGCTGATGAATTAACCAAATATGCGTTTTCACTTTTTTTAGGTTTTCATTTGTTAAAGCCCGTTCGAAACTCAGTTAATTTAATTTTGCTTGAAGATACCAGTGGAATTGCATTCCCACGAGAGGTTCGTTTGTAGTTTCTTTTAATTTTTTCGTAATTAAGTATGGGCGACATTGTCTCCTTTTTCATACCCAAAAAAAAGAACCCGCATTTAAGAGTATCCGAGTCCGAGCTTAACTATTTTCATCCTTTTACTCTCACCTATTTCCCACTGATTTACTTTCCACATTCTCTTACCCATAATTTCTAATTGGGTTAACTAACAGTCATCATTTAAAGAATAAATTGGTTACTATTTCTGAAATTAAAATAATGGTATTATAAAAAAAATTGACTAATGTAGGCTGGTCCGAATTAGACCTTGATTTAATCGGTCTCACAAAAACAATTAACACATTTACATTTTGGTATATTACAATTTACATCTGCCTAGTTTTCGATTTCTAACTTCCAAAATGCTCTTTTTCTACATACACTTTTTACAAGTCTCCATCGCAGAATAGGACAGCAGTAGAAAGACGCAGCACAACTAAAGAGTTATATGTCAAATAAAACTCTTCTCAAGTCTCAACTCAAGAGTAAAATGTGAAATAAAACTCTTGTCAACTCAATAGGTAAGCAAAGCAAAAACGAGAATTTATCAATCAAAATGTCAAAGAAAACTCTTCACAGTCAACCTTTCATGATCAAAATAACGAACCATAATCGAAAAACAAAACTAGAAACTAAACAAACATACAAAGACTAAGGAAACAAATGAACAAACCACTTCAATCATACAAATAGAATACAACAGACTTAATATTGATGCATCATACACACTCCCAAGTGAGATCCATAGCCTGCCAAAAAGACTGTCAGATTCACACACACACAACAGATATATTCACGATATGTTATACGGTTCAGAAGACGTAATCAAGGACATTAAGATGAAAAAAGTGAACAATACTCTCTACATAGCATTTAAAAGATCTAAGCTTGAGCCAAAAGGGACTGGTTACCTCTTCAGATCAACAAATCCCCGAAACTTTCATAAAACAGTAAATCCGATTCTTAATTTCAGATTTCTAAGGTCTCCTAGTACATATGATTCTTGTAACATCTCTACAGCGCAATAAGACACAAGAATGAAGAAAGCACAACAAAAGGTAGTAAAAGAGTAAATGTCAAATAGAGCTGCTCTAAACCGAAATCCTAGAGCTAAGTAGAGCATATTATAGTCAAGCTTTTAGGCAATGACACCTGCAAGTATTTATGATCGTAAATCATAAGCCACTTTAGTCTAAGAAATAACAATAGAAACTAAACAAATATAGAAAGATCTAAATACTCCACTATGAGAGATGACGAAACTACAAGGGAACAGAAAAGGAGAAAAAGACTTCAGGAAAACCAACCAACTTCAGTCATACAAATAGATTACATCAAACCTCAGTAGAGCGCCGCATCAATGGCCAATTATCGGTGCATAGCACAGACTCCAAGTAAGATGCCTGCAAAAGAAGACAGCCACAAGAAACTGTTTCAAATGAAATTTCACCAAGCTTCAGATCGTGATTATATCACAGAGAGATAAGCACATTACTGTCTGGTAATCAAGGACATTACGATCAAGAAAATAAAGAGAATACTTTACACTACATCAAAAGAATATTACTTGGTACCAAAGGGCTGGTTAGCTTTGCAGACCAATAAATCCCAGTAATGAACAAGAAAGTAAATCCGGTTTTCAATTTCCAATTTCTAAAGGCTCATACATAGTACACAAGATTCTTATAAGACACAGGTACGAAGATAAAAAAAAGCAAAACAATAAGGCAGTGAAAGAGTTAATGTCAAGCATAACAGTCATCACGATCTCTCTCGCTGAAGTCTCTATCCTCTTCCATATTGCTGAACTCCAGATAATGAGTGGGTCGATGCTCATTGTCATAGTACTCCTTGGGGTTTCCGAGTTTCACACTATATTTCATGCTCTCTGTATGCTTCACCCCCATAAAGTTATAGTTCCATGGTCCGTTATCAGGAACCATGTAAAACCCAAGGAACCGGTCACTCAATAGCATTTGAACCTTGTCATAGTGTGTCGGAAGGTAGCCTTGGGGATTGCTGCCACTGTCCTTGTTGAGACGTCCCCATTCATATCCAGTTTCCGTCAGCTTATATGAGGTCAAAGAACATGAGCCTGGAGTGAAACTGCAAGTCAAGATGATACATTTTTCTCTGTCCCATTGCTTGTTATTCTCCAGAAAACGTGCATGTGATGTAACATCTTGTGGCGACAACTGAGGAAGCTCATTAGGCTGTGTGTGCATCCATCCTAGGGGCTCAAAATCCTTTAAGAAATCATGCTCAGGAAGAGATGAAGGCAAGTGAACTTGCTGGTGTGATCCCCGCTGTGGCACCATTACAACGCATCGTATTTCCTTGACCTGAGGATTATCAAGGGGACTTATACCATACATATACCCAGCAATCTGAGTACGAAGATCTGCTATGCGTATGAATCTCTTCAAGATGTTCTTTGGCATTATGTAGGTGTATCCTGTTTCATTTACGTCATATGAGTTCACATAAATGTGGTTGACCCTAAGGTGGAGGTTAGTAGCTGAGATTGCACGCACTCGCCAATCTGTTTTGGAACCAAATGCAGACTGTTCATAGGGACTTATAGTGGTGACAATGAGTTCATCACCATGAACATTAGTGGTCCTTGTTGTGACTGCACTAAGCTGTCTCACTTCTTTGGCCTGTTTATTAATCTCAGCTATTTGTTGCCTTTGTTGAGACGGTGGAGTAATCTCAGCTCCAAGAATAATATCCCTTATCTCTGACTGTGTCAAAGCGGATATATTCACATTATTCTTTTTGGCGTAGTCAAAAAGGATGAGATCTTTAAGAGCAACCTCCACCTTCATCCATTGGTCGTTACTGAGAGAAGGCCAGATGTGATGTGTCTCAGTGACAACAGACTTGTCAGGCTTCAGTAACATCTTAGCCTTCTCATTGTTGACATGAAGAGCACGAAGGATGAGAATGAGTCTTGAGAAGGCAGTGTAAGAAGATATGCTCGTCAACCAATCATCATAGATATTGAAGAGGTTCATCTGCGGCTCAGTAGCTTTCAAAATCAGATCACCAAATTTCTCAATCTTCAGGCAAGCCTGGAATGGAAGCTGCAGTTCGCTTCCCTTGATAACAATGTTGGGAAAATCCTTCATGGTAGTCTGAATGGGGTCCAACATTCCCTTCCGAGTCACAATAACTTGTTTTGGCTGTTCTTCAACGGGGAAAGACCGCACAAGTGCAGCAACCTCTTCAGCAGTTTTCCATTTCGCAAGCTGACCAAGACGCTTCTGACCAGCCCAAACGCTTGTATGCATAACCTTCAGGAATAGCTGCCCAGTTCTTGGATTGAAAATAAAAGCTGCACCATTGATTGGCTTTGTTGTCAGATTTCCTTCAAATGTCTTATGCATTGTCACACGATAGACGTTGGTATCATCAATAAACCATATTATCTGGTTGCTGAATATTTCGCCATAGTTTTGAGATGACAAATTTGGCTCTGTAGGCTCAGATGAGTATAGCTGCAAACCTTTCCTTATCCTTTCTCTCAACCCATATAATGTCGGATTTGACTTCATAATCTTGTTCATTGCTTTAGCAATCAAAGATTTTGAATCAGGGAACCAATTACCAAAAGCAGAATACACATTGTATGCCAAATCAATCCCAATCATCACACCTGTCGGAGATGGATAGATAGACATGTTATCCGTTGTATAATCCATGAACTTGGCCCTAGTGTAACGTTCAATGTCATGAGAGTCATAATCTCCCCATCGAAGCTGTACATCTATCCAATACTTCTTACTAGCTTTCTGATCAAACATATCATTCGAGTCGGTCACCAGACTTGGCTTCGACATTGGCCATTTAGAGGCACCAAACATAAGAATATCAGCACAAGAGCTATTCATTTTGTAACTCTTCCTTGGATGAATTGTCTCCTTCTGCACAATATCTATCCCCATCTCATCCACATGTTGGTCCAATACTTGGCAAAGATCCATAACAACGCTCTCGTGGATCATTTGCCACATATGGGCACGAAAAATCTGAATCAAAGATATCTTAAGGGTAGGAATCTTTCCATGCATGAATATTCCAGTTAGATCCAACTGCACTTGGAAACCGACATAAACATTTGCTCGATTGATTGTTGGCGACCACCAGAGCGTGAATCTTCTATTAGGAATCTGGTTCAGACCAGACCTCTGTGCATTCGTCAGCTTCTTATATTTCATTGACTCCTCGAACCCAGATGCCTTCTCCCAGAAAAGACCCTCCCATGTTGGGAAGTATGTTCCCTTAAATAAGGTGTGCTCAAGAATACTCTCAACACCTCCAAGAGCTTGGATTACATCAGTTCGATAATTGTTCAGGTTCCACAACTTCCCATCATGCCTCTGATGAGTCCACCAGAAAGAATTTTGTCTCAGGACTTGGTACTGCTTGAAGTCAGTCCGGACTCTCCAACCTTTATCATATGCTAATGTGTGCCTATCCTTCTGAAAAAGCGTGTTTATACGCGGAATTCCCCTATCCCAGGAGTCTTCCAGATCCTCAAGTGTAAGACGTCTATTTTGGGCTTGTGCTTCCTGCCTCTTTAAAGCATACTCTGCCCACACACGCTGTGAATCAATAAACTCACTTTCCCATGGCTGTATGTAACGGTAAAGATTGGGTATCTTCAGATCCTCTTCTTGACTCATTCCACTCCTAAAGTGGGTAACACCAACGTCTGTTTGTCTGCTGTACCGACGGTCACTTTCTGGGATCAGTATATGACTCATAGACAACATTCCAAGACCACCGAGTTCCTTCGGGGTGTAAAAAACAACAGGAGGAAATCGACTAGGCATCTTTGAATTCAGCCCAATCTTAATCCTTGTTTGGATTTTACTTTCACCTTTAACCAACAGATCAATGAGCTCTGGCGTATGTAGAGTGGCTTCACGAAAGTAAGTCATGAGACCTATCAAAGCTGTGTTCCATTTATTGGTGATTTTGGTAAATGTGGCCGACCCTGACGACATCAAAATTTGCTTAACACGATTCTCAAACACCTTAATTTGTTCTTCATCAACTCGTAGAAAAGCAACTGCAGTCTTCTCTTTTGTCTGTTCATTCTGTAGATTCCATACGCCATCCCCTATGTTGCTGAAAGCTTCTTGGCTCATCCTGGCTTTTGGAAGTATGCGGATTTCAAATCCACACATGCTGAACAGCAGATTAGGATTGTCCTTGCTGTACACAGAGACAAAGCTATTCTCCCATTCAAAAGTTGTAAGGCTCCGAGGAAGACGGTTCTTCATTTCCCAGAAGATACTTCTACCAAGATTGACATCATGTTTCATCAACCTCATCCTTGCATCTCTCGGCCAGCACTTCTTATTGTTATATCCCACCATGTTCTCATTGTTTGGATCAGGATGCTCCCTCAGATAACGTTGAATAAGATCTCGAGCCTCTTCATGGGTAAATTTTAACATTATGTGCACTTTGTCTATATACCGAGAATATAGTCTTATGGGATGGCGCGTCTCAACTTTTGTATCCCAATAGGTCATAAACTCGTTAGGCTTCTGCGGTGGCCCAGCAATCTCACTCGCTCGAGTCAAACCAAGAAGTAAAAGATCAAGCACTAGTCCGTAAAACTGAGTAACAAAGGATGAGAACTGAAGTCCCCTAATGAGACCATACGAGTTAGTATGTCTCATATCCTTGTAAGACAGGTCCACATTATTCTTGGCAGTCACGTAGTCTGCAATATTGGGGTCAACAATCAAACGAAGCAGCTTGTTCAATAATGTGAAATCAACCTTCTCAAAGAACTTTTCCAACTTCGTTTGGAGCATCACCACACATTGTCCATCGGATGTGTCCCATATGCCTTGCAAATTATTGATACCCTGACACCACTTGTAAACAAGAAGCGGTGGCGGCTCTGAGTCGGCAGGCTTAATCCAGTTGGGAAACAAGTGGCGCTTGTCAGCCTCGTACCACAAGTATTGATCAAGATAGGCATCCGTAATTTTCTCTAAAGGATCAATTTCATAGACCGGAATCAAATAGCTGTAGAGATCCATAAATTCAATGCCGACTTCTTTGAACTGACGCTGCGTGAAAAGGTGGCGTTTAATTCGCGCTAGAGTTTCATGCGGGTTGTCATAAGCTTGTTCAATTAGACCAAGCTCTTCTCGCTGCTGCTGGTTCAACCTTTCACCTCCACATGATTCTTTCAGTCTCTCAAGAGCAAGGATGAGTAACTTTGTCTCGTGTTTATATGAAAGAGGAGGGAATGGAATTGGTGAAAATCTCCTTGCTTCCAGCCACTCTTGGGTCGTTCTATAAGTTGCCACAGCTTCGTCCGGAGTGACAGGTGAACCGTCTTTCAGGTAATTGTATTGTCTTTCCTGTTCTGCCTTTAACCAAAGACGAGTCAACCTTCCAAGATTCTTTCTACAAACTGTCTTATCGACAGTAGCGCCTCTTCTAATACGCTCACGATTGTAGTGAGTAATATTTGTCCACCAATCAGCCTTATGCTTCACATATCGGAGAATCAAATTCTCAACTGGCACAGGCAGCCCAGGGACCTTCCACGGGATATTAGCTTTCCAACACCGCCATGCCTCGCTAAGGTGCTGCTCTATTGTCCTCACTTTATTCTGCTTGGTTCCCTCTGGCATGGCATCAACGATATCATGCATGACAGCAGACCGAAGCTCCAAATCAAAATGGCTTTCGACTCTTTGTTTTGTGACAGTCTTTGCCACTCCTTTTGAGTGACGCCCCTCAAATTGACGTCCAAGAAGATTCCCTAACCATCGTTCAAGTAGAGGAACTATTCCACGGAGGAAAAACAACCACACTCTCCACATTGGAGCCCAAAATCCACACCCTGGTCCTTTACCCACAGGACCAGTATTGAAACGGTAATAGATCAAGTGCTTTAAATCCTTACACATCCTAATTTGTCTCATCAGTCTGTACTTATAACGATACATACCTGTCAACTGGCCAACATGGGAGAAAATATATTGCAGACCATCAGCCAATTGGAAGGCATCAACATTCCCAAGACGGAATTGGACATTTGCGTCAACTATGAGTTTTGTCAGGCGGAGAATCTCGCGACAGAGATGGAAAGCATTCCCAAAACGTGACTTCTTTCGCTCTTTAGTCGTCAAAGTCTTAACTGGCTTGAGGTTGAAATTGTAATCAAGATGCAGGTAGTTCAAACCCTTCCTGTGAATCAACAGATTCAACATATTATACCCCTGCCGACAAACTTGGAGACCAGCTTCGACCCAATCAAGTTCAGTGCTTTGGAAAAATTTTGTACCTGCAAGAGATCGGAACAAGTGCTTTTTCTTCTGAGCTTTAGGTGGTCTACGGTGCAACTCATTCAGCACATAACATTTCAAAAGCTTCTGGTAACTAACCCGAACTTTGACCGGATGTGATGTTGGACAGTGCTCCTTGAACCACTCTGACACCAACGGTATATCTTCAGCCCGTCGCGTCTTCCCAGACCTCATATTGAAAGGTCTTGGGGCAAACAACAACGAAATCCCATCAGTTGTAGTGTCAGTGTAAAGCTGAGTGTCTTGTAGCAGAGGCTCCACTCCGTTTGGTAATACAAAGTCATCCTCATCATCATCACAAACCGTCCTGTCACGAAAAGTGTTACTTATTGGGTTAATCAATGGATCATAATAAAACGCAGGAACATCAGGATCCTCTGTCTTAATAAACATAACCATAGGAGTGTGATACGCACATAGTTTAACTTTCCTTGGCCTGTTATTGTACAAGTAAGGGAAAGCAATTCTGCCTTCAGTTCGCAGCCGTGACCGAGTGATAACCTTGTTGATATCATTAAACTCGTTCCATTCCTCGTCACCTTTCTCTGTATCATGATACAAAGGTTCAAACTTAGGACCACCAGGTATACACATATTCAATGCCTTGGCTGTGAAGAAAGATGGCATATCAAACAAGTAGAAATAGTTTCTATCAACCAAATCAGAAAGCAACTGACCCGCAAGCCTATGAAGCGTTGCCATAATCGGAAGTGAAAGATTCCACCTCTTGTAACTCGGACCATTGATCATACTCGTCTTCAAAAGTGGCTTATGATCATAAAACCAATTATACACACAAGAATCATCCTCCTCATCAAGCTCCAACTGAATAGGCTCCAAAGGATCAACATCCATCAAATTATCCGCATAATCCAACACCGGCTCTTCGTCATCAAACGGCGGAAACCGCATCCTCTTAAAATGTCTACGATCTCTCTTCTCCCTACGCATCATAATCCACATAGTACCCCATTGAGCCATGTAAATAGGTTCAACAACAAAAGGAATCTCATTCACAAACGTAATCGCTCCAGTAATGTGATACAAAACCTTAACATCTCTAACTTGTTCCCAAGGCATAGGCATATTCTCCAAAAGCTTGAAAACTGCGTGAGGAACAAACTTAAGCGCTCCAAGATAAACTCGTTTATCATTACGATACTTCTTCGATGACATATCTCCATGTTCTTTGATAATCTTCCTTATATGCTCTGGTGGCATATCTTCTTTCTGAGTTTCCACAAACCCTAACCTTCTCTTTTCACCATAACGCTTTGAATTTAGTTGATTCCAGATTCTTCTCTTCTCCTTCAATTTCGCATCTGCTTCTTCAGGGGTAAGCTTTGATGGATTAGACGGAGATAGAGAGATATCATCGCCGATCAACATAGTTTCGGAATTGTAAAATCAATCACTGAGAAGAGTCGTCGTTGAGGAAGAAACCCCAAATTTTGTATCTGTGTTATACGAAATCGCTAATTAGGGTTTATTAAAACTTGCAAAAGAGTAATTACCGACTTAATGTGTTTCGTCTAAAGTACAGAAATTTTTAAGAATTACGAAACTGGCCGTTTATATAAAGGACAAGAACCGACTTCGATCATGTTCCTAAGCAAAGTGGGACTTCGTAAAATAAAATTGTTTAGACTATAATGATATTTAATTATTAATTACATATAATGAGAAAAAACAGTAATTCCATATACTGTAAGTTTAAGATTTTCTACTGCAAAATAAGTATAAAACAGAGAAACTATATTAAAGATTTGAAGAGAAAAAATCTAATATTTATTCGTTTCATGAAATAAATCATAGTTTAGTGGTGGTTTCATTAATCATTATAAGCTTTAATTTTATAAGATAGAACTAAAAATAAAATCCAAAAGTGTGTATATTTGAGAGGATTACTATCATAATTTTAAAAGAACAAAAAAAAACTTGTAAGGTGGACTGAAAAATATCATTAGTCGGCCACAATTTTGTCTATAGCCAAAGTGCAAAGAGCATCAAAATCCACAATTTTTGTCTATAACCAAAGACAATCAAATTTAGAAATTAACTCACTATTGTGATATGTTTACGAATGTGATATGTGAATGCAGCTGGATTTGTTCCTCCCTGATCTCAGCTTCTTCTTCGTCTTGTCGTATATCCCCAATAAGACAATAAAATTATCAAAATCGAATCGGAACCAAACAACAAACGAACCGGAATCGAACCAGAAACCTTAGACTCACATCAATTGAATTCGAACAGGAACACTAGACTTAGCCGATAAACCAAGATTCAAACCCATCAAAACCCTTGCAATTGAGAAAAGCACACTCTTTAAACAAAAATTGAGCACTAAAATAACTTTGAAAGTCTCAATTTTTGGTCGAAATTGGTGTTTAGACACAGAAGCAACCCCAATTCTTCAATCTTCTCACCGTTTTTCCCCCTTTGTATTTTTTGAGCATTTGTGTGTTTATCACATAGGGAAAAATAAAAGAAACCAATGAAGTAAACGGAGTGTTATGTCTTTTACTCTTTAGACTTAAGCACGTGGTCGGAAATTAGAGGTATCAAAAGGGCCAGGCCGCGTCTATTTGGGCCGGGTCGATGGGTATCAGTATCGGTCAAACACTCAAACTCCTGATAAAAATGTTTTAACGGACTTTAAACAGGCCTTTAATAAATAACGCTGTGCACATAGTTTGCTGTAGAACTTTTTTTTTTTTGGTGTAAAACAACTGTTGTAGATTTGCTGTAGAACTTTTTTTTGGTAAAGATTTGTTGTATAACTTGAAGGTTTTTTTCTTAGACTTTTCCCTACATCAAATATTATGTAACTTAGTGATGCACTACATGGCAAAAAGCATGTAAAACAAGTTAAAATATGCTTTAGCCAAAAAAAAATTTGTAAAGTAATTTGCGTTGATACTTATCATAGAATTATTCCTCCCAAAAAATTTGTAATCTCAATAATATGATCAAACTTGGAATCTCATATCATTTTTCTCTATTATTCTAACATCCTCCAACTTTTCTTCCTTTTTTTGTTATTTGATTAGGGACCGTCAAGACTATATAATTAGACAAAATTTTGACATCCTTTATGTCTAATTCCTCCAACTCACTTATGCCAAGTAAATCCAACTATGTTGGAGTTTAGTTATAGATTCAATGTAAAAAAAAAAAAACTTTCGGAATGAGTTCATAACAAATGCCAAAACAGCTAGAGTACAATCAAACAAACAACACACAAGAAACATAAGTAAAAAAGGTAAAACACATTAAGCGATCACATAGCTGGTTAGTCTCAGTTGGTACTCATATGAAGCGCTACAAGCGAAGCATACGCACCACCAGAAATCTTCATGAGCCTCTCATGTCTTCCTTTCTCCGCAATCACACCATTTTTAACAACTGCAATCACATCTGCGTTCTTGATCGTACTAAGCCGGTGAGCCACCACTACTGTGGTTCGGTTCACCATAACCCTCTCAAGTGCATCTTGCACCACCCGCTCAGACTCCGCATCCAATGCGCTTGTCGCTTCGTCTAGCAAAAGAATCTTAGGGTCTTTAAGAATCGCACGAGCGATAGCAATTCTCTGTTTTTGACCACCTGAAAGTTGAACGCCGCGTTCTCCTACAGACGTCTCGTACCCCTCAGGTAATGAGCTGATGAAGTTATGTGCATTGGCTGCTTTCGCTGCGGATATGATGTCTTCCTCAGTAAATCCTCCGGTTTTTCCATAAGCAATGTTTGATTTAATTGTCTCATTGAAGAGAATTGGTTCTTGGCTAACCAGACCCATTTGTTGTCTTAGCCAACTCAATTTAAATGTCTGAATGTCGACTTGATCTAGAAGTATCTTGCCTGAATCCGGGTCATAGAATCTCTCAATCATGCTTATCACCGTCGATTTCCCACTCCCGCTCTCTCCCACCAATGCAACGGTCTAAAAACAAAGAAAACAAAACAGTTTGGTATATGACTAAACCGAGAAATCCTCTGTTTTTTCTTATGACATTGTTTGTTACCTTGCCGGAGGGGATAGTCAAGCACAAATCTAGGAAAATATTAACGTCTGGCCGCGTCGGGTAACGGAAGCTGACGTGCTGGAACTCGATGTCGCCCTTAACAATTTCTAACGTTGTTCCTTCATCTGAACTCGAGTCGATCTTCGGTTTACTATCAAGAATATCAAAAATTGAAGCTGTGGAGTCTTTGGCTTTGGTCATGTCAGGCGCCATCGCACTCGTTTGAGATATTCCTATTGCCGTGACCGTTAGTGCAAAGAAAACCTACAACATACAAAACTCAAAATCATAAACCAAAAAAAAAAGAACTAAACCAAATGTAAGATGAATTTGGTTTGGCTCTTACGATGAAGAATTCTCGAAAGGTGGCTTTCCCATGTTGTATCAACAATGAACCGATATAGAAACATAACGCATTGATGCAATAGAGAGCAAAGAATGAGAAACCGTAACCCAAACCGCTCACGATTCCTAACCGAACACCTTGTTTCTTCGGTCCCTCGCATTTTTTCTCATATAAGTTCATCACTTTTTTCTCCGCGCAGAAGGATGCTACCGTCCTTATGCTGCTCACGGCATCATTTGCAATCTGGCTTGCCTCTTCATACTTCATCTGAACCAAAGTAAACTAGGTCAACAAACAATGATCAAACTAGTTATGGGATTAAACCAAAACGTTGAACACTAACTTTTGCATCTTCGCTAAAACCGCTGAGAAACTTAGTCTGAAGGTATCCTTGGATAAATATAATCGGTGAAACAGCAAGGACAATGAGAGCTAGCATCCAATTAGCCACAAACGCTATTACCAAACCAGCGGTAACATTCGTTATACTTCCGACGATCAAAGCCAAAGCATCACCAACTAGACTTCTCACTGTTGAAGCATCCGTTGACAACCTCGCTCCAATAGCACCACTGGACAAAATGAAATATGAAACAAACCAAATTTTTTGGTTCATCCAAAAAAATAGTGAGGTTTTTATTTATAAAAAAATTATATACCTAGAATTTGAGGTATTATCGAACCAACTAATCTCTTGGTGTAAGACTTTATCAAACGTCATCAATCTGATGCGTTTGATCAGTTTTTCCCCGGCGATACCGAAGAAATAGTTTTGGATTGGAACTGCTACCAAATTGACCAAACCAAGTATGATGTAAATGAGCGTCCAGAAACGTGCATCTTTCTTCAATTTATCAGCAGGCTCAAAGAACATGTTGATGGAGCTTGATAGTAGATAACCAAAGACTGGAAACATTGTGCCATGAACCATAGCAGCCACTGAACCAAGCAACAGAACCGGAATCTCTGCCTTATTGAGGTGAGCAAGCCGTCTCAACGATACTTTCTCGCGCTTCTTTTCAGCGGTTTTCTTTTCGTAAGAGCTACCCTCGTGGTGTTCATCATTCAAGCGACTTCTCATAGTGTTCTTACTCACCGTTGATGAGAGCCTATAACTTCCGGTTCGACCAACTGACATATCAATGTCATAACTTTCTGGTTCTTTGATTCTTGTTCCTTCTTTTGATCTTTCTTGTAGACGAACAAGTTGTGAATACGCTCCCTCTGGATCTTTAATCATCTCCTCGTGAGTTCCTATGTAACACCATAAAACCATTATACCATATGCTCTGATTATACATAACAAACTTGATTACTTTCGTCAAAAATATACCTTTCTCGACGATTTTTCCCTCTTGCACAACAGCTATCGTGTTTGCTGTTCTTATAGTGGTCAGCCTGTGAGCCACCACGACAGTGGTTCGATTAGCCATTAGGTTCACTAGCGCATCCTGAACAATGTGTTCAGATTCTGCATCTAAAGCACTTGTAGCTTCATCTAGAAGAAGGATTTTCGGGTTTTTCAGAATCGCTCTCGCGATAGCGATCCTCTGTTTCTGTCCACCAGATAATTGTGTCCCATTCTCTCCTACCATTGCGTCTAACCCCTAGAAAAGAAAACCAAAGAGTTTCATGAAAATATGAACTCAACTTTATAATTCTAAGTTCTAGCTATAATTAGCTGCAAAAATTCAAATACCTCTGGAAAATTCCCAATGAATTGAGATGCGTTAGCGAGCTCAGTCGCGGTTTTAATCTCGTGATTAGTTGCGTCTTCTTTTCCATATGCAATGTTCTCTTTTATTGTTGTGGCGAAGAGTATAGGCTCTTGGCTTACAAGACCAATCTTGCTTCTGATCCATTTTAGTTGAAGTTTCTTTAAATCATTGTTATCTATTAGCACCTCCCCTGAAATTGGATCATAGAATCTTTCAATCAAACTGATCACTGTAGACTTCCCACTCCCGCTCTGCCCCACCAGAGCCATAGTCGTGCCGCTTGGTACAAACAAGGAGAATCCAGAGAAAATCGGCACGTCAGGTCTCGCCGGGTAGTGAAAATGCACGTCTCTCAACTCGATGTCACCTCGAATCTCCTCTAAGACTACACCGCTCGCGTCATAAGCATCGATCTTTGGGTTCCTCTTGATTGTCTTGAACATTTTGAAAGTTGCAGCTTGTCCAGAAGCAAAAGCATTAAGACACGGAGATGTCTCGCCCAATGACCTACAAAATGAAATATGTATGAGTTAGGGTTTTATGGGACGAGATTCCTTTCAGAACAAGTAATTATCTATAAGATGAATGTATACTCACATCCCACCAGTAAGGACCGAAAAAATCACGTTCATGACTTGTCCACCATTGTAACCTTTCTCCGTTATTAACTTGGCACCGTACCAAACCGCGAAACCGTAGCTAGAGAAGATCACAAACAACATAGCCCCGAGGCCTAGACCCGAGATTAGCCCTTGTTTAACCGTAGTTTTATAAGCAATCTCGAGCTTTCTATTGTATTTGTCTATCGCTTGTTTCTCCCCCGTGAACGCTACCACCTGAAATCCAGTCTCTTAATTCCTTTACAAGATTAAAACACGAGGATTTCAACGGCGGAAACTTACTGTTCTAATGGCACCTACGGCTTTTTCTACTACGTTTCCAGCTTCCCCGTAAGCGGCTTGTCTATTCCCAACCATTTTAGACATGGTCAGTGCCATTGTTGCACCAACGGCCACAATTAGAGGAATGCACGCCATAAGAACCAAAGTGAGTTCCCATCCTCTTATAAAAGCAACCACAAATCCACCAATGAAGGTTGATATTAGTTGTATAAATTTCCCGACCTGCATAATAAAAACAATCAATGTTTTGTTTTAGCGTCTCTTTCTACAACAAAACTTCAGAATATAAAACTCAAAAACCTTTTCTCCCATGGCTTCTTGAATCAAAATGGTGTCTCCAGACATTCTTCCGATGACTTCTCCTGTGTTTGTCTCAGTGTCGAAGAACTCAATGTCTTGTCTTAATATCGTCTTCAGGTATAGGTTGCGAATTCTGGAGGATTGACGCTCTCCAGTCACAATCCAACATGAAACCTCTGCATACAAGACAATAAGATAGGTTAACTTGGACAGCAAGTTAGGGTAAACCAGAGGGGACAAAATAAGAACAAGTGTGGACTTACGCAGAAAAGAGAAGACACATGCATACACCGCAAGGTAAAGAATCTTCACTGCAATCTGAATATTTTTTCCCGGTAAAAGTAGCATAAGAAGCAGTAATGGATTACAAATACTAAATCAATGTAGATAGTCATAGATTCAAACTCATTTATCTATTGTGAAAATTACAAAATTTATGATGAGGTTATTTTCATTATGCGAAAGGTTATCTATATAGAAATATATGAAAAAAAATACAATTGTAAAATAGTCGGATGTTGGAGGTTTGTTTATGTCTAAATCGTTTAGGCGCCAATTAATTAGTTTCAAAATATTCAATTTTTTCTTAAAAAAATATTTAGTTTTCTTATACAATATTTTAAAATTTTATATATTAAATTTATAACTATCTTATGAAGTGTCCAACCGACTTGTTGACCAGATTTATATTATTAGTTTTTTTTTTTTTAGTGATTCAATCACTGTGATTGAAAACAAACCATAACAAATCGGAAACATATATATCAGAAAATTTTGAATTCCGAGAAATCTTTAAACCAAACGTAAATGTAATAGAATATATAAACAAATATGAAATGATGATAATGAAAATATACGGAAAATGAAAATTTTAAAGAAATAAAATGAAAAATTGTTATGTTTTGAAAGATATATAAAATAAGAACAAAATAAATTATTATTCCAGGTTAAGAAGAACAATTTGAATTTGAAAACATCATAAAAGACAACTAAGAGTACCATTTTTATACAAATACTTTTTAGATATATGTTTACAAGGTAAGTGTATATTAGAAAATATAGGAAAAATGACATGATATATGATAAAGTCTAGATATATTTCCTAGCAAGAATGCAATTAATTAAGAAATTGGAAAAGAAAAGAAAAAAAATACACGAACGTCTATGTATATGAATATGATGATAATTAAGTTTTCCGTTCTGATAATGATGATCAACAATTTGATAAATCGTTTCTAATAGTTTAAACTTAAATCCAGTGACAACTAACTGAGATAACAAGATTTACACGATACATGAATCTTAACTCATCAATATATGAATTACAAACAAAGATTTCTTCAAAGATTAAGAAGTTACCTTGGAGACTTCTTGAAAGATTTCAGAGGAGCCAAATGCGTTGATGAGCTGGCCAAATAGTAGAGTCAAAAGCGGCTGAGTTAAGCCATTGGCCACGGCGGAGATGGTCCCGACAGTCATCAAAACTATGTCGTTTTTGTCAGCAAACGAGAAAAGCTTGTAAAATGACACTTTTTCATCTTTCACTCTACTCTTCTTGCTTTTCTCATCCTCCATTGCTTCCCTCTCACCTTCCTTCAAAATATTTGCCCTTGACTTCCTCCTTAATCTTTATCTTAGAAGTGTTTTTTTTTTTCTACCAAATACCAAAGTAGAGACTTGCACTGATTGCAAGACAACCCTATGCACATATATGAATCATAATTGATTGGAAATATTTTTTACCAAAAATATACTCAGACTAGTAGAAAACTGGGGTCCACTGTTATTTTATCTTAAAATGTTTAAAATTAGAATATAATTAGTCCAAAATATATTTAGTTGTCTTATGTCTCAATGCTTGCACTTGAGCATCTCCTAAAAGAGATATTTGTTTTATATTGAAAACCAAAATTTCTCTTCTTTGTATGTTTTTTGTTTATTTTTCCTATTTTTTCTTATGTTTAAGATATTTTTCCTAGTTTACAATTTTTGACATTGGTATTATCAATGTTTTACAAAAATTCGTTGTTTTCCCGGTCAAACTCCGGAAGTTCCAAACATAGTTAAATAGGCCAACGAAAAATCAACAATCTTTTCAGATTGATGTGTCCGATTAATTGGCTTAGGCCACCGATCAAATATATTTATACTTATTTTTTTATTATATATATAAAACTAATATATATATATATATATATACACGTGGATTCGTACATCCTCCATGGCGAAGCCCAAAACCATATAGTTTTAATTTTTTTTTTGAAAAGCAAATCCCACTCAACGTGAATTGAACTGTGACCTCCAAAGTTCCTACATTTTCGGTAAACCACTATAGCTCAACTCATCCTTGGTTGGATATCACATTTTAACGTCTTGTTTTTAATTTTCACATTAACATAGTATATATATATATATATATATAGATATAAAAATATGGAACGTAAAATATCTGATTAACCTCCAAATACGTGGTTCCTTCATAAATCTTCTATTGGCGCCTAGCAAATTGAATCTTGGATATTAATATTATTTTCTTTCTTGATTTTCTTTGTTTTAGTTGGATATATATATATATACTACTTTGGATAGTATACACTTACTAATGAAAGAAACATTGAAAAGTATGACATTATGTGTAACATGTTATTTTATGTAAACAAACATAAAGTAAAATGGTAAACATGTTATTCTATTAAACGAACAATATTATTTCATACAATATATTTTACATTTAAGTCATCTTCTTGACAACTTGTGTGATCTACCATGACTATATATAGTGATACTCATCACTAGCAAGTTTTTGGGTTTTTGTATAGTCACGGTTTGACTTGAAGCAGTGGTTAGTGGACTCTTTTCCCCGGCCGTTCTCTGACGTTCCACGATGAACCCGAGCTAATAATCAATGTACACGAGTTCTTATACAAAGGCAGCAAGCAGCCAAGCAGCAACAGACTGTTGTTTCCTTTGACAAAAAAAATAAGAGAGTGTTGGTTTCTTCTATGTTTGCTTAATTTAGATGTTATATAATAAAAACCCCTAATTTTGTGAAAAGGCCTTAGAGAGATTAAAAAGGCCTGAGCCTTTGGGCCCATTAAAGTGGTCGTTGATTCGAAACCTATGTTAAGAGAAGTTTGACGGGTGAAAAAGGAAAATATTCCGAAGATATATACATTATTTCCCTTATATATATATTAAAATTAAATAGTAGAAAGCAAAAAAAAATCAGAAAGCTAACGAAAAAAAAAAAAAACAATCTAGCAACAGAAGAAGCTTCGAGAAGACGATGGCGACGGAGATGAACGAGAATCTGATCAACTCTTTCGTAGAGATAACTTCTTCATCAAGAGAAGAAGCTACTTTCTTCCTCGAAAGTCACCGTTGGAATCTAGACGCTGCCGTTTCAACTTTCCTCGATAACGATGCCGCCGCAGCCGCAATCGCCGAACCAAACCCTACCGGACCACCACCGATTGCCGCTGCACAATCTCCTTCTCAATCTCACTCTCCCGATTACACTCCTTCTGAAACCTCTCCTTCTCCTTCGCGATCACGATCTCCTTCTCCGTCTTCTCGCGCTGCTCCCTATGGTCTCCGATCGAGAGGCGGTGCTGGAGAGAGTAAGGAAAGTGATAATCCGTCGGGGAGTCGGAGTTCTAGGAGTCGTCAACACGCTGGGAATATCCGTACGTTCGCCGATCTGAACCGTTCTCCGGCTGATGGTGAGGGCAGTGATTCCGATGAAGCCAATGAGTATTATACTGGTGGACAAAAGAGGTAAAACTCTCTACTCAATTCTTGATTGTTTGTTTTAGTAGATCTGATCATAATTTGGGAAGTACTTAGATGATTATAGTGTTGAGAATGGTGAATTAGGGCAATGATCATGAATTTGAGCAATGTGCTTTCTTGAAGAGAGTAATTGTTTCCAAAATCTAAAGAATTTGCTATTGATGGATCAATTATAGTGTAAAGATTGACCATATCTTGTGTATAGCTGAATTCATTGTTTATATATGTGTAGCTAACAGAGTTTTTTTTTGGATTGTGCAATGTGTTTTAGTGGGATGATGGTACAAGATCCTAAGAAAGTGAAAGACGTTGATGAACTATTTGACCAAGCTAGGCAATCAGCTGTAGACAGACCTGTTGAACCATCAAGAGCACCTTCTACAAGCTTCACTGGAGCTGCACGATTGTTATCTGGTGAAGCTGTTTCGTCTTCTCCTCAGCAACAACAGCAAGAGCAGCCTCAAAGGATTATGCACACCATCACTTTCTGGTTGAATGGTTTCACTGTTGATGATGGTCCGTTAAGGGGGTTTACTGACCCTGAAAACGCAGCTTTTATGAATGTAATATCCAAATCTTTCTCTCATTAATAATTACTTGGATACTTTTGGAATCCTTAATGTATATATGTTGTCTTTTGCAGAGCATCTCAAGGTCAGAGTGCCCCAGCGAACTCGAACCAGCAGATAGGAAGATCCCTGTTCATGTCGACCTTGTCAGGCGTGGAGAAAATTTCACCGTAAGTCTCATTCCCATCTCTCAGTAATATTCTCGTTAACCGATTCTCTGGATAAGCCACTCTTGTAGGATATTGCTATCATATTGTCAAGGGTTCATTTAACGTCTCTTATCTCTTGACTCACAGGAACCACCAAAGCCCAAGAATCCATTCCAAGGTGTAGGAAGAACCCTAGGAGCCAGCGGATCTGGTTCAAGTTCAGCACCACAAGCTTCATCCGCCCCAATGAACGCAGCACCAGCACCATCAAGAGGGCTAGTTGTAGATCCAGCAGCACCGACAACCTCTATCCAGCTCAGATTAGCAGACGGAACACGCCTTGTCTCCAGGTTCAACAACCACCACACCGTCAGAGACGTACGTGGGTTCATCGACGCTTCAAGACCCGGTGGCTCCAAAGAGTACCAGTTACTAACCATGGGGTTCCCTCCTAAACAATTGACAGACTTGGACCAAACCATCGAGCAAGCTGGTATTGCTAATGCCGTCGTCATCCAGAAATTCTAGACTTATATTAATCATCCCTTCGATTTATGTCTCTCTTTTATTTTGCTTTTAAGTGTTTTTGAACCTTATCGTTGACTCAACTATTTAGTCAACGATCCAAAGGCTTTGGATTTTCGTAGATTCATCAACTCTTTTCTTCAGATTTAATCACTTTAGCAGTTTAGCTTTTGTATAATTATTTATTTCATCGCTTCTATCGACTCAACCACCAATATCTTTTTTAGACAGAATAATCGAAAAAAAGATTATCCAATGAGCAAATTACTTATATCCTTGGACTCGTGAATTGACGAATTGACCAGTTGCTGCATAAACTCCACACACATACGCTCTCCTCAAATCAGGGACATAAAGGTAAATTGACCTACCTGCCCATCTGTCCATTTTCCTTGTTCTCTTCAAATTTTTTTTTTTTTTTTTAAAAACAATTCTCTAATGTCTGTTATTCGGAATCCGAAGAAAGCCAGAGGTATTGAGATTTACAGTGAAAATCTACAGAAGGAGAGATAGCGAAGGGAGAGGGACAATTATTAAAAAAATAAAATTCCTATTTTTGTTTTCATTACAACCTTAATCTTCGTGTTGTGTTCTGTATCTTCTCAGATTTTTTTCTCTTTGCTGGGCTTCGTTGCCTTTTCCTCTTTTTCTCTTTCTTCTGCTCTCGATTCAGTTTAGGGTAAGTAAAAGGAGCTGTTTTTTTTACAGGGTTTATCACAAAGATCCTTCTTTTAGGGTTCTTTGATTTCATTTCCAGTGCCCAGATCTCTCTCTCTCTCTCTACTCATCTGCCATTTGTAAGCTCTTTCTTCTTCTTTTTCCTCTCTCTTTATCTCTCCAAAGTTTACATTTTTTTGTTGTTTTCTCAAGTTAATCTTTGATTCTAGTTGTGAGATTGTGTTTCCGCTTTTGATTTTGGGTTTTTGTCTGCATGCAGGGCTGTGTTCAATGATTAGGGTTTACATTTAGAACCAAAGCTTGGGTTTTTAACTGGTAACTAGTTTAGGCTTGTGGCGAAGTAGAGAAAAAAAAAAGGAGGGTTTGGCCTTTTTTGGGCGATAATTTAGGGTTTCTGTAATTATGATCAAGCAGATATTTGGGAAATTACCCAGAAAACCTTCGAAATCTTCGCATAATGACTCGAATCCAAACGGAGAAGGTGGGGTTAATTCATATCACATGCCCAATTCGGGTAGTAATATCTCGAAGCCTACATCGAAATCGTCAGCATCGAATGGAGCAAATGGGACTGTTATTGCTCCTTCCTCAACGAGTTCTAACAGAATTAATCAAGTCAATGGGGTTTATGAGGCATTGCCAAGCTTTAGGGATGTTCCTAGCTCGGAGAAACCTAATCTGTTTATCAAGAAGTTGAGTTTGTGTTGCGTTGTGTTCGACTTTAGTGATCCGTCCAAGAATCTGAGAGAGAAAGAGATAAAGAGACAGACTTTGTTGGAGCTTGTTGATTATATTGCAACGGTTTCTACAAAGTTGAGTGATGCTGCGATGCAAGAGATTGCGAAAGTGGCTGTGGTTAATCTTTTCAGGACGTTTCCTTCTGCGAATCACGAGAGTAAAATTCTTGAAACGCTTGATGTGGATGATGAGGAACCTGCTTTAGAGCCGGCTTGGCCTCATCTTCAAGTTGTTTATGAGCTTCTTCTTAGATTTGTGGCCTCGCCTATGACTGATGCGAAGCTTGCAAAGAGATATATCGACCATTCGTTCGTCTTGAAGCTCTTGGATTTGTTTGACTCTGAAGACCAAAGAGAGAGGGAATATCTAAAGACCATTCTGCATCGGATATACGGGAAATTCATGGTGCACCGACCCTTTATCAGAAAGGCGATCAACAATATCTTCTACAGATTCATTTTCGAAACTGAAAAGCATAACGGCATTGCAGAGTTGCTTGAGATTCTAGGAAGTATAATCAACGGTTTCGCTTTGCCGTTAAAAGAAGAGCATAAGCTCTTCCTTATCCGGGCCTTGATTCCACTCCACAGACCTAAATGTGCATCTGCCTATCATCAACAGCTTTCTTATTGCATTGTTCAATTTGTAGAGAAAGACTTCAAGCTTGCTGATACCGTCATTAGAGGCCTTCTAAAGTATTGGCCTGTGACTAACAGTTCAAAGGAAGTTATGTTTCTTGGGGAGTTGGAAGAAGTTTTGGAAGCAACTCAAGCAGCTGAGTTCCAGCGATGTATGGTTCCTTTATTTCGTCAAATCGCCCGATGCCTCAACAGTTCACATTTTCAGGTGCGACTCTCGATTTGTTAAAAAAAGTAGTGCTATAAATAAGTTGTTCATATAGCGTCGCAATTTTGCAAGTTTGAGGAAGAGGAGTTGTTAGATTCAAAGTTGCTTCTTTTGTCAGGTGGCTGAAAGGGCTCTGTTTCTGTGGAACAACGATCACATAAGAAACCTGATTACTCAAAACCATAAAGTGATAATGCCAATCGTGTTCCCGGCTATGGAGAGAAACACACGGGGCCATTGGAACCAAGCAGTTCAGAGTCTGACTTTGAATGTGAGAAAGGTATTGGCAGAGACAGACCAAATTCTGTTTGATGAATGCTTAGCCAAGTTCCAAGAAGATGAAGCAAATGAAAACGAGGTTGTAGCCAAACGAGAAGCAACATGGAAGCTTTTGGAAGATTTGGCAGCTTCCAAATCCGTAAGCAACGAGGCAGTGCTCGTCCCCAGATTCTCATCTTCGGTTACTCTTACAACCGGTAAAACTTCGGGTAGTTGATCACTTTCTGCTCTTTATTACCGAGACAATACTTTCAAACGATCCAGCAGAGTTGTATCGATCCATACGAGCATCAGGATCAGTCCTTGAAGGGAGAAGATTAAGCACAATGATTAACAAGGCAATATCATCAGTGAATACTTATTTATAACATTTTATCAGGTTTCTGGATTCATGGGTTCAATTGTTTGTTGCTTCTGATCTTTTTTTTTCTCTTACTCACCTCTTAGAGGAGTTGAAAAACAATCTGTGGTGTAAGAAATATGGCTTATAGATATAGTTCTTGAGAGGACGACTAAACAATTATTCGTATTTGTACTGTGGAATGAATTGTATTTTATGCTTTGAGGTTCTCCCCTATTAACCGAATCGAAACCGAAGTTACCGAATCTCGGTTTGGTACGGTTTATATGCACAGGCCTATTTTGAACGACTCGTGATTGGAGGCTATGTGTCACTAAATCAAAATAGCCTCTATTTTCTTAAAAAAGTCATGAAATCTAATTTATTTTCGAAGATATTACCATAGCTTTTTTGCAAATATCAAGTATAGTAGGATTTTTTACCTTAATTACCATTTATTTAATCAAATTTATCTTTTCTAGTGATAAATCCATTATTATTTGTTCTTAGTCAATGAGTGGTATTCAATTTCATTGTCACGGCCTACTACTCAACAACCCAATCTTACCAAGTCAAAGTCAACTTTATTTTGTTTCTCTTTTCTTTATAGATTACTTATCCCTAAAAGGATTTGTAAATTAACCAAATTTGCATTTTAAAATATTTGTATCTATCTTGGTATTAAATTTGGAACAATTTTTTAAAAAAATAATAAAATACAATAATATTGAAGATTATTATATCGATTTTCCTTTTTCCTATTCTTTTTATTCGCATCGCCGCATATATAGTCGGATATAGTAAGCAGGTTTTTTGGCAAGAGTTTATGCAAGCCCGCTTCGATTAAAGCATCTAAACCAAAATCCAAACATCTGGGAGTTTCCGTTTTATTTTCTAGTTATATTATACCTTTTATTTTTTAGGAGATAATTAAACTTAGCAATTTATTATCTAAACCTAATAACCTTCATTGAAAATATAAACTGGATTTGAAAATACAATGTAATATTATTTATTTATGATATAAAAACAAAAACCTAAAATGGTATTTAAGTATTCTTAGTGTCAAACAGAGGAAATATATGATATATATGAAAATAACTAGTCAAAATCTGCTGTGATAATGACCTATTCTAAAAATTAATGAGAATCAACTATAATAACTAAAATAATAGATTATTGACAACTATAACAATATTGAAATCATAACAACTATTTCAAAGAAACGTGTATAAAAAGGGAATCATAACCGGAGACTTAAGAAGAACAAGAGCAAAAAAAACAATAGAGACTTAGACAGAGTCATATATCTCCCTATCTCTCTCTCTCCCTCTTCAAACGCAACCTCTTGTCTCTATGGGATCGCAACTCTCAAACACAGTCGTCGAAGGTGAAGATAACACCAAAACCATCGGATCAACCGAACCGGACCAACTTTTGGAGATCGAATCCTTGGAGAAGATCCTAAATTACAAGTTCAAAGACAAGAGTTTGTTGCTGAAAGCGTTCACAGACGCTAGTTACGTTGATGATAAGTGTGATTCGTACGAACGCCTAGAACTTTTAGGAGATTCGATCCTAAATATGGGTATAATCTATGAGTTTATTAAGCTTTACCCTAAAGAATCACCTGGTCCGTTGACCAAGCTCCGAGCCGTCAACGTAGACACCGAGAAATTGGCCCGGGTCGCTGTGAAACACCAACTCTATCGCTACCTCCGTCATAAGAAACCCTTGCTTGAGGAGCAAGTAAGTTACATTCTTAAAACCCCTAGTAATTAACCGTGTTTAGTCCTATAAATTTACATTTATTATCCTCGATCATGACTTATTGCAATTTGGTTGATTAAATGATAGACAAAAAAAATTTGAGAAAATAAATTTTATCAATTTTTTTGTTTTTTCTCTATTTCAATCTCATCCAAAAATTTGTCTCAATCAATGTTTTTGTTTATTTCATAACCCTTAGGCTTAATATATATCCATCGACAATATTCTTTAATAAAAACATTTGTATTGGTTGTGTGTTATATGTGACTTATATTAATGAGATTTTCATATAACTAATATATATGCAGATACTGGAATTTGTGGAAGCCATGGAAAAATATCCACTACATTCAAATGGTCTTCTGAAAGTTCCTAAAGTTCTAGCAGACATAGTAGAGTCTACCATTGGAGCTCTCTTCATGGACGGCAACTCCACTGAGACCGTCTGGGAGGTAACTTACTATACATACATAAGTTATAAATATCTATAGCTACTAGATTTAGGTAATTGATTCATCCATATATAGGTGATAAAACCATTGTTGGAGCCAATAATACCTCTAGACAAAATGAAGAGCCATCCAATGACAGAACTCAATGAGATGTGTCAGAAGAAGAACTTGAAATTGACGCCCAAAGACACTTGGGAAGAAAATCAAACCTATTGTTTCCAAATTGAGGATAAGTTCGTTGGATGTGGACAACATCCTGTCAAGAAAGAAACTGCTCGTAATTTCGCTGCAAAAAATGCTATCGACAATTTTTCTAAATTCTTCGGAGACCTTTAGTTATATGTATTTGTATCAAAATAAAAATTGTATTCTATAAATTTCTACAGGAATAAGTGTACTATCTTTGTGTTTTCTTTTTGTTTATTTTAACAAAAAGAAAACACAAAGATATATGGTAGTACTGTCTTTGTATTTGAACTAGCTTGTATTAAAATTCATCTTTTCATTTTTCTTATAAATGGTGTGAAAGACGTCAAAAAAAAGAATGATGTGAAATATGAACCTAGCCATGTTGAAATGGTATAAGCATACAATATTGATACGAGACTATGGTTAGGGTAGTTTGGTGTCATATGAGCTTATCGTTTCTTTTTGATGTTTCCTTTTCGCACTAGATTAAGGCTTTTGTGTTTTTACTTATTTAAATTATGCTTAAATCTGTTTGTTGATGATCTATATAAAGACCTCAAATCATCAATAAGAAATAAAGTTCCAACAGTTAACCTAATTTTCGAAGAGAGAGTTGGGTTAAAGGGAAGCTTTTGCTTAAATCATTCTTCTTTTTACGTTTAACAAAGGTTCATATCATCAATATATACCATTTATGGTATAAGCATACATAAGTGTTACTCGAGAACCGGAGGATATCATTTGTAAATCTTGGTTAGAGACCTAATTAAATTACCTCTGATCAAGTTCGGGAGAAGATAAATCTGGTGCTATATATGTATCATGGCATAGCACACATATAACAAAAATAGTTTATTTACAAAAGTAAATATAATTTTTTCATAAAATACAAAGATATTCAATCACATCATGTAACAAACACAAATAAGTTTAGTTTTACTTAAGAAGACACCGGATCTACGTAGACCACAAATATCAAAGTACGTTATAGAAGGAACATAAAAAAAAAAAAAAAACAAAGCTCACACTCAATCATCATTCAACAAGGTAGGTTAATACCTTCACGCATGCACAAGTGATGGAAAGACAATGAGAGGGAACTTGCGGCAAACATCAATACCAGATGCTTCAACTAGGTCAGGCTTATCATCTCCCCCTGGTCCGACCTCGAGTCTCCAAGTGAACCTTTTCACAAGGTTGGCTAGTGTCAATTTGGACAAGACCATAGAAAATCCGATCCCGGGGCAAAGTCTTCTTCCCGCTCCAAATGGAACGAACTTGGAATCAGTACCGTTAAAATCCAAATTCAAACCAAAATGCCTCTCTGGTCTATATTCTTCTGCATCATGTCCCCATATGGAAGGGTTTCGTTGGAGTGCCCAAGCATTGATTATTACCTGTGTTCCAAGTAAAGCATTATATAGTTTTACATGATCTAGGTTTAGGCTTATATGATTTTAAAATATATATTACCTGTGTCCCTGCAGCAATGTCATATCCCTTTAATTGGACATCTTCAGTCGATAGTCTGGTCAGTAATGGACCAGAAGGATGTAACCGTAGTCCCTCCTTGATCACGCAATGTAAATAGTCCATTTTCTCAACTTCTTTCTCTGTTACATTTAAATTATGCGTCGATATTGAATTAATCTCATCTTGAAGTTTTTTCATACACTCTGGATGCCTCATAAGTTCTGTCATTGTCCATTCTAGTTGTGAGGCAGTTGTTGCGGTTCCGGAAAAAAACATATCCTGAAAAACCAAGGAACAACAAAATTGTTTTAGCTATTGATTGGTACTAGGTACATAATTTGTAAGAGGTCTTTTGAATCCAAAGAAAGTCTAGTTTTCAATTTATAGGAAAGACATTCGTTTATATATATACATTTTTATTAACTTGATATTTAATGATTTTTCTGGTTGTTGTAAAATTCATTTTGTTTTCTTTATGTATTGATGACTTTTTCTACTATAAATGAAAACGTAAAAAATGGAGACTAAATCAGATTTTCTGATGTTACCATAAAAAAAAAAAAGGATATCTAATGTGTTTTTCTACATGAGAAAAAAAAAAGAAAAAAAAAAGGAACGTATATTTTACCAAAACATAACTTATTTAATAAGATTTGAGATCATGTATTGTAGATTCATATTTTCTTCAAACCATGCAAAACAAAAAGGAATGGCTTGTTGTGTTACCTTGAGGATGAGTATTATATCACTTCTGTCAAGCTCAAACCGTTTGGTTTTATCGTTTTGAATCGATAGCAACATATCAATAAAATCTGATGGCTCTTTGTGATCGGCATCGACATGTTCTTGCACCATGCTGTCTAAAAAACAATCTAACTTGTTATTTATGTCCTTCATTTTACCATCTACGCCGTTGATCTTATCTATCCATGCCAAACTAGGAATAAAATCTCCGAAAAAGAATTTGCCAAAGAACCCAGAGGATGTCATCACTAAGTTCTTGATATCAATTCCACCTTCCTCGATGTTATATTTTCTTCCCAAGGTGATTCTGCATATGATATCGTTGGTAAGAGTCATAAGGAGTTTGCTTAGATTTACTGATGAAGAAGATGAACATGCTTCTTCTAGCCTCTTTGTCAATAATTTTATCTCTTCTTCTCTTAGGTTCTCAAAGGACCGAACCATTTTGTTGTTGAGCAGATGCACAACGCACAGACTCTGCAATCATCGCAAGTTGATATAATAAGATAATATATATTTATTTTAAAACATAAAAATTAGACGTGTAACATAAGATAATGCACTTTAGAAGAAAACTAAGGGCCCAATCGTTGCCTCTATAAGCGTGTATTTCTCTCTCGCTTGCAGCCAAAAGTAGGGTTTTTCTAGATCTAGGTTCGTTCATTTGCTCTTCATCGTCGGCTGAAGGATTACATCGGAATCTCAGTGGTGAGTAGGTTCCCTTCTCTGTCAACGGGGGAGTGGACTTCCTCTTCCGATGTAGCGGTTGTTCTAATTTCGGCGGAAGAGATGCTCTGATGTCATACCTTTCCGGTTGAGGACGCTGGAGATTGGGTGTCGGAGTATCCTCGCGGCTCAGCCGTCGGATTAGTCACTACTGCTACGGCGGAAGTCGGAGGGGGAAAGGTGGGTTGCGTTGATTGTTACGGTGGTTAACCGCAGATCTTGGCCGATCTTAGAAGGCCGCCGCGGAGTTCGTTTCCAGGTGGTGGTTGTTTGAGCCTTCAACTACTGGATCCGCCGCGGTTGGTGTCCACCGGACCAGTTGAAGGGTTCTCTTTCTCGGGTTGATTGGTTAGGTCCGGATCTGGAAGAAAGGGGACAGATCTGAGTTTGTCAGGTTGCTAGGTCGGGACCTGACAACGTGGAGCTGGCTTGTCGGAGAGTTGAGGTGTCTGGGAGGACTGTAGCGGGTCAGGCGGTTCGACGGTGAGGGATCGATGGTGGAAATCAGGTTCTTTCAACGTTGGCTCCAATCCTTTGTTCTGCCGCAAAGCCGTGGCCCTTGAATCCGCCGGAATTGCACCTTCTGATTCTCTGCGGCCGGTAATCAACAAGTTCCGATCTTTTCATCTTTTTCCGATCACTTTTCCGATCAGTCCTTTTTGTAACTGTGTTTTCATTGTAAGGCCTTAAAGCCCAGCCCATTTGGGATGATTAATAATATTTATTTAAAAAAAAAAAAAAAAAAAAAAAAAAAAAAAAAAGATAATGCACTTTTCTGAAAAGTTATAGGAAAATTTTATAATAATTCTTATACATGTACATAATTTTATTTTTACACATACCATAAATTTCTCAAAATCTATCCAACCAATATTTCCATTAGTTAAAATTTTTGTTCATATATTAATTTTAATTTCTATTCTTATCTAGTTCTCTTCTAAATTATTAAATATCCAGATTAAAATATAGAATTCTTTATGGAGGATCCTTAAATCACTTAAAGTACAATGTAAAAAAGTGTGTAAAGCAGATGTAAAACGAAAAATCCTTGAGAACTAGTGTCATACTGAACAAACTAATTATGAATAAACTAATTACTACTACTCCCTCTGTTTTAAACTTTCAATATATATATACAAGTATCAATTTAATATTTTTCATGCGGATTAATGAACAAACTAATTACTACTACTCCCTCTGTTTTATTTAAAACATCAAATTTATATTTGAATCCTAAATTTATTTTAAAATAAAAGTCATTTAAAAAAAAAAAGACAATTATTTTGCAATGGATGGAGTAATAATTCCGAAAATTAAATCAAAGCTCATATTAACTTATCACAAAATCTAGTAGTATAAATTCATGGTTGGGAGGCTAGTCTATTTTTTCTATGATGAATCTCGGAGTTTTAAAGAAAACACAAAAAGTCTATCACAATAGATATATAAAGTAACAAACTAACATTTTCATTTCTCGAATTTTCGTTTGATAAATATTTTAAAATTTGTACGATTTTATTGTTTTCTCGTGTAATCATAGTAGTAACAAAATTTATAGAACTAAACCATACTTGACTGGTCATGATCAAATTAAAGGTGGAGATTGATCATATAAATTCATCCCATATACTAAATATTTAAATAATAGAAATCATATATGCATGGGAAATTAAAAAAACCTTCATATTCTTCCATTCTTCTCTGCAGGGGCCAAAGATTATATCACGCCCACCTTTCATAAATATTTCAATAGCTTTTGATGTCTGCCGGTTTGCAAAGTTGAGGTCGTGTGTTTTCATGATTGCATTAGTTACGTCAGGACAAGAGACCACGAGAACAGGGACACGGCCAAAGTGAAGGACCATAAGTGGCCCATACCGGAGGCTGAGGGAATGGAGAGAGCGGTGAGGGTTGGGACCGAGCTGGTGGAGGTTTCCGATCACCGGAAGCCACCATGGAGACGGTGGTAACTTACGTTTGGTGGTGGTGATTCGTTTGAGGATTGGTTTTAGGAAGAGAATGACTATGAAGGTAGCTAAGCACAAAGAGATTAATATCATTTCCATATTATGTTTGGTAAGCAATTGTGTGATTTGAACATCTCTCTACTTTGTGTTTTATAGGGATACAACCCCGTCCCAACGACATCAAGGTCCTAGGGCATATATTTATTTTTTATTTTTTTATTAAATTATTAAAATTTTGAAGTTTTAATAATTGATCAAAATCATGGATATCGATCAACCCTCATTTTTGCATGTTTCTCTCCCTCTCATCTTGTATTATTTGGCGTTTTTGACTTTTTGTCACAATTTGATAAGAATCTTTGTTTCCAAACATAGTTTCTAGTTCTCCCGATTTTTAAAGTTTGTTTTTTGGATAATTGTTTTATGCCAGTTTTTGGGTTGAGTGTTTTTTCGCAATCTGCTATTATTTCGAAAAAATTGTTTGCCGTTCAATTTATTCCAGTCTAAGCTTCTTTTTTCTAGGTTTTAATGTGTTGCATATACAAGAAAGGTGTATTTTTCTATTCTTCCAAATTCCACTGAAAAAACATGAGTAGAATTAAAGTTCTAATATAGAAGTACATAGAAATCGAGCTGTTAATTTTTCTTTTTTTTTATCTTTGATTGAAATTACTTCTAAAATTTAGGAAAGGGTTTTGTTTTTTTAGAACGAAAATCTTTAACGGAGGTTAGTCAACCGATCAGCACAACCATAAAGTTTCTTCCATCAAAGATGAACTTACAAAAGGGATTACATCCAAGTGATTCGAAATCAAATTCGATTGGTTATATGAGAAACACCACCGAAACCATGCCATCGACATGTCGACATGGACAACATTCGTTATCGACAACTGTGATTTACGTACAAATTGAAGAGTTCTTATATGTTTTTAAAAATTTTAAAGCGTTTGGAAAGGAAATAACCATTGTTCAGATTTTTTTAAAAAACACATGACGGATTGTTGAGGTTGAAATACATCTTTTCCCCCGTTTTCATCTCACTATTTTTATTTTAAAAGATATGCTACAATAAAATATAAAATATCTAAAACGAGAGCTAAGAAAAACACCAAAATCCAGAGTAGGTACAATAATTATGGGTTTATATTATCTTTAGAAAAATGGCCCGCTACTCAAAGTTACATCACGTTACTTTTCAGAAGTATTTTTCTCTTTGCAATGCCAATGACATATATCCAAATGCAGTTTTGTTTTCTTGTTGTTGTCGCAAACCCATTATGGGACTTAATTAGCATTGGCTCTTATCAGCGCATCACGAAAAGAACCTCATTTTTGGACCGACAATAAACCCAATTTAGTCATCCTATTTAGGTCAATAAATATGACATTGAGTTGATTAACTCGTATCAGTTATACATTATTTTAGTTTTTTTTTTCCAATTTATAATCTAGAACCCTGTGAATATACATGTGTAGATTATTTAATTTAAATCTTCTGTTCCGTAAAACATAATGGTTTTTGCTTGCTAGTGACCCTTTAACAATTTTTTATGAGCTCTTGGTATGGGGGTAGGACAATTATTCTCTTAAATAATTGCTTGAATCAAAATTGGTTCAAAAGATATTTACTACATTCAAATATAAGAAAAGGACAAGAAATTGTTTAATAATTATGGTAACCCAAATGGCCAAATCTTTGCCGTAACTTGAGAAATAATTTTGGACAAGTTTTATTTAGTAAAAACTATAGTGATTTACGTGGAGACGTGTGAACAAAAACACCTTCGAACATTGGATTTGATGGACCATGTACAAAATCTTTCAGAAGAATTAATAGAGCAAATTGTAGATGACTGAAAGAGAAAGATAGATAGCTGACGTGTAACTTGAACATCACGAAAGATTTAGGTGCTCAAGGTTTTAAAAATCTCTGTATCAAGAAAAGGACAAGAGCATTTGTTCACATAAATATCTAGGGTAGATTTTGGAAATGGTTAAAAATGTGTATGGGTATGTGAATACATATTTAAGGTTTTTTTCTTTCTTTCTACACTAGGTTAATAGCCAAAATATTGAGGAAGAAATAGAGCTTGAGATGTTTGGTTATGTAAGTACAACAAGGATCTGCGTGTTGGATAGACCGTTCGGTGAACATGGGTAAATACTAAATACTAGGATTTGGAATATGTAAGAGAAAATGATTGTTTAGATATCGAGTTAAGTTAGTCTGTGAGTGAGGATTACTTAAAAAATTTCTCACAACGTTTGTGATTGTCACTACATATTTGATTTTTACAATTAGTATCAGAGCATGTACACTTACGGGAGAGCAAATTACTTTAGAACATGTGTGAGATTCTTTAGAGAATATGAAGACATCTACAAAGGTAATCGTTGTTCACAAACCTTTGATGTTATATATGTTGGCATCATAGTTTGAGAAAAATATGAATTAGTGATTAGGGATGTCAACAGGGCTATCCAAGTTTAAATAGGTCCGTCCATATGGTCACTGATGGTCAAAATTCAAATAGGACCAGACCAAATAGAACAAAACCTTAATAATATTATTACTAATGAGTGTATGCGGGGTCCAGAAAATATGATTTCCTATTTTCTGCCAAAACTTCAAAATCGAATTTTTCAACCTAAACCGTAAAATAATGTTTTTCACCAAAATCGTTAAACACATTTACTGCCAAAATCAAAGAATTGTGTTTTCAGTCAAATCGCAAATCACATTTTCCGTCAAAACTCAAAACTGTAAAAATATTTTTGGCAGGAAACGGGAAATGGAAAATCATACTTTTGGTAGAAAACTAGAATTTATATTTTTGGCCAGAAAAAACAGAATTACGTAGTGACTGACAAACAAAAAATTATGTATCATTGAAAGAATCAAAAATACGAGGAATAAGTAATTATAGTAAATTCTAATTTTTAAGGAAATAGGGAAAGAACAAATTTTCCCGACTTAGTAATCCTAATTTTTAAAGCTTATTAAACATCTTATATAAAGATGAGTTTGCTTCATTTATTTACCGGTTAAATTGGTTACTTGGATAAAATCATAACCAAAAGATTATAATTTGAACTGGTCTAAACTCATGGTCATGAGACCCATTTGACATCTCTATTAGACTATTAGTGATGAGGAAAGAAGATTGCTAAGCTGGGCTTTAATCCAAATGAAGCACAAGTTACGGGGAAACAAAAAGATTCTAAATTGTTCACCATAAAACAATTTCATGGTCAAAAGACAGTTATGTGAAAATGAATCTAGATGAGATCAAGTTCGATGAGCTTGTTGGGTTGTAATAACTTATAAGCATATGAGTTACGGTTTGAAGCTGGCCCAAGATCGGTAAAGTAGTTACATCCGCTAGCTACTAGTGACGAAAATGATAAGTTTCAACAAGTGAAAGATGATACGAGTCAATACCAATAAAGTAGGTATTTTCATAGTCTGAAATCTGAATTTGTAGTCTTGTTTGGGCTTGGATTTAAGAAAGGCCCAGATCCTTCTAGATACTTACTTATTTTAACGTAATATAAAATACTATCAGAAAACAATTTCTCTTAAGCCTTCTTTTCTTGAAGAAGAAGAAGAGAAATCAAAATCAAAACTTTCATTTTTTTGATCGCTGTGTTTCCATCCATCTTCAGATTTCGAATTCCCCAGAAAATGGATTTCGAGCTTAGATCAGCGAAAGAGAAGCTTGAAAGAGAGCAGAGAGAGAGGAAACAAAGAGCGAAACTAAAGCTCGAACGAGAGAAGAAAGCCAAGGATGCTGCGATTAAGCAACGCGAAGCCATTGAAGCTTCTCAAAGAGCTAGAAGGCTTGACGCCATTCAAGCCCAGATTAAGGTCTCTCTATCTCTATTCTTATAATCGTTGCTTTTGAAGTTGCCAATTTGAGTTTCTCAATCATAAATATTCTCCTAGGTTTTTGAATTAGAGGTTCTGTAATAAATTTTCTCAATCGATTTCGTTGTAATAGAACAGTGTGATTCTAATTTTGTATAATGGGTATTATAGATTTTGATGCATATAACTAAAAGCTTTGAAATTGATCATCTTGATTTTGAAAGTTGGCTCCTTTATCTTTTTTTTACTTAAAGGAATAGTTGGGTGGTTGTTGTTTCAATGGTTCTTCTCTGTTTGGGCTTTCTCTGATAATTTGCTTTGTCCTGTATTTAGGCTGATCAACATATGCAAGAGAGTTTAGTTTCTGGAGATGGGATAGTGTTTGAACGAGTCTTCCAAGCTGTTTCTTTTCAAGGAATTGGAGATAAGATTAAACTGCCACCGTCGTGTTTTACGGAGTTGTCTGATCAAGGAGCTTTCGATAAAGGTCCTTTGTATTTTGAGCTCTCTGTAGTTGGCCAAGGAGATAATAAAAAGACAACACACTCTGGTGTTCTTGAGTTTACTGCTGAAGATGGTACTGTTGGGCTTCCTCCACATGTTTGGAGCAACTTGTTTTCAACACATGATCCAATGGATGTTCCTTTGGTTGAAATCCGTTATATCCGGTTGCCTAAAGGAAGTTACGCGAAGCTTCAACCGGATAACCTTGGTTTTTCGGATTTGCCCAACCATAAAGCCATCCTTGAAACTATTCTTCGCCAACATGCTACACTTTCACTTGACGATGTTCTCTCGGTAAATTATGGGCAGGTCTCTTACAAGCTACAGGTTCTGGAGTTAAGACCTGCCTCGAGCATTTCGGTTCTGGAGACTGACATTGAGGTTGATATAGTTAGTCCTGATATAGTTTCAGATCAACCAAATCAGATTGTGCTAAAGCCGCTTCAAATTGGGAAATCTGAATCTGGAACAGTTGAGGAAGGAAAGTATGATTACTATAAGTTTGTGATTGACGAGGCTACTGTAGAAAATGTATTGGCAGGAAACATCAAAGTTATTGTAAAGATAGATGTGGAGAAAGACGGAGCGGATACTGATCTCTATGTATCAAAGCACCCGGTTCTATTCCCATCTCTTCATCAACACGAGTGGTCTTCACACGATGTGGGTTCAAAGACCTTGATCTTGGGATCAAAGGAGAGGGCTTTGAGCTCAGGGACCTACAGTATAGGTGTATACGGCTTCAAAGGAACAGTCAAGTACCAGGTCTCCGTACTGGTCCAAGAAAGCAGCGATGGAGCTAAGGTTGGGGAACGGGCTATATCATCTTCATCAGATGTTGATACAGTAGAGTGCAGGAACTGTAAGCATTTGATTCCAAGTAGGAGTATCGCATTGCACGAGGTGTACTGTAGCAGACACAACGTTGTTTGTAATCATCAAGGATGTGGAATCGTTCTCAGAGTTGAGGAGGCCAAAAACCATTTGCACTGTGAAAAATGCGGGAAAGCACTGCAGCCCACAGAGATGGAGAAACACTTAAAAGTCTTCCATGAACCACTCACTTGTGGCTGCGGAATAGTACTCGAGAAAGAACAGATGGTGCGTATATTGCAATCATTGTTCTCATTACCTTGTTGTGCTCGAACTGGTTAAATTAACACGAGATTGTGATATTGTTGCAGGTTCAACATCAAGGTAGAGATTGTCCTCTTCGCCTAATCGTGTGTAGGTTCTGTGGAGATATGGTTGAAGCGGGCAACTCTGCAGCGGATACTAGAGACAGGATGAGAGGAATGTCTGAACACGAGAGTACTTGTGGTTCAAGAACTGCACCATGTGACTCTTGTGGCCGATCTGTGATGCTCAAAGATATGGACATTCACCAGATTGCTGTTCATGGCAAGAGTAGCTAATATCGGTATCCGGTTTCCACCATTGTTATTGAAAACTGATTGTAATGTTGAAAGTGTCAAATGTTTGAACAGAGAAGAAGCATCAAACCCATTTGTATTATTTATGACACAATTTGATTCTTCAAGTCACAATCCGAAATATTTTCTTTCACGTATGGATTTAGTAGAGCCCAGAGACTTAATTGTCGAACTTTTGACTTACCAAAACTGTCGAAAATTTTATACAACGACCAAAAAAAAAAGAGACAATGATGCTTAATGTGCAAGTATTATTAGTGGGTCAGTAGTCGAGTCAGGACAATGATTGAGAGTGATTATTTATTAGTGGGTCATTATGATAGTTTCTATTTTCTTTCTAAGTCAACTTCTGTGGCTGAAAATAGAGCAAGGAGGAAGAGATTTTGTACTTTGCAAGTTACCAACGTAAGTTTTGAAACAAAATTTAAGACTAAAATAAATTCACGTAACACCAAAAATGTCCCTTCAATTCTTAGATTAACTTCTGACCACGCATTATATTAGTAGTAGCTATAACCTTTTATCATATTATTAGTACTAGCTATAACCTTTTATCATGCTAATTAATTTCTTGATTAATACAAGTGGGTCAAGATATTTCTTCTTAAAAGCAGTAAATGAATATATAATTAATACTAATGTCTTATACTCCCCTAACCTTTATTATGGCTGGAAACATATTCAAAGAGTAGTTAGTGATAGCTGAAAAGATATTCCACCGTTAACTTTATTACCATCACTAGAAAACATTAATAGTGGTAGAAACATAATTAATGATATAGATGACATTACTTTGAAGTTTATTCTTTTTGATGCAACATAAACATATCACATTCACACCAATTTTGGTTTTGCAAACTCTTTTAATAATACTGTATATCGTTTAAACTTTAAGTTTATTTGTGGTATGTATATCAATAGTAGATCTCAATACTCATCATTAAATTTTATTCTTTTATGATTTTAATATTCATAATGAGCAAACTATAAACTATTCATATGACTACACAACAAACAATTCTATTTATATCATAAAAATTTACAAAAACGAATCAACATGCACACATTCATAATGAACATATTTACCCATAACACACGATTAAATAGTTTTACTTACCAATCACGATCACAATACAATGAACATATCCGAATTTTTAAAAATATATATATTTAAAACTTTGATATTTTGGATTAAAATACGGATAATGCAAATTGGATCCAAATTTATATTTTGGCGAAAAAAATGTAGATTCGGACCCACTTTTACAATCTACAAACAAAAAACTTCTGTCACCTTTACAATTTTCAATTATCCACCCAAAGAAACCAATTAAAAATTAGAAAATATCAAATAATAGTGGTTGTGACATTTGCAAAATATGTTCACACTTGCTAAAAACTAACCGTATCTCTTTTGGAGCGTCCATCAACTTTATATTACCCACGTATTTAACACATTAAATTTGGAATCAAAACCACCAAAATAATCATAGCCACAAGTTGTTACCCACTGAACTATAGACAAATAAAAAAAATTCCCATATTTTTTTTTCTGTAGAAGGAAAATAAACGTTACCAGACAAAATCCAAAAAACTCACTACCATCTACTATTGCATTGTCTTGTCTTCTTCTTTCTTTTGTGTCACGGTTTTAGTTTACTCTCGTGTCTCTTTCATAGCACAAGAGCATTTTTTTTTTTTTCTCATGTAATAAATTCAGAAGGCTCACATTTTGCCAAGTCCTCAACAATTTTTTCTCCTTTTCCTTCACGGATTTATAAACAATAAATTTGCAGTAATCTTTTTATTCGAATGAATCTTTGAACATATTTCCTAAAAACCCGGCAAGAAAAAATCCTGAATTTTTCTCATTAATTCTCCCAAAAATACAACTTTTCTTCTTCTTCCTCTGTTTCTTCTTCTTCTTCTTCTCTTACTGTTCTTGTCTTGGTCGATTTGGAACAATAAAGCTTTGTCTTTTACCTCTTATAAAAGGTAATTGAATTCAAATCTGGTTTTCTTTCTTCAGTGTTCTTTGTGACTGTGACATATAACTCTTGTTTCTGTTTGGGTGCTAACAAAAAAACAGAGCAAGTTGAGATTTTTTGGAAATTTCCTACATCAACTTGCAAAGTCTGAATCTGTGTTTGAATATTTTTTTACAGGAAGAGTAGTAATATCTTCTTCTTATTCACAGTCTCATGGCTACAATAAACGATATTGGAGTAGCAGCAGCAATCAATATAGTGACAGCATTAGCTTTTCTCTTAGCTTTTGCTATATTCAGGATTCAACCAGTAAATGACAGAGTCTATTTCCCTAAATGGTATCTTAAGGGCTTAAGAAGTAGTTCTATACAAACTGGTGGCTTTGGTAGCAAATTCATCAACTTGGACTTCAGATCCTATATTCGTTTCCTTAATTGGATGCCTGAAGCATTAAAAATGCCAGAACCCGAGCTTGTCGATCACGCTGGACTCGATTCTGTAGTCTACTTGAGGATCTACTTACTCGGGTATAAATAGAAACATCTATCTCCCAAACCCTTTTCTTTATTCTTCTGGTTTAAGAGATTTGAGTCATGGTTCTTTGATTGCAGGCTCAAGATCTTTTTCCCTATAGCTTGTGTTGCTTTTACGGCAATGGTTCCTGTTAATTGGACAAACAAGGGATTGGATCGGTTAAGACATTATAATATAAGTTTCAGTGATATTGATAAACTCTCTTTATCAAATATACCAAATGGGTCACCTAGGTAAGAGAGATACACTTCTCCAAGTTTGGTGGCTTTTTCTTTGTTTCAATATGATTGATTACTCATTTGGATCCTCCTCATCTTCTGTAGATTTTGGGTGCATTTGTGTATGGCTTATGCCATCACTTTCTGGACATGCTTTATCCTGAAAAGAGAGTACCAGAATATAGCTTTAATGAGACTACAGTTTCTTGCAAATGATCAAAGGAGACCTAACCAGTTCACTGTAATGAAACTTTGATACCTCTTGATGGTTTTCACTCTTATGACAAAATTACTTCCCTTATAGCTAAAACCTGTTGAACTTTCTTCATCTTAGGTGCTGGTAAGAAACATTCCTTCAGATCCTCATGAATCAATATGTGAACTTGTTGAACATTTCTTCAAAGTCAACCATCCAGATCACTACCTCACTTTCCAGGTATAATCATCTTTGGATTTTCTGTTATTATCAATCCATCTCTGACTTAATTTCATAGCTGATGATTCTTGATCTGCTTTTAACTCAGGCAGTCCACGACGCAACAAAACTCTCCGAATTGGTTCTGACGAGGAAGCAAATGCAGAATCTGCTTGATTACAATATAAACAAACACATGAGGAATCAATCTAACAGGCCAGTAATAAAGGTAAACTCATATTTGCAAATCACCTAAGCTTAAATTTCTCCTTTGCTGTTTCTCTTAAGATGCATCTCAATGTCCATAAGTAGATGGGATTTCTTGGCTGCTGTGGTGAAGAAGCTGATGGAATCAAATATTACACGTCCGTCGTCGAGGGTCTTACAAGAGAAGTAAAGCATTCATCTTCTTAACTTCTCTACGCTATTCTCCAACCTCATTTGCAACATATTCAATCAAACTTTCTTTGGATGTTTCAGATAGCTGAGGAGAAACAGAGGTTAAGGACCGGCACAAAGTCCATAGTGCCTGCAGCTTTTGTATCTTTCAAGAGCCGTTGGGGAGCAGCGGTTTGTGCTCAAACTCAACAGACAAGAAACCCAACAGAATGGTTAACCGAGTGGGCTGCAGAGCCTCGTGACATCTACTATGACAATCTGGCATTGCCATATGTTGACCTTAAGATAAGGAGACTCATAGTCGGCGTTGCATACTTCTTCCTCACCTTCTTCTTCATGATACCAATAGCATTTGTACAGTCACTTGCCAACATTGAAGGCATAGAGAAGGCTTTCCCTTTCTTGAAGCCCCTTATAGAAGTGTATGTCTCATTCTATCTTCATGAATATATCAACCTGTTCTGTCTAGCTGCCCCGTTGATAAAATCTCTTATGTTTTTCGGTCTTTGTGAACAGGAAATTTTTAAAGTCGATCATCCAAGGTTTCCTTCCCGGAATCGCCTTGAAGATCTTCCTCCTTTTCCTCCCAAGGATACTGATGCAAATGTCCAAATTTGAAGGTTTTGTCAGCACATCCTCATTAGAAAGAAGAGCTGCAACTAGATTCTACATGTTCCAATTCATCAATGTTTTCCTCGGAAGCATAGTCACCGGGACTGCGTTTCAACAGCTCAACAGTTTCCTTAACCAGTCTGCAAACGAGTATGTTCTTTAAAACCTCTCCTTGTCTGCATTTCACTGGGAGATATCATATCTTTCTGACTTTTTCATTTCTGCAGTATTCCAAAAACAATTGGTGTCTCAATTCCAATGAAAGCGACCTTCTTTATAACATACATAATGGTTGATGGATGGGCTGGTGTTGCTGGGGAGATATTGAGGTTGAAGCCACTCATAATCTATCATCTAAAGAACTCCTTCCTAGTGAGAACCGAGAAAGATAGGGAAGAAGCAACTGATCCTGGAACCATAGGATTCAACACTGGTGAGCCTCAAATACAACTCTACTTCCTTCTTGGTCTTGTTTACGCAGCAGTTAGCCCCATCCTTCTCCCCTTTATCCTCGTCTTCTTCGGCCTAGCTTTTGTAGTGTACCGTCATCAGGTGAAATAACTGAATCTTCCTTCTGCTTCCTTTTTCCTCCAAAGCTAGAGCATCGTTAAGTAACAATGAAGGCTTTATTTGCAGGTTATAAATGTGTACAATCAAAAGTATGAGAGTGCAGGGAAATTTTGGCCTGACGTTCACAGGCGTGTTGTGATCGCACTGGTTGTTTCGCAGCTGCTCTTGATGGGTCTTCTAAGCACCAAACATGCTTCTAAGTCCACTCCTTTGCTGCTTGTGCTTCCGCTGCTGACCATCGGGTTCCACAAGCACTGCAAAAATCGTTACCAACCTGCTTTTGTAACATACCCGTTACAGGTCAGTTAATACAAAAAACTGAAGATCTCTAGTAGCTTTTGAGTAAAGCGTGTAAGCTAACATTTTCCTTGTTTCGAGCCAAAGCAGGAAGCTATGATCAAAGATACACTGGACCGCATACGTGAGCCAAACTTTAACCTCAAGGCTTTCCTTCGAGATGCGTACGCCCACCCAGAGTTCAGGGTTGGAGAAGATCCAGAGCCCGAGGAGAAGCTGGAGTCTGATATGTCACCACCGGAATTAGTTGCCACAAAGCGTGGCTCATGGAGGAACACTCCTCTGCCTAGCAAACAAAGCTGCCGTGATATACCCTAATCCTTTGGCTCTGTTCTACCTTAAATGGTGATTCTTTTATATTCTTAAACAAGTTTTCCCCTCGTTAGAAGAAATGTACATATACGGATTGTATTATATGCAAGAAAAAAAACATTAGAAAAGCATACTAGAAGTTACTGTTAGAACTGTATCATGTGGTTAGAAAAAGCAAAAAGAACAAAAAATAGAGTTGAATGAAACAGAATCAGGTGAACAACCCTTTGGCTCTAGTTCAAAGAGCAATGCTCTGGCTTCTGATAGCATACTTGCAATAGCCACCGATCATTATATTGCACGTAATGGCATCAGGCACCAAACACTTTCTCGAGATTTTAACAAAAAGTCTCTTTGCATCACCCGATTTTCCATTTTTCATCACACCATTGATGAGAGCATTGACCATTTGCATAAAAAAAATCTTGGGAAACGTCCTAATTTCCGGCCTGACTTAAACCATGTATCAGTGTCGTGAATCTAGCTAGCATCGCATCGCACAGTCTCATTCCATTCGCCTTATGAGCTCCATGGCTTCCTTCATTTTGCCATACTTGAAATAGCCACTGATCATAATGTTGTACGTTACAACATCTGATACCAAGCAAGCATTTGTCCAAGATTCCATCAAATAGTATTTTTGCTTCTTCTAAATTTTCTTTTATAATCAGACCATCAATGAGAGTACTGTACTGATATTTATATTTGGAGAGCAATCAGACTTGCATATTGCATCGATGACTTCTTTGGTTAGATCTCCAAAGCGATACACCGGTTTCGCCAATCTCACAGAGCTTACTTAAGAGAGAAGCATCACTCTTAATCCCTCTGTGAGACATTTTATCAAACACTCGAAGTGCATCAATCACTTTAAAAGACAGATTTTGATAATCTTTAACTAGTTTTCACCAATTTCAGTGAAAATTAGAAACCCTATTATTTGGGTTTTCTCTAAATAAACCTTTTTTTTCTTTTTAACCAAGAATTTTTTCTTTCCATTCCTTTTTTTTTTTTTGTAAATCTAAAATCAGAAACCAAAATCCAAAACCTTGAAAATGCCAAAAATCCAAAATTCATTTAACTTGATAAGTACAAAAGTTTTTGGTTTTTGCAATAGATTTTAGTTTTCTTTAAAGTTGAATGGTACCCTTTTTGTTTTCTGTTCCTATTAATTTCAGAAACTTGATCTATAAAATGAATATATGTTTTGTGTTTCAAAAATATTAAAATGAATATCAAAATTGTATTACTTAATATTAACGATAAAATAATTTCAATCTTAAGACGAAAAAACTGATAAAATAATAAAATGTCATATAAAATATTACCATTGAAAATGCACATGAGTTTTTGTGGTTATTTTCCTTTGTCTTTTGTAAAAGAGAAATTAGAAGGAAAAAAAAATGGATAGAAAAGTTACGTGAAAGAAAAAACAGTCTTTCATGCAAAAACCAAAATGATAGGGTTGTTTTCTTTTTCTTAAGAAAATGATTGAAAAGAAAACAAACGGAAAACTATTTTTGCCAAAAATCTAGAACGGGTAATGATTGGGTTTAAGATTTATCTTTTAGTTTTCATAGATATCTACCATAATGCATAGCAATATCGACGTGATTGGCCCTGAATCAAGTCTTATCCTTTGTTGTGTTCAATAATGTAAATTTTCTTTAAAAGCTGATACAAAGTTGACACATGGTGCATCTAGTATTTGGAACTATATTATCAAAGGAATGGTGTCTCTCAGGACCATATAGGGCGTAAGTACAAATCTGTCGGTTGAGAATTGACAATATATCTACACTGACTTGGGACCATATGATTATGTTTCTTGGGTTTTTTTAATTCACTGCTAAAAACTTTCTCAGTCTTCTCACAATCAGTCTTCTCACTCATTGATTAGATTCTATAAATTACTCCATGTGCATGTGCTCATAGCGAAAATGTAAAATCATGTCTTCTGAGTGTGAAAGCTGAAGTCGAAAGTGTTTTAGTTTAGGGTAATATCTGAAATGGGTTTTTGCTTCAGGTTGCTCAGGTGGAATCTTGTGGGAAATCTTAGGATGTTCTCACTTTTCTATATAAAAAAATTTTACTTCTTTTTTTGACTATTTGTATTCTGAAGAGTGTTTTGGTATTGATCGAATATATTATTTTTAAATAATAAATGATGTTTTAATGTAGAAAAGACAAACAATTTACACAATCTATGTAGTTTCTTAATATATGTGTAAATACCTTAAACAACGTCTAAAATGAAACAGAAGGAGTATTATTTTCCGTCTTTTAAATACCATTCTCCAGAAAAAGTTTGATTTTTGGGGCGGTATGTAATTTCCAGATTTCACTCTTAAGATGAGGATCTCTTGGAGGAGGGGTAGCTAACCAAATTTAAATAAAAATGACCAAAATGGTAGAATCATAAATAAAAATAATTTAAATTACAATGATCAAAATTTACCAACTATTTTTAATTCTCATTTAATTTTATTCATTGTCCAACGCTCCTACCACATACCCATGTCACTCTATCAGCTTCACCAAAAAAAAAATGTCACTATATCAAAGATAAAAGTTGGGACCCCAATTTTATTTTTTTGTGAAAGGAAGTTGGGACCCCAACAGATGTGGCCAATGCCATATCCTTATTTGTCCGACTGTTGTCAGAACAACCACATCTTTGATGTTGTAAGGCATTACTATGAAGATCTTTTTTCTTTTGTTTGATAAAAAGATCAACGAGAGATCGATCTTTCTTACAACTTTGTGTGAAAGGGAATAGAAAATAACGAGAAACACATGTCTATTTAATTTAACCAAGTGACCACCACTTCCGTCCAAAAGAAAAAAGAAAAGCCAAGTAGGCAAGTAATCACTGCCAAGTATCTACGTTATGACGAAATTTCAATATTGGTTACATTATCATGTTTCAGATTTGACGTTAATCCTTTGATAACCTTATATATGTTTAGCTAAAACAGTTATTTGAAAAGTAAAACAACGTAACATGAATGATAGAATAATGGAAAGTATCAATATTTCTTTTACATTATCAAAATAAACATAAATATCAAGATATTTTAGCAAATTGTAATTTGTAAAAAGTCCATAGTGCTAGAAGTGAAACCAAAAATATTGCATGTTTGTTTGTAACAGTTTTTCTCCGGCTTAAAAAGTTAAAAGATTTAATTTAACTATGCGCGCGGTTGACAGAAAATTATTGATGAAAACTTTAAACGTTGATAGATTTTTTATAACATAATCATGGAAAATTGTCGGGGGGAAAAGTGTTTTAGACTTTTAGCTTTTACAATCTAGTTGAAAATGAAATATCAATCTATCAATGGTCTTTTTTGGGTAAAAATGAAATCATTTATGTTTCTGTTTTTGTGTAACTGGAAATCTCAAACACTATGAATAATGTTTAGTTACCCACTTGGCGTATAAAAGAAAAATAAAAGCAAATTCTAGGTGATTAGGACTTTAGGAGAAATGTGAGCAAGAGTTGTAGTTCTTTTTTTTTTTTTTGGGTCAACAAGTTGTTGTTCTAAACGATGAAAATAAGTTATTAACTGAAAACATATATCAATTATACACAACTTAAGAATGACCAAAATCTTATAAGCTTCTATAAACCTAGCTTTTGCTTCTCTTCAAATATGTATATATTAGAGGTTATAGAAAAGTGATTATTGAAAACTTTGGTTAGTATTTTGGTGGGGCGTACCACAAGATTTGAAGTTCTTAACTGGAATTACGAAATCAAACCATGGAAAAGAAGAATTGAGGCTGTCGAATATGTTTAGACCTCGAGAAAAGCAAACCAACAGGCAGACCATTTAGCCAAGCGACAACGACATGGAAACTCTGACTTTGAATTTTATTATTTTATCCCATTGTGTATTTTTTTGTGTCAAAGATCCCACTGTGTATTTTAGATATACTCTATAGGGATTGGCTCTAATTAATCTATAAATTTTGAGTTAAAAAATAAAATCTACCAAGTAGTGATCATGTAGCTAGCAATTTTTTTTCCCTTATATATAACATTAGAATCTACAAGTTTTTTATACCGTCTATAGCCCAAAAAACTCTAACCACGGTTCTAAATGATTATGGTTGATAATGCCTCTCTTTCCGCAAAAATGATTATATCTATGCATATTTTTTAATCAAATGTTAAATTTTACACCATATTTAGTTTTGTACAGAATACTGAGATGAAAGATATGTACAAAAAGGAGGAAAAATGTAAGAATTATTCGATTAATTTATGGCTTTAGAGTCTTTCCACAGCATTCATGCTTTACATATATTTTTCAAGTCTACAGCCACTCGTTTTTTAGAGCCATAAGGTTTGGGCCGTGGAGAATTAATATATATTTCTTATTTAAGTTTTATTAAAAAAAACAAATTGATAAGAAACCCTACGTTAAACTTATATATAATCAAACCTTAAATAATTTGGCAAAATTTTGGTAGTGCCTGACATTGGATTAGTTTTTGTGGTTATTATTGGTGTTTCTAATAGATCCATTGGAAAGAACTGTCAGTGGATTTATAATTAAACTTTCCATCTTCCTTTTCACGTTAGCATGATCTGACATCCGAATTCAATTTAGTTTGATAAATAGTTATTAGATACTATACGCTACAACGCTTTTGTGACTGTCTACGAAAATTATAAATAATGATGTTTGATTTAGCGATGAACTTCACACATACAAACATACATAACAAATAGTACAGAAAAGAGAAGGAAAAGCAACTATTTACGAAAAGTCTACAATAATACTTGTATTATTATTGTTCCCTTTGTTTATTTATTTATATCTTACCAAGAAACATCTACAACCGCATAGAAATAGAGGACGAAGAGATAATTTCCCAAAAAAAAAAAACCTCTAAGCTCAAAAGATGTTATTGAGAACGATGGCGGCTGCTTCCCCGCGGCCACCACCGTCAACATCCCTAACATCACAGCAGCCGCCGTCAACCCCCTCGCAGCTTCCTCTCCGTACAATGCCGGGATCGTACGGTTTGCCGTTGGTTGGACCATTATCGGACCGTTTAGATTATTTTTGGTTCCAAGGACCGGAAAAGTTTTTCAGGACAAGGGCTGAGAAGTACAAGAGCACTGTGTTCCGTACAAACATTCCTCCGACGTTTCCTTTCTTTGGCAACGTTAACCCTAACATCGTCGCCGTTCTCGACGTCAAGTCCTTTAGCCATCTCTTTGACATGGATCTAGTTGATAAAAGAGATGTTCTCATTGGAGACTTCCGGCCTAGCCTTGAGTTTTACGGCGGCGTTCGTGTTGGAGTTTATCTTGACACTACCGAGCCAAAGCACGCCAAGGTTCGTACATACGTTGGTTTGCTACGTACGAGTATATAAGTAATTAATAAGGTAGCTAGAGAGTATAATGATATAGATCATATCAATTTGGTGTTGGTAGCTCTACCGGTTGATTTTGGTAGCTTTTAGATGAGCACAACTAATCTTGGGTTTGAGTAGTTACCTAGTCTCATCTCTAGCCCTAATTAATAAATTTTAATCAAAGATCCAAAACTATTTAGTCAAAAAAAATAAAATATAGATTGTTCCACCGTATAAATGATTAAATATCATAGTAAGAGATTTAATTTTAGAAAACAATTTTTTTAAGTTTTCAAAATTAATGAATAAAACCACGAAAAAAAAATTGTAATAGAATTTAATCATTTTTATCAATAAATATACTTTTTAGTGACTAGATGATGTCTAGTGATTTTTACTATGAATTGATCTAAATGGTTTTGGAAAATTCTAGCGGATTAATGGATTTTTGCAGATTTAGAGGATTCACTTTTGGCAAAAAAAAATTCTGAAATTAGTATATGAGTAAGACTTGCTAAATATGAGAAAGACTTGCTGAAACAAATAAAATGTATAAAAGATTTTTTTTTAAATGATAAGGGGGTATAAGTTTTACAAAAATTGTTGGCAACTTTTTAATTTACAAATCATGCGAGTCTTTATACAGATTGGTAAAAAAAAAAAGTTTGTGGTTGTAGTTGTACTATGTTACAAGCTTAGTAGAAACAAAAGTATCATTGTGTAAATCATATACGACACAAACAAAAACCAGCTTTTTCTTGTAGAGAAAAACGTATTTTTTTGTGTATCAAAATACAGAAGAAATGTTATAAAAAGTTTGGCATTTTCCACCATATACCTTAAACGAGTTTAAGGTTATATTTCACTTGAATCAAAAAGTTTGCACCATTGTAATCGATGAACAGTAGAAATTTTGTTTTTTGTTTTTTGTTTTTTTTTTTGATAACTCTGTGTTTGTTTTTTTTGGTTTGTTACATGTTTTAAACTCAGATAAAAAGTTTCGCCATGGAAATACTAAAACGAAGCTCAAAAGTATGGCTACAAGAGCTTCGTTCAAACCTAAACACTTTCTGGGGAACAATCGAATCCGACGTTACCAAAAACGGCGCCGCTTCATATATCTTCCCTCTTCAACGTTGCATCTTCAGTTTCCTCTGTGCCTCTCTCGCCGGCGTTGACGTTTCCGTATCGCCGGACATCGCTGACAACGGTTGGAAGACACTCAATACTTGGCTTGCATTGCAAGTTATTCCAACTACTAAACTCGGCATTGTTCCTCAGCCTCTTGAAGAGATTTTTCTCCATACTTGGGCTTACCCTTCTCTCTTAGTCGCCGGAAATTACCAAAAGCTTTGCAATTTCATCGACGAGAACGCCGGAGATTGTCTCCGGTTAGGTCAAGAAGAATTCGGGTTGACCCGAGATGAGACGATTCAGAATCTTTTATTCGTGTTGGGTTTTAACGCTTACGGGGGCTTTTCCGTCTTTTTACCTTATTTGATCGGAAAAATCACCGGCGATGATTCCGGTCTCCAGGAGAGGATTAAATCCGAAGTCAGGAAAGTTTGCGGATCCGGGTCGGATCTTAATTTCAAGACGGTCAACGAAATGGAGCTGGTTAAATCAGTGGTTTACGAAACGCTGCGTTTTAATCCTCCGGTTCCGTTGCAATTCGCACGTGCGAGGGATGATTTTCAGATAAGTTCACACGATGCTGTTTTTGAGGTTAAGAAAGGTGAGCTTCTTTGTGGTTACCAGCCGCTTGTGATGAGAGACGCTAATGTTTTTGACGAACCGGAGGAATTTAAACCGGACCGGTTTGTAGGTGAGACCGGGTCTGAATTGCTGAATTATCTCTACTGGTCTAACGGTCCACAAACTGGTACACCGAGCGCTTCGAACAAACAGTGTGCAGCTAAGGACATGGTCACTCTCACGGCTAGCTTGGTCATTGCCGATTTATTTCTCCGGTATGATTCGGTTACTGGCGACTCCGGTTCAATTAAAGCTGTTGTTAAAGCTTAATAGGTTAAAAATTCGATTAGTGTTTAATGTAATCAATCTTCGACAGTTTCATTTGTTCGGAGTGTATAATTATATATTTAAATAAAATATCCGAATTGAAGTTTATAATTATACTAACTTTCTTAATGTTCATGATTTTATAGTCTTTTGAAAATTGCGGTCCGTGGAGATGACAAAATTCACATGTAAAAGCTTGCGATATAGCGTGATGATTTTTGTAACCCAACAAAATTATGAGAAAATAAGAGATCTTTAATAGAAAAACATTAGATATGTTATCGATGAGCTTCTTTGAATGTTTTAACCAATTCTCAAGAATGTATTGCTTAACCTTCTTATCGTCGTCTCCAAATACATTGCACAATGCCTTGACGTAGTAATGTGGGAACTTTCCGTTCACTTTCACGAAGTACATAACGTAGTTGGCTTTAATCGGCTTGCTTGATTATTTAGCCATGTCGGCAACAAGATTATTAGTTTATACTATAATTTTTTGAAATTGCCATGTCGGCAACAAGACAAATGTGGTCATGTTGGGGGTCCTAGAAAAAAGTAGTGTGCCTCGATTAGCACCGAAAGTAAAACACTGTATTAATCAATAACTCTTTTTTGTTTTTTATTTACTTCGATAAGATTCTCTTAAAACCAGGAAAAAAAATTCAATCCTGAGATTGTATCAAGAAACCTCAAGAGTAAAAATGAGTTTTTTCAGATCAAAGGCTTCAAGAACCGAAACACAACAACAACCATCTTCGTACGGACAACAACAAGACGCCATGTACTCATCTTACCAAACCGTGAGTGACGAAGTGTTATTACAGATTCATGGATGCAGAGCTCATCTCATCAACGGATCCGAAGCAATTGAGCTCGCAGCCGGAGACTTTGAGCTTGTACAAGTCCTAGAAAACAACGTGGCCTTAGCTATGGTCGTGAGGATCGGACGTGACTTACAATGGCCGGTGATTAAAGACGAGCCAGTAGTGAAACTTGACTCTCGTGACTACCTCTTCACGTTGCCGGTTAAAGACGGAGAGCCACTTAGCTACGGTGTTACGTTCTTCCCCATCGATGAAAACGACGTCGTTTTTGTGAATAGTATTGAGTTGTTAGATGATTTCTTGAGAGAGAATTCTTGTTTCTCTTCTTCGTCTTCTTCTTCATCTTCTTCGAGTGTTAACAATGGAATTGATTGGAAGGAGTTTGCGCCTAGGATTGAAGATTATAACAATGTTGTGGCTAAAGCTATTGCAGGAGGTACAGGGCATATCATTAGAGGGATGTTTAAATGCAGTAATGCTTATACTAATCAGGTTTATAATCATAACTCTCATTAAAATTCCCCAAAAATTAAATGTTAATTTCAAATTGATCTGAATATTAGGTTTTGTTAAACAGGTTCACAAAGGAGGTGAGATTATGATTACAAAGGCTGAGAAGAAGAGTGGTGCCTCGTCAAAAAGAAGTGCAACCACAAACAAGAATCAAATCAACAAGAACCTTCAACGGTATAATAATTCACATCTTTTAAATCCGAGTTTAACTAATTACTAGGTTTAGAAAAATAGTTACCAAACTTTGGTATGGTTTTGGTTTGATTTTTATTTATTCCCGTACTGTTTGGATTTGGTTTCAATTTTTTGTTGGTGTAGAAATTATTAAAACTCAACTTGGTTTATGGACTAAATTTTTTTGGTTCCATTCGGATTTGATCGAGTTGATATATATGAACTCAGCATTTCTAGTTTCTTTGTACATTTTTTCTCTTATGAACCATAATCTTTGTGGAACTAACACATGTATAGAGTAAGGAAATTGTCGAGAGCGACCGAGAAATTGAGCAAGACAATGCTGAATGGTGTGGGAGTTGTGAGTGGCTCGGTGATGGGTCCAGTTGTAAAGTCGAAGCCAGGGAAAGCTTTTTTCTCAATGGTTCCAGGGGAGGTTCTATTGGCTTCACTTGATGCTCTTAGTAAGTTAAATTAATAGTTATTAGCTCCACATTGACACTAGACTAGATTATTTTTTATAATGATGTACTAAAGATTTGATTTTTGGAATTAGATAAATTACTAGACGCTGCTGAAGCTGCAGAAAGACAAACTCTTTCTGCTACGTCCAAAGCTACTACCAGAATGGTTAGTGAGAGGTAAGTTTTACTTATAAAGTCCTCAATTTTGTTTAGCGTTTAAGTTGTGAGTTCATTTAGTCTCGATTGTTTGTTTGCGTTTGTGGGCATGTATTTATACTTGGAGTAAATGTCTCACATAAGTGAGGTTTATAACATGGACAGGTTGGGTGAGAGCGCGGGGGAAGCTACGAAAGATGTGCTAGGCACGGTTGGCCACGCAGCCGGCACTGCGTGGAATGTCTTCAATATCCGCAAAGCTTTCACTCCTTCCTCTTCACTCACATCAGGGATCCTCAAAAACGCTTCACGAAAGTGATCTTTGATTAATAGTACTCTCATTGCCGATCAGCGTTATGTATGTTTTGTGTTTGGATTTATTTGTTGGTAGAAACTGTAAGGTTAAAAACCAGAATGTGCAATCTTGAATCTCAAGAAAGACTCAAACATATCTTTCTTGAAACTAAAATCAAACAACTTAAACCTACCAAAATCTTTGACCCAAAAAAAAAAAAAACTCACCAAAAACAAATCCTGAGGTTTTCAAATATCGAAGAAAATTGAGCTCTAGTTAAATAGAAAAAAGATGATCATGAAAACAATTGCAGATCCATCGGCAAAAGGAGTAATAAGTATAGAGCCTCCGTTCCTCGTTGCTGGTCGATGAACCATACCGGCTATACCGCCGCCTCTTCCGATCCCATGCCCACCTTCTTCTTCTCCATGGCCACCAGCGCCTCCAGCAGCATGGCCTCCTCCTTCAACAGCATGACCACCTCCTTCAACAGCATGACCACCTCCTGCACTAGCATGACCACCTCCTACACTAGCATGGCCTCCTCCTTCACCGATCGCTACAGCACCGGCAACCACGGTGGTACACTTGAAGAGAAGTAAAGTGATGATTAGCAGGACGGCGAGTTTCACGGCATAATTGGTAACAAAGTGTGCTCGAGTCTTCGTGATTCTCATGTTGGTAATATCAAACATGCACTTATATCAAAACAAAAACAAACAAGTTATCAAAACATATTAGCGTACACTATCTTTTGATTCTTAAATTGTTGTTTAATTTGTTACCTTAAAACGAAAAAAAGGAATTTGTTATCGTGGGATGAGATGCTTTTGAAAAGCCTCTATATATACAGGTAGCTAGGCAAGATTCATGATTTTTTTTTTCTTTTACTTTTTTGTTGTGTTAGGATAAGTTGTGAGTAATTTCTAAGATATACTCTTTGTATTTATTTTTCCTCAAAATACGGGTTTATATTGTGTAATTATCTTTACCCTAATTATCGTATGATTGTAATTCGTAAGTAAACAAGTATCTAGAGTTTGATAGAAAAGTTTAATCTAATCACCATGTACATAACTTTGTGTAATTTTATTTTTAGTTTAACACATACTTTATCAGTTATTCTAAACTTCATAACAGAGACTAGCATTTTGAGATTAGACAAAAGTTTATACTGTATATATATAAAACTCGGTTTTTCGTAGTTATTAACATGATCGCGATATGTAACATCCATTGACATGTCAAAATACAAATTATTCTTCTATTTTACGTTTGAATTGGATTTGATATTTATTTTATTTAAGGATTTCCATATTTCTACTTTCCCAAAACTTAGATGAATCCATATATATATTACAGTATATTTGTTCATTTATGAAGATCAACCTATTAAACATGTTTTAAAATAACTAACTAGATATTAAAATGAAGACTATATATTTACTTTCCATATATTTTCTAATAAAAGTTAAATCTTATATCATTTGGTTTTCAATAAAATTTGAAAATATTTTTTAAATTTGACTTTCATATTTCTCATTGGTTTCCAATTGAAATTTTAGTTATTTGAGTAAAAAAAATTGATTGAGCATAAATCCAACCCAGCGTATTTGAATGTTAAATAAATCAGGTGATATATTGATTGGATCTACTCAATTCATCAAATTTAGAGGGATTGATGAAATTATAAAAAAAAATGTCGACCCATGAAGATATATAAAAATATTAATAGTGGATTATTATCATAAGATTAATTGAATTCAGAAGATGTTTCCTCAAAAATCAAAATACCGACTTTTCTCTCCATTCTGTTTAAAGTTAACACTAACAGCGTTTTAGAATAATACAACGCGTTATCATAAACAATCTTGACCGTTCATTTTGCCACGTGTACATCATCTTGTTACATTAAAGGAAATGACTCGTCTCCTTCGTCCACAGAGAAATATATAAATCTCAAAATTCTATAATTCGGTCTTTTTTCCCAGAATCAACAACCAGATCTGCTTTCGAAGACTCGTAGCTATAGCCATGGAGAAACCGTACGGATACGCGAGCGTGAGCATGAGCGGCATAGATCGTTCCGCGGGGAAGGATATTGATCTTGAGATGGGAGTCGGAGAAGCGACGCTTTACCCTGGGCTAAGTTACGGCGAGAATCAACTCCGATGGGGATTTATTCGTAAGGTCTATGGAATTCTCTCGGCTCAGCTTCTTCTCACGACGCTTATCTCCGCCGTCGTTGTTCTTAATCCTCCTGTTAACGATGTCTTAACCGGATCTCCTGGAATTCTTCTCTTCCTTTGCATCGTTCCCTTCATCTGTACGTAGATCTCATTTTATCTTCATAGTTTTTAGTTGATTTGATGTGGTAATTAGAATTCTTATGGTTTGATCTGATGTTAGGTGAATTCGTGTAGTTTGTTTGTGGTGTTGTTGAGATAATCGATATGCGTTTTTTGAATGGATTCTGGATTGTATGATCCAATTGTACTTTTGTGCTGCGCTACAGCTTAACTTAGGATATGATGTCGTCGAGTGATTAGATTTTGTAGCTTAATCTTTAGTCTTGAATTGCTTATTATCTATTAGGTCAACCTGATTAAGATAGCTTGTTCTCTATGAGTTTTGCTTTGTTTGCCTCTCATTTGATGTTGGTTTACTTGCTTCAGTACTCAGTTTGTAATTTGTTAGTACTGAGTACCTTGTATATGCACAGTTGTCCATCAGCTATTTATTTATTTTATGGTACATATGTTGAGAAAATTTATTGTTCATGTGATTGAATACTGGGAGATAAATTTTGCAGTAATCTGGCCTCTGCACATTTACCACCAGAAGCATCCTATTAACCTGATTCTCCTTGCCCTCTTCACTATTTCGTTGAGCTTCACTGTTGGTGTCAGTTGTGCGATGACAGAAGGTTGGTATCTCGTTCCCTTTTAATATCATCTGATTCTAACCAATAATATGTGATTTGGTTGCTGTTCTAGTAGCTTCTTAACTCACCTTATTGTCACAAAGAACAAATTTTGCCTGAAACTTGGAATAGCAAAGTCTGAAAAGTTAGATTATACTAATAATCTCGTGTTCTTTCTTCTACGTGTTTTATCAGGAAGAATTGTGCTTCAAGCCTTGATATTGACTCTGTCTGTGGTTGGATCTCTAACCGCATACACTTTCTGGGCTGCAAAGAAAGGGAAAGACTTCAGCTTCCTTGGACCCATTCTCTTCACCAGCCTCATCATTCTTGTTGTGACCAGCTTCATCCAGGTTTGTCTCTCATAATCCTCCATCCTCACCAATAGACCCAATTCCACACATACATCAAAATAAAGCCTTAAAATTTTATTTGCTATCATAATATTGCAGATGTTCTTCCCTCTTGGCCCGACTTCTATTGCCATATATGGAGGAATCAGCGCCTTGGTATTCTGTGGATACATAGTCTATGATACCGACAACCTCATCAAGCGTTTCACATATGACGAATACATCCTAGCATCAGTGGCTCTCTACTTGGACATCCTCAATCTCTTCTTGACCATATTGCGTATACTGAGGCAAGGTGACAACTGAAAGGCATAAAACGATGCTTCGGTGATGTGATCCGATTTATAACTAAAAGCAGAATCCAATTGTCTTTATTTGTGTGTATAACTGACTTCTGTTTTGGGAATTAAGTATATGATGCTATGTGGTTCAACCGTTCAACGATTGATATAAACAAAATCAAGAAAAAATCGATTTTCAACTTGAAATAAATTTGTTAATTTTGGCGGAATTTTTATGCCTTGCTTGTCGTATCCATTTTGATATACCAAACGTTTGAAGTTATTATACCTTTATCCATAAATGGGTGATACTGTTTTTACTTTTACTGTTCCCTCCCTTTTTTTTGTTTTGTTTACAACAACAAATTCACACACACAAAAAAAAAAAAAAAAATTAACCGACCTCATCTTACCCACCGATGACCGATCCGCCATTTCAGAGCGTACAAGCAAAGATTTGATTTCAACAGCAATCTCTCTCTGAATCATGCGAGGTCACGATCGGATTAACAATTGCTTGCCGGAGGAACTAATCCTCGAGATATTCCGGCGACTTGAATCGAAACCCAACCGCGACGCTTGCTCTCTCGTCTGCAAACGATGGCTATCTCTCGAGCGATTTAGCCGCACCACGCTTCGTATCGGCGCTTCATTTTCTTCCGAAGACTTCATCTCCCTTCTCTCTCGTCGCTTCCTCCATATCACATCCATCCATGTCGACGAGCGTCTCTCCGTCTCCCTTCCTTCCCTCTCTCCTTCCCCCGTATGTTTCTCTCATCAATTTGTTCTGTTGATTTTGGGATCGAGCAAGTTTTGTATAGGATTATGAATTCGATTGAATGTTAATTTTGTATGGATCTGGATTTGAATTTGGATTTGTGCTTACACTTAAGAAACCTATGAAGTTGTGCTTTTACACTAATCAATCATTTTGCAGAAAAGAAAACGTGGGAGGGACAATTCGTCGCCATCGTCGAGTAAGCGGAAGAAATTGATTGGTAATAAACATTCTGGAGCTGGGAATGTTGAGTCTTGTAGCTTGACTGATGCGGGTTTGACTGCTCTTGCTGATGGATTTCCAAAAGTAGAAAACTTGAGCTTGATTTGGTGCCCTAATGTTTCAAGTGTGGGTTTGCGTTCTCTTGCTGAGAAGTGCATTTCACTTAAATCTTTGGATTTACAGGTAATTTAATCCTCATGTTTTAGGTAGATATTGACTACACTTGATCTTTTTGATTGATTTTGTATAAAAGATTTATTTTGAAGCAAATGTGGTTTTCAGCTACTTAGTTGATATATCGTGGAAGTAATTCCCTGTTAGTTCAGGTCGCATGAATGCCACATTGTTTCCTTTTATGAGAAGTACTTTCTATTGTCAGATACTCTTGATCATTTGATATAAGTATCTCTCTCTTATCTGCCTGTAATAGCCGTTCTCGCTTATTTAGATCTGTTAATATTCTTTTCCAATATCCTCTTGAGAAAAAATATGATCTCATATGCTTAGGATGTGGTCTTTAGGGTTGCTATGTTGGAGATCAAGGCTTAGCAGCTGTTGGAAAGTTTTGTAAGCAACTCGAAGAACTAAATCTGCGCTTTTGTGAAGGCTTAACTGATGTTGGAGTTATTGATCTTGTTGTTGGTTGTGCGAAGTCCTTAAAGTCTATTGGTGTTGCTGCGTCAGCAAAAATAACAGATTTATCTCTGGAAGCAGTTGGTTCTCACTGTAAATTACTAGAAGTTTTGTATTTGGATTCTGAATACATCCATGATAAAGGATTGATAGCGGTGGCTGAAGGATGCAACCGTTTGAAAAATCTGAAGCTTCAATGTGTTGGTGTGACGGATAAGGCATTTGCTGCAGTGGGAGACTTGTGTACTTCGTTGGAGCGATTGGCTTTGTATAGCTTTCAGAATTTTACTGACAAGTTAGTTATCCTGTTCCTTTTAAGTGCCTTTGGCTTTTTGATGAGCACAATCCAATCTTTCTAGTACTTAATTTTCAACTGTTAGAAAAGTCAGGGGAACAGGAAACCTCAGGCTTTGGTCTCGTCTTGCGTGCTCCTATTAGATGTTTTCTTGTGAACTTATTGCCCAATGTTGGTTTGATCATTTGAAGGACATGGAAGAACACTTGCCTTATAGAGACCTTTGTTTATCTTTGGATGGCCTTGTGTAGGGTGATCTTTTTACTGGATTTTATTTTGTATTTCAGGGGAATGCGGGCCATTGGTAAAGGGTCTAAGAAATTGAAAGATCTCACTCTAAGTGATTGCTACTTTGTGAGTTGCAAAGGTTTAGAAGCTATTGCTCATGGTTGTAAGGAACTTGAGCGTGTAGAAATTAATGGATGCCACAACATTGGCACACGCGGAATAGAGGCAATTGGACAATCTTGCCCGTACATTTTCTTCCTTACTTTCTTTATTTCTTGTTGACAGCACTGAAATCACTATGGGATGGATCATTGATTAAACCGTTATTTTCGGGTGTATGCAGGCGCCTCAAAGAGTTAGCTTTATTGTATTGCCAAAGGATTGGTAATTCCGCTCTTCAAGAAATTGGAAAAGGCTGTAAGTCCCTAGAAATACTTCATTTAGTAGACTGTTCAGGCATTGGAGACAACGCTATGTGCAGTATTGCTAAAGGCTGTCGCAACCTAAAGAAACTTCATATCCGCAGATGCTATGAGGTATAATCTCTCACCTCTAAAAATAAAGTATTCTCTTAATCTATTGACATAGCAACTGTTATTTGTGTTTTTCTTATATATTATAGATTGGAAACAAAGGAATTATAGCTATTGGAAAGCATTGCAAATCACTAACCGAGCTTAGTCTCCGGTTTTGCGATAAGTAAACCCTGCAACTCATTGAATCTTGTTTCTTAAACAGTACCGGAACAAAAGCTAATCATTTGTTTTATCTCATTCAGAGTTGGAAATAAAGCGTTGATCGCCATTGGAAAAGGTTGCTCCTTACAACAACTTAACGTAAGTGGTTGTAATCAAATCAGTGATGCTGGAATCTCAGCAATCGCCAGAGGCTGTCCTCAACTCACTCACCTCGACATTAGTGTTCTTCAGGTAAATAGAATCAACCTTCTTTTCTTCAGATAAAAGCGTGTGTGTTTGTTTGTGATCGAGATATCAAATTTCAGAACATTGGAGACATGCCGTTGGCTGAGGTTGGAGAGGGATGTCCAATGCTGAAAGACTTGGTCTTGTCCCATTGCCACCATATAACAGACACTGGTCTGAACCATCTTGTACAGAAGTGCAAACTTCTGGAGACTTGTCACATGGTTTACTGCCCAGGGATCACTTCCGCTGGAGTGGCTACAGTCGTCTCGAGCTGTCCACACATCAAAAAAGTGTTGATAGAGAAATGGAAAGTGACCGAGAGGACGACAAGGAGAGCTGGATCTGTTATCTCTTATTTATGCATGGATCTCTAGATCGTAATTTCAAGGTTGGTTTAGAAGATTTGTGTTTATGTTTTCTTAATAAAGAAATAACTTTAGTCCAAACTTATGCTGAGACATTTTCTTTTGTAAACTTCATATATTTATATGTTTATGTGAACTGGTTGTACAGGATGAAAAGTTTGTCGGGAAAGTATTTTATGATTGAAACACTAAAATCATTAAAACGTCATCTCTTATGGTTACTATTAACTTTTATGGTTATCAAATTCTTACCATAAATCTAATGCACCTGAAATTCGTTGCAACATTTGCTGGTTTTTGCTTTATCAATGTCACTAATTAAAGAAAAAAACACACAGAAAACCTTAAACAGAAAAATTACAAGGAACAAAAATATTACGTGTATGATATGGACAAAGCATACAAAGTTCCAAACGCATTTAAGTACGAGAAAACGACTCATATCAAAAAATGAACTTCTCTCGCCTCTCGTGAGTCGTGACCTCGTCAGACTTCTCTGTTCACACACCCTTTTCATCTTCGTCCGACTAAACTATTGGGCTCCCAAAAAACTTCTTCTCCAAACTTATTAATTAGCGTTAAATAGCTAATGTTTAATTAGTCCGCTCAAAAATGCGATTTTTGAAAAACTCTATTTTGAGGGTTGAGCTATATAAAAATTTTTTTTTTGCCGCGGATTCGGTATTTCGCCGACTCACTGCAGCATATCTCCGAAAAACGATCCTCAACGTTCACTTCAGCATTACCACTGTTTTTTTTTTTTTTTTGCCACGGTTTTTTTGTCTACCTCAACGGAAATTGTGTATTTTGGGACAATCACAAAAGGATAAGAAAATAAGAAATAACAAAGGATACGTCTGAAGTTTTTCAAGTTTAATAGGGAATTTGCCAAAACATAGAATTAATCAATTTTACCATGGTTAACAAATACAAAACAAATAAACTTTATAATACACCATAGAGAGAGATGAAACAATAATAATGCATAATCAAATAGAATTAAGACAGTCGACACTTTAGCCTAGTGTCCGTTCTCCTTAACCTTCGATACTCCCATCCCTAACTTCTCCACAAACTCCCTAAAATTCTTATCCGACGAACCTCCAGGAGCCACCGCTGCTTCCGCCTCCGCCTTCCATTTCAAAGCATTCTTCCTCAACTCCTCTGCCTTCTCCCCAACCGTCGCTTCCAAAAGCTTCTCCGCCACTTCCTCCCTTGGTACAACCCTCTCCTCTGCCGCTCCACGGCCTAGTCTAACTCCGGTCTTAAAAACATCGATCAAATACACCGCGTCAGTCACTTGATCTCCCCATTGCGGACAACAAACCACCGGAACACCCGAAGACAAAGACTCCATCGTCGAGTTCCATCCACAATGTGTCACGAAACATGCCACTGAAGGATGACCCAAGACTTGCTCTTGTTGACACCAATCCACAATCATCCCATTACCTTTATCACTACTCTCTTTAAGTTCTTGAGGCAAGACATGAGTCTCGACCTTTAGATCATGCGGTGGAGGTCTAATCACCCACAAGAACGATAAACCCGATTTCAAAACTCCGTAAGCGATCTCCTCGATCTGTTCTTGCTTCAAATATGCAACTGTCCCGAACGAAATGTAGACAACGGATGATTTAGGCCTCGAGTCTAACCACTCGAGGCATTTATCCGTCGGTTTGCAAATGTCACCACTTACGTCGGAAGTAACAGTTTTAGCGACTTTGAAAAGCGGTCCAACGGTCTTAACGGGACAAAGGTTCGACATGTAATCGACAACTTCCTGCTCCAATGCGTCGAAAGAATCGACTAGAACACAGAAGGACTTGCTCAGATTCTTGAATTGTCCAAGAATGGCTTCTCGTAAACCGGCGAACGGAGTAGAAGGATGGAGAAAGCTAGGAATCTCGTCGTGCTTCAAGACAGGAACACAAGGAAGCTTAACATCGAGGTCAGACTCTGTTTCCGTCGGGAAAGAAACAGAGCCATCTTGGTAATGGTAATAAGCAGAGAAACAAGCACAAGACTGAACCCAAAGAACCGCACAAGGAATGTTGAACTCTTCCGCCACGTGGCAGACCCATGGAATAAACGGGTTATTAATCAGACACGAGACAGGCTCATTCTCTTCCTCGTACCTTCTCACAAGTTTCGACACTTCTCGTATCCCAATGGTCTCTAGGTGTGAAATGTACAAAGAGAAATCAGCTCTCCGGTCATCGTCCTCTGCCCATTCTTCATCAAAGAACTCAAACCGGATTGAACCGGAACCAACCGGTTTAAGCTCACCGTCAACGATCTTGTTGGCTTGTCTCATTTTCTTGCCCCAAAGCTCCGTTGTAACGAAGGTAACAAGTAAACCCTTTGAAGCAATGAGCTTGCCAAGACGAAGAAGAGGGTTCACGTGGCCTTGTCCTTGAAACGACACTAGCATTACATGAACTGGGTTTGGAGATGGACAAGTTTCGAACACCATTTCTGAGATGGATCCCATTTTTTGGTGAAATAAATGAAAAGAAATATTCGTATGTTTTGGATATTCTCACATACAATGGTTCTTGATTTATATAAAGCATCAACGCATTTATTTAAGGCCAGGGCATTTATAAAGCAACATAAACGTGAAAATTTCTTTTTATTTAAACCTACTCACTCACTCTCTCTCGACCACACATCTTACTTACCATCCACGTACGTCTCTTTTTTTCGTCAAAGACACCCACGTACGTCTCAATTTGCAAATTGACGTGTTAGTTTCTTGATCATATAATCTTTTAGTAAACTGTTGTGTATAGTTGTTTTCCATGAAAATATTTGGTTCATTATATAATAGTTTTTTCCTAATAATATATTTTGTTTATATACCTCACTCATATATATCAAGCATGTTCATCTCAAGATTTCACTTGCAAAAAAAATAAAATAAGATTTCACTTGCATCATATTATTCAAGAATTACGTACGTGATTCTATCAAAATTGTAATTATTTTACCAATTATGTCTAATGAGATTATTATATGTACAATATATATCATTTCATATATAATGATAATAACATAATTTTTGATAAATAGTTTAAAAAAATTTGTACTGGCTTGTATTTGTGTGTATTTTCAATAATTTTAGTAAGAGATTAATGAATGATGTTTTTTTTTTTTGATTAATGAGTGACGTTGCATTGTAATGTATATTCATTTATGGAAAAATACTAGATTATATGCGAGTATAATTGTTTCATACTAAAAATAGGGCAACACAAGATATAGAATGTTTTGTCTAATGAAGAGAGAAAAAACACAAGATATAGAATTGAATTGACTTAAGGTGGTTTTAATTTGCATGTTGCTTTAAAACCGAGCCAACCACTTTCTGCAAAATGATCAAGTGTAGTAATATGTGATCACATCAGTACTGCTTAGTACTAATATAGGGCAGACGCAAAACCACCAAATTGTGATCAAATGTGGTAAATGAAACCAACTACATTTAATGCCTACAAAATGATTAGGATTAGATTTCAAATTTGTACTCTTTGTTTCTTTGTTTGTTTGGGTTAAAAGTTAAATATATAATTCATTAAACTGAAAATGAGGCTTTACAAAAATAAACGGGTCTTAAATCCTACTGAGACAGGTCGTGTATACACAGAACATTAAAGGATCCTATACTTTTAGTGGACAGTGGACTAACAACCCTATTTTTCATTCTGATTACTTTTCTTTTTTCAAATTTTCTTTTAAGCTGAACTATTTTTTGTTCTGACACGAGTCCATACCAATGATAAGTACAATGTAGTATGCGAAATTGAGGACCTTGTGGCCTTGTGGGTAATCAAAATCCATACAACAGGTTCGAAACCCAACTAGCCATATGGATTGACAAGCAGGTTCGAAACAAACTATCCGCGATACGGGCTGCGGGTGATCACAGATACAACTCAGGCTTACAAGCTTGGTTTGCATCTAGACTCTAAGGCCAATCTCTTGTATTCAAAGTTTTCAATTTCTCAGAATTAGAAGTATAACAATGTACTAGAAAACGTTATTTTTTCTTGAATTTAATTTAACATTACATTCAAAAAAAAAAAAAAAATCCATACAACAACCATTAAGGTTTAAGCACCGTCTAAAATTCAAGCTTTGGACTTATCCTCCTTTACGGTTTGTGTTAGAAATTAAGAGGCCATGAGCATACTATATAACAAAAACTTACCTACTAACTTCCTTAATACAATTTCAAGCCGGTGGATAGTTTAGAAATGGTTTGGTTTTATCAACTATTCATAAATATATTTTTATATTTGAAAATATATTAGTGTTAATAACAAGTAATCATTCGTGTGATATATAGCTGCTTTAGTTTTTAAAATGTAAAACTAAATAAACGAGAATGTGATATTGCTCAAATGGTAAAAAGTACAGAAATTACAAGAAAAATGAAGCTCAAACTTTTTTCCTCTTAACTTGGGTTCCGAAGTGAACATAAACCTTATATTTGTTGACAAAAAAAAATGTCCAACTGCCAAAAGGTATTACAATACGTGTACACGGTGTGTGTAATAACCAATAACATTTGAACACATGTTCGAATGTCTAACACATCCACCGGTTGAGCTTGAGGGATTTTTTGTTGAACAATTTTTTTTTTCGTTTCCGTAAAGATTTGGTATCAAAAAGATAAATCTATATAATAATAATAAGCTGAATATTTCTTCTGATTTTTCATAAAATAAAATTTAAATTTAAATTATTAAATTAGTTTTATAATTCGCCGTTGATACATCTTTATTTAGAATTATGTCTTTTCACCGTAACTTCTATATTCGTTCGTATTTGTATCGACTCTTTGTTTAGATAGTTATGTAACAATATCAATTAAGGTAGACTATTATTGAGTTTAAATAGAAACTATGGGATTGTTGGAGTATGATTTGCACATAGAGCAAACGAATAGCTTCTAATGATTTGTTGTGTTATTATTCCTCCTAATGATTGAGTTTTCGCGACATTTTGTTCGATCAGCGGTCCGAACGTATCTTCCGTCTCTCAAACCACCGCTTCTTTCAACAATGCTTACGATCGTGTTTCCGCCAATAAACGATTATTTTCAGCCTTTTTAACGCAAGTTTATAAAATTCTCAACAATGAGATGAAATCGTAAACTGAATCAATGTTCATAGAAACAAATATCCACTTCTCATCAAAACAAAGAGGAAGAAGTACGAGATGAAGAAATTTCAGAAAAATAAAATTTCTCATGAAAAAACTAATTGAGGTAACATTTGCTTTTATAAACGCAATAATATCCAGTGCATCACCGCCACGTGTCTTCCAGTCCATCTTCCTAGTCACGCCATCTTTGCATCCAGACCATCACTTCAATTCCTGTCTCACCAACTTGTCCACAAACGTAACACTCTAAAGTTTCTATCGGATGATCCACTGTACGCCACGGCGGCCTCTGCCTCCTCCTTCCACCTCAGAGCGTTTTCTCTTAGCTCCACCGCCTTTTCCCCAACTGTGGCCTCAAGCAGCTTCTCCACCACTACCTCCCTCGAAACAATCTTCTTTTCAGCTTCTCCGCGACCTAGTCTCACTCCTGTCTTGAAAACATCAACCAAGTAAACCGCATCCGTCACTTGATTTCCCCATTCCGGAAAACAAACCACAGGGATTCCAGAAGTTAATGTCTCCATTGTCGAGTTCCATCCACAGTGACTTAAGAAGCAAGCAATTGCCGGATGAGCCAACACTCTCTCTTGGGGACACCACTCCACGATTTTACCCTTTTCTTCGAGCTCTCGAGGCAAAACATGTGGTTCTACTAGTGATCCCTCCATGGGAGGCCGAACCACCCATAAGAACGACAAGCCAGAGCTCAAAACGCCATGAGCGATCTCCTCCATCTGCTCTTGCTTCAAGTTGGCTATAGTCCCAAAAGAGATGTAAACGACTGAAGATGGTTCTCTCGAGTCAAGCCACTCTATGCAGTCACTCGCTGGCTCAGAGATATCTCCCTTAACGTCAGAGCTTATGGTTTCAGCCATCTTGAAGAGCGGACCGACAGGGCTGATGATGGCTTGAGGACAAAGGTGTGACATGTGGTCGATGATATCTTTTTCAAGTTTGCGGAAAGTGTCTATGAAAAGATAGAAAGGCTTGTCGTTTTCGAGTCGCTTGAACTGGTCTAAAATGACTTCTCCGTAAGGTGTATAAGGAGACGAAGTGTGAAGAAAACTTGGGATCTCGTCATGCTTTAACAATGGCAAGCAAGGGATTTCAACGTCGATGTCCGGCTCGGTTTTGGTCGGAAACTTAACTAACCCGCGGTGGTAATAATAATAAGCAGAGAGACATGTGCAAGACTGGACCCATAGAACAGCACAAGGAATTTGAAGCTCCTCGGCCACGTCACATACCCACGGCACATAAGCGTTGTTTATAAGACATGTCACCGGTTCCTTGTTATATCTCTTGACGAGATTCTTGATCTCTTGTTTTCCGACAGCTTCAATGTGTGGTCGGAAGGCATTGAAGTCGGATCTTTTTTTGTCGTCGTCAGTTAAGCCGTCAGAGAAGAACTCGAACCGGAGGAAACCTAGACCGACCGGTTTGAGCACGCCTTCTTGAATCTTGTTGGCTTGACGCATCTTTTTGCCCCATGGCTGCTCTGTGGTAACAAAGGTGACGATTAAGCCTTTAGAGGCTATGAGCGTTCCGAGACGAAGAAGAGGGCTTATGTGACCTTGGCCTGGGTAAGATACGAGCATTACATGAGGAAGAGGAGACGGTTCCATGGATTTCTATTTTCAATAAGAAGACGAAGAAGAGGGCTTATGTTTTATTTTCTTTACACTATCCAATTGATGTGAACTCAAAACTTAATACAAAATAACAAAAGAAAGTAGCAAAACGAGTGGCAAAAACTCATACACGTCTTCTTCCAAGTTTTATTTATCTCTTCGTACTATCTTGGATATATGATCTCTATTTGTTAGTGCCATACATATGTATTTCTTTTCATTGGTTCATTTTTCTTTTATATAAATACTCTAAAAACCTAATTAGAATGATCTTATGCTTATTTTAGATCTTGTTTAGCCTCTTAGGTTTAGATCCAATCTTTGTATGAATTTTAAATTTTTAGTTATTAATTCTATTTATCTTTTTAGATTTCTTATCTACTCTTTAATTATCATATGGTTATACAAAAATCAAACCAGTTCCTTTACTATCACTCTACAATTTGGACCATATGGATCACATCTTGAGACTGCTAACAAGAAACTTCCTCATGGAATGAGGCCGGTAAGGTGACCATGTTTTCCGTCAATGGCGCTTAGATTCTCCTTGATTTCAAAAATTTTCCAACACAAACCCACTAGATTCAGTCGTTTACGATAAAAATGTTTTAGAATGTTGAGACTTTAGATGTTTCTTTACCCTAAATTTTGTTCTCTTTTGATTTTTCTTAGATTAAAACATATTGTTTTTTGACAAGATGATGACAGAAATATAATGCTAATAAATTAGTAAAAGATTTCTTCATCTCTCTCTTAATCTTTAGTTGCATCTCTAATTTCTCTTATGTATATTGTCTTGTATTTAACATGATAAGTGATTATTAGCCTCTTCATTGGATCATTGGATGAGGCTAATATTATTATTTCTTTTATTTAGGTTGTGATTAATACTACATTTGATATGTCCATTCAAATTTAGATTTTAGGAATTTTCAGATACGGAAATTGTTGGTGAAAATGCCTCAACCAAACTTTTTTTATCCAACGAGAGATGATACCTGAGGTAATTAGTAAGCTAATTGGAGTTGATTACACGCTTTATTGTATCTTCGAATATTGTATGTTTTGAAGAGCTAGCTATTTGGTAACTAAACAATGATCGCAAGCCATTTATTCAAAGGTGATAAGAAGACAATACGTAATTATGTACGTGCATGAGAAGTAATGTAATCGAATTTAGATTAATGATAGATAATAAATATACAGTCATGATTAGATGAGATTGATGCGATTTATTCACTAAGAAAAAAGACGGATCGATACTATCTATAGAGAAGGTTGTGGTGGTACAACAAATATTTACGAGACATCATTATCACTAGCGTTCTCCGTTGTCTTCTCTCGTCACATGTTTCGTAACCAACTTGTCCACAAACTCTTTAAAGTTCCTATCAGATGATCCACCGTCCGCCACGGCGGTCTCCGCCTCCGCCTTCCACCTCCGAGCGTTTTCTCTCAGCTCCGCCGCTATTTCCCCAACGGTGGCCTCAAGCAGCTTCTCCGTCACAACCTCCCTCGAAACAATCTTCTCCTCAGCCGCTCCGCGGCCTAGTCTCACTCCTGTCTTGAAAACATCAACCAAGTAAACCGCATCCGTCACTTGATCTCCCCATTGCGGAAAACAAACAACAGGGACTCCGGAAGTTAAAGCTTCCATTGTCGAGTTCCATCCGCAGTGACTTAAGAAACAAGCAATTGCAGGATGAGCCAAGACCCTCTCTTGGGGACACCATTCCACGATTTTACCCTTATCTTCGAGCTCTCGAGGCAAAACATGTGGTTCTACAAGTGACCCTTCCATGGGAGGCCGAACCACCCATAAGAATGACAAGCCAGAGCTCAAAACGCCATGAGCGATCTCCTCCATCTGCTCTTGCTTCACGTTGGCTATAGTCCCAAAGGAGATGTAAACGACTGAGGATGGTTCTCTTGAGTCAAGCCACTCCATGCAGTCACTCGCTGGCTCAGAGATATCTCCCTTAACGTCAGAGCTCATGGTTTGAGCCATCTTGAAAAGCGGACCGACAGGACTGATGATGGCTTGAGGAGAAAGCTGTGACATGTGGTCGATGATGTCTTTTTCTAGTTCGCGAAAAGTGTCGATGAAAATATAAAAAGGCTTGTCGCTTTCGAGTCGCTTGAACTGGTCTAAAATGACTTCTCCAAAAGCTGTAAAGGGAGACGAAGGGTGAAGAAAGCTTGGGATCTCGTCATGCTTTAACAATGGCAAGCAAGGGATTTCAACGTTAATGTCCGGCTCGGTTTCGGTCGGAAACTTAACTAACCGGTGGTGGTAATAGTAATAAGCGGTGAGACAAGCGCAAGACTGGACCCATAGAACAGCCGAAGGGATGTGAAGCTCCTCGGCCACATCACATACCCATGGGACAAAAGCATTGTTTATAAGACACGTCACCGGTTCCTTGTTATATCGCTTAACGAGATTCTTGATCTCTTGTTTTCCTACAGCTTCAAGGTGTGGTCGGAAGGTATTGAAGTCAAATCTTTTTTCATCGTCGTCGGCTAAACCGTCAGAGAAGAACTCGAACCGGAGGAAACCTAGACCAACAGGTTTGAGCACACCGTCTTGAATCTTGTTGGCTTGACGCATCTTCTTGCCCCATGGCTGCTCTGTGGTGACAAAGGTGACGAGTAAGCCTTTAGAGGCTATGAGCTTTCCAAGACGAAGAAGAGGGTTTACGTGACCTTGGCCTGGGAAAGATACCAGCATCACATGAGTATGACGAGACGGTTCCATGGATTTCTAGTTTCTTTAAGCAAACTAGTAACTGGTTTTATTTTCTCTAGACTATCAAATTTATGTGAACACCAGTAGAAAATAACAAAAGAAAGTAGAAAATAACAAAAGAAAGTAGCAAAACGAGTGGCAAAACCATACACTTCTCTTCTTCTTTGTCTTTTACCTCTTAGTCGAATCTTGGACGATCTCTCTATTATGAGTCCATACATATCCCTTTCCACTGATTTCCATCAGTTATAAAGGGGAAATTTTCATCTTTTTATGTATGTTTGTTTTCATACTTTTATATAATAGGATTTGAATCATACTAAATCTCTCAAAAGAGAAAGACTTGGATTATCACCAACGAAGGCATTCACGTGAATTTGTATACAATTGAGACATCCCTAATCATCTAGGATGGATTAATCAAAATTACACAAATGGGTTGGGGACAAGTTATTAATTTCAGCAAGCCTACCCAATATTTGGTAACCTAAACCTAGGGGGACATGAACAATAACATGCATCACAAGAATCAAATCATCTACTATGACCTTTGATGTTGTTAAAGAAATTATTTAGTATGACATCAACTATAAATCACATGTTTAGTAAAATCTCAGGGAAAGATAACAAATAATTTAGTTAATACTTTAAATTAGTTTTAGAAACAAACATGATAAAACACTTAAATTTTAAATTTTGAATCGTTATAATTTTACGAGTCTTAAAAGATATTTGTCTCTCGCGTCAAAATTTATCAAATAGAGAAAGCAACATAAGTCAATTCAAATGAAGAACATAAAATAGCATCGTTATATTTAAATTTATGTGGTGCCACAACGACAACACTAGCAAAAAGCATTAAATTATATTATGATCCACTAGTTTTATTGGAATATCGTTCTTAAACTCATAAATTATATCACAGTTAAATAACTAAAAAGTAACGCAAAGAAAGATAAATCACATTCACTATCCCCAAATATGAGACATAATATAATTTTCACATTCCAATAAACTTTTAGAAAAATATTTAAACCCCTTTTTCTTTCTTTTTTTCGAAAAGATAAAACATGTAAGCACCACGATTTCGTTAAAACATGTTCTGATATCACATGTAAGAGTTTCCAAAATTTACAAAAGAAATTTAAGATAATTATTATAAAAAAATGAATAGTATTTAAGTCATCATTAAATACAAACCATTTGTTTTTCTTTTTTTTTATCCATTTTCGTAGTTTTGTCTTCTCACTTCAAAGTTGCAACTAAAAATAATCAATGCATCACAAAGTAGAGTGATAAGTCCCTTTTGGAAGATATAGATGTATCAGTCAAAGCAATATAATGGCAACCATATGGTATATTAAACTAGAAAGCTGCCCACGCGATGCGTGGGTTACATATTTAATATTGATTCTGAATAATAATAAAATTTGTATTAAAGTAATATGTTCGATTATTAATATAGTTTTTTGAAAAGAATTTTTTAAAATATTAACTTTTATGTTCCTTTTCGAAGTACTTTTGTGAATTGCTAAAAAATAAATTTTGTTCTTTTTTATTCATGGTGGTATGACATAAATATACGCCACTACTTTTTTTTAATTTACATAAAATATTTTATTTTGGAAATATATATATCATACCTCTTCATAGAGTCTCTTGTTTGCTGATTCACGATCCTTGGATCGGGAAAACGACCAAAATCAACTCCAACTATTTTTCTGCAACTTTTTTTAACCCAAACTCTGACCCCAGCACTTATCAACCCGAACTCAGACCATTTTTAAAAAACAAACCTAAACTATCAAACTGTTATCCAATTTCAACATAGTTTTTTTTTGTATTTGTTAATGTCGATTAGAATTGTAAAGTCGTAATTATATGTTCTTTTGTATCTGAATCATTCCTTTTATTCAATTGGCTAAAGGTTAAATAATTAAGGTTTGTTACATTATTTAATAACAGGTATATTTTAAAATTGGCTCACGATTACATAGTTCATGTTTGTTATTTAAAATTTATGTGGATTCGAGTTGATAATTGGGGTTGATATCCAGGCCCGGCCCAGAGGACAAGCCTCTGAAGCAACTGATTCGGGCCACAAAGTTTTGAGGGCCTTTTCAAAAAAAATTTTTGTTTATATATAGATATAATCTGAATTGTTCTCTAAGGCCTTCTAAAGAAATATTGTGGGCCTTTCCTATTCAACTAGAGACATAAAAGCTCAAGTAAAAAAAAAAAAAAACCTGAAATCTAGAGTAAAAAAAAAAAAACGACGGTAGAGTTTCTTGTTTCTTCTTTGACAGGATACCTTCTTACTGCTTCTTACTGTTACTGCTGCATATATGTGAGTTTTTCTTACAAGTGAAAATCATAGGGTTTGAGGTTAATTGTTAGTTTTGCTTTCAAATTTGTTGTTTTTTCCTTTCGTTTTTGTCAAATTAGTAAAATAGAGATGCAAATCTAATGATTTGTTAAATTCCAATTTTAAATGGATCGATTATTATTCTTTAGCTTTGTTAAGCTATGAGACAAACACCGAAACACTTCCAACAAATTTCAAATCCGTTTGTATTAAAAAATTGTCAAAGTTCAAAGTCTTATATAGTCATAATATCTTATAGCCACGATTACGAACAGAGAATACTTGATGTATCTTGACTTTTGGTTTGGTTTTGGACTTTTGGTTAGAATTTAGAAACCTTTGACCTCACAAACGTTGGTTTGATATCATGTATATTTGTTGGATTTACTTTATAATATTTTTCTTAGTTTTCTATTGTTCTTTAATTTTCTTTTGGACTTCTCTGTTTTTGTTTATAATTGTTTCACAGTTTTACTTTATAGCTTTTACTGGTTGTGTGTTAATTTTGTTTCTTTTGCTTGTTTCAGTCGTAGAAATATGGCACCATTGGCATTGGGAGTGAAAAAAAGCAAGCCACCTGGAATTAAAAGAAGTCAACCAACGGGACATGATAAAAGAAAAAAGAAGAAGAAACAACAAGCTTTCATCAAGTCTATAGCAGGTTCTATGTTCAAGTATGTCAAGAAAGTGGAGAAATCTGGTGAAAAATCTAAGAGAGAGGAGGAAAGTGAGCATCATGAAGATGTCAACAATTCTGGAAATCAAAGTGAGCATCATGAAGATGTCAATACTTCTGGAAATCAAAGTGAAGAGCATGAAGATGTCAATAATTCTGGAAATCAAAGTGAAGAGCATGAAGATATTTCTGACAATTCTGATCCTGCAAATTGGGGAGACATTGATCAAAGATTGAGAGATCAGTTGGTTAAAAATGGTCCTACGACAAGGTTGTCAAGTGATTATCGGTTCCCTAAAGATAGTATTGGTAGGCATGTTTATTAAGATGTGCGTAGGGCACTTAAAAACGTCGGGCCGGCACTGTTGATATCGGCCGTTTTCCCTCCTTGGATCTCATCAGAAGGTAGATCTTCCCAATCTCATGACTTTCCCTCGACAGTAAGCTTTACCTATTATATCCATATAATCCATAATAAAATTAGGAGATCAAAGGTAAAACATATTCATATTTATTAATTTTTTTGCTTAATTTTATCTATATATGTTAAAAATTAAAGAGAAATTTAAATAATTTGTGATAATGATTAAATTTAATAAAATAGCAAGGTGGTCCAAATGAGCAAAAACATATTTTATATATGTTAATCTGGGTTTTTCACATCTCTTTCTCGCTTCTGACTTAGCACAGCTAGTCAAAGCTTTAAAATCGGAGCTTCAGCACAAGGAGCTTCATGGGATTCTCTTCGATATCCTGAATTTATCTTATACCTTTGATGTTATTTCGTTTAGTTTCATTCCCCGTTTGCAGAACTCTGATGCCAATTCATTGGCAAAACAGTCTCTGGTTTCTCTTGTAATGGACCTGGCCCAAACCTAAGTTAAATTGAATCAGCCTTTGCACAAAAAAAATATATGTTATACTTAATTATAATCATATTTAATTTAGGAAAATGATTTCACATGATATAATAAATATTTTATTTTTGAAAGTTTATATTAAAAAAATTTAGTTCAGTTTTAATATATATATGTAGGTCATAAGAGAACAAAACTTTAATAAATATAATGTAATGCCGTTTACCTAAATACTTTAATGACATGTTATATTTTAACTGAATAAGTTAATTATGATATTCTATGCAATTACCCTTATCAAACATAATTCTTTTCAAAAATCCCATGAGCATAGAAAAAAAAAAAAAACCTTTGGTGGAACTTTTTAAATTTTTTGGTTGGATTTCATTGGGTTGGTTTTATGGAAACTTTGATAAAAATAAATACAAATTTTATATTCTTTCATATGATCTTTATTTCTTACTTAATTTGTATGATTAACTAAAAAAAATTGAATTCAAAACATAATCAAAGTCAAATGTTATACAATATTAAAAATCAGAAAACTATTTACTCGAGATATACGAAACTCAAGCGTCGATCCCTCTCAAACGTTGAGTAATTATGTAAAAGAAATAAAGAATGGCATAAACTATTTGATTATTTTTTTTGACTCATGGTCCCATTAGTTTTACGTATTCAAGAACAAAATCATCTTGAAACAACTTTACGTATTAAAAAAAAAAAAAACAAACTCTTAACTTTTTGATAAGTGATGTTGAGAATAATTACATAAATGGTTTTTCAATTTATATCATAAATTTTTTAACAAAGTTATGGTTTTCAAATTTATGAATACATATAGATCATAAGAGTATAAAAATTTAATAAATATAATGAACTGCCATTTATCTAAATACTTAAATTTATAATTACACTTTAACTGACCATAATAATAGATATAAAATTTCTCAATGTATGTATATAAATCTTATTGGTGAGTTGAAAAATAGAGAAACAATTAAAAAAATAGAACTTAAAAATAGAACACTTTTATGTAGAACTAATGGTGTTGGTGAAGCTAACTTGAACACCATATGAAATCACAAACCTAATTAACTTGAACACCAAATGAGAAAACTTTTGTAGATATTTTTATTATGTGGATGATAGCCTGAAATAAAGAGAAAGCAACTAAAAGTCAATAAAAATAAAAGAACGGACTGGAAAAAGCAAAAACTCTACAAGAGTTTTTTTAGCTTCACATGTGGGTAATATATACAAGAATTAATTGGATTTAATGTTTTGAATTAATTGGAGTTATTGTGGTTATCTGTTAGCCTAATGCATCAATTTATAGTTGTTTGACGTTACATATGTTTTAATAAGTTCATTTGTGGGTTTTACTTTGGGTAACTAATTCCAGAACAAAAAAAAAACACTAATATATTTCGGTATTAGAAGCCACATGAAAAGCGTTACTGGAGAAGAAAACTCTTCACAAACATTTATTTTGAAAAAAGGCGTAACACATGGAGCAATACATTAATATAATGCATGTTACTATATTTCTTTATTAAAATTACATTGACTGTTACATAAGTTAGGATTTCATTTACTGAGACATTAATAAAACAATATATGGGATGACATATTTAATTTAATAATTCCTGTAAATTATATTATACTATATAAATACATTAAATGTATTGTGTAATAAAAATTGTAAATAAATACTCCAACTTGGAGTTGTAAAAATGAAAACAAAAAAAAAGTGAAATTGGAAAGAAGAAAAAAAAAGACAAATTAGAAAAGATTAGAAATGTATTTTATGGAGATATTAAAATATTATGTAAGATAGAAAAATGAGGAAAAGAATTAAATTTAAAATAGATGCCAAATGTACTAATATTATGAGAAGTTTAAAAAATGTACTATTGTACCAATAGGATAAGTGGTGATTTTGAGAATAAATTGGTGTTATAAAAATTAAAACAAAAAAAAATAGTGAAATTGGAAAGAAGAAAAACAAAGACAAATTAGAAAAGATTAGAAATGTATTTTATGGAGATATTAAAATATTATGTAAGATAGAAAAATGAGGAAAACAATTAAATTTAAAAATAGATGCCAAATGTACTAATATTATGAGAAGTTTTAAAAATGTACTATTGTACCAATAGGATAAGTGGTGATTTTAAGTAGATAATAATTTTGGTAAAATAAATTAGATACAATTTCAATTTAAATACATGTCAAATGTACCAATAGGATAAGAGAAATATATTTTTTGGAATTAAATTGTAGGCACAAACTTTCACAACTAAAGATTTTAAATAAATTAAAACAAACATTGATGCAATGAAGGAGGACACATGTCACCAAAAGAGAGTGCCAAATGTCGCAATGGTAGGAAAAGTTAGAAGAAAACCTTCTCATATTATATAAGATACTCTTTAATTGATATCAGTCAATCTCTTTTATTTTCTTTTGTTTTTTCCTTTTCATGTTAGATTCATTGTCATTGTTTTGTCTTTTCACATTATTAAAGTTCCAACTAAGAATAATCAAATGCACCACAAAGTATATTAACAAGTTTTTTACATGATCTATAATCAACTTCTAAAATGGTAACAAAGCAGTCTGCAGTCTTCGACCTAACTAAATTCTCCGACATAAACTATTTAAGGTTAGCACCTGAACTAATTATAGGCAAGAATAAAATTGTCTTTTAGTTTTTTCTAATAATCACGAATTTGATCTCATCTCCTAACGTTAACATTGCTATCACTTTATTCGGTGATTACTGGACCATTTTCAACTAAATTGTCTCTAAACCTTTGGATCAAATGTCCCCTTAACTATATTTGTATCCGTGCCATCATCAAAAGATTCAACGTACCATTGTTCATTGATGCATAAAATTTAGTACATGGTAAATAATTTAAAATCTTAATCCGGTAGAAGTGTAAATAACAAGCATCGATATGATATTTACGACTTACGAGACAATATTAATGTTTGGCATTGTCTTAACATCAACCAACTTGTCAACAAACTCTTGAAAGTTCCTCTCCGATGATCCACCATACGCTACGGCAGTCTCCGCCTCCTGCTTCCACCTCTTAGCGTTTTCTCTCAGCTCCGCCGCCCTCTCTCCAACGGTGGCCTCAAGCAGTCGATCAGCAACTTCCTCCCTCTGAACAATCCTCTTATCAGCCTCTCCGCGGCTAAGTCTCACTCCTGTCTTGAAAACATCAATCATGTACACGGCATTAGTCACCTGATCTCCCCACTGCGGGAAACAAATCACAGGAACTCCTGAAGTTAATGCCTCCATGGTTGAGTTCCATCCGCAGTGACTTAAAAAGCAAGCAACCGCAGGATGAGCCAACACTTTCTCTTGTGGACACCATTCTACGATCTTTCCTTTCTCTTCAAGCTCTAGAGGCAAGACTTGTGGTTCTTGGTCAAACCCTTGTAAGGGAGGCCGAACAACCCATAAGCAGGACAACCCGGAGTTGAGAATGCCATGAGCAATCTCGTCGATCTGCTCTTGCTTCAAGTAAACCATAGTCCCAAAAGAGACGTAAACAACAGTTGATGGTTCTCTCGAGTCAAGCCACTCTATGCAGTCACTCGCTGGCTCTGAGATATCTCCCTTAATATCAGAGCTTATTGTTTTAGCCATCGTAAAAAGCGGACCAATAGGCTTGATGATGACTTGAGGGCAGAGCTGGGACATATGGTCAATGGTATCTTTTTCCAGCTCTTGAAAGGTGTCGATGAGAACAGAGAAAGGCTTGTGAAGTCGCTTGATCTGTTCTAAAATGATACCTCCCACAGAGGAAAACGGAGTGGAAGTGTGAAGAAAGCTAGGGATCTCGTCATGCTTCCACACTAATGGCTTGAAAGGGACGTCAACGCTGATCTCCGGCTCGGTTTCGGTCGGAAACTTAACTAACCGGTGGTGGTAATAGTAATAAGCGGCGAGGCAAGCACAAGACTGGACCCAAAGAACAGCTGATGGGATTTGAAGCTCCTCGGCTATGTCACACACCCATGGAACAAAAGCGTTGTTTATGAGACATCTCACTGGTTGCTTCTCATATTTCTTGACAAGATTCTTGATCTCTCGTTTTCCGGAAACTTCAAGTGATTTGAGGAACAAATCAACGTCGTCTTTGTAGACAAATCCATCTTCGAAGAACTCGAACCGGAGGAAACCTAAACCGACCGGTTTGAGCACACCGTCTTGGATCTTATTGGCTTGACGCATCTTCTTGCCCCATGGCTCCTCTGTGGTGACAAAGGTGACGATTAAGCCTTTAGAGGCTATGAGCTTTCCGAGACGAAGAAGAGGGCTTATGTGACCTTGGCCTGGGAAAGATACGAGCATCACATGAGTTAACGACGATTCCATCTCCTTGTTTTTGTCTTCTTTAATTTACACTATTTCCAAGTTACATAACTTTGATTTATGGAAGGTTGGGTAGAGAGGCCTGTCCACGGCCGGCATATTATTTTTTAAACAAATATTGATATTAAATATAGAGAAATATCTTAAAATAGAGCACTATTAAATTATTATTCTGAAGATACTATCATTAGTTTATTTTCTAATAATACCATAAAGTTTTGTATAAAAATATTTGTTCAACCAAAATAAAATCAAAAAATGATATTTGAATATTCATAAGATATATATTCTCACCATTTTGAAGAAACTTGATTCATTTTAATATTGAAATTAGTGGTATTATTAGAAGAAGACAAAACTAACTATGATATTTTTGAAACAAAAACTAAAAGCAAGTACAACGAGAGTCTTTCACCATAGTCTTTCATTTACAAAAAAGTAATAAAATAATGAATAGTATTATTTAATTGTGAGAGTCTCTTAAAAAGATGGAAAAAATCTCTCATTTTCTCTCATTCGAAAGACACTCTCCACCTTTTTTAGAGTCTTTCACAAAAAATAATACTATTTACTATTTCTTTTGTAGATGAGAAACTATAGTGAAAGATTTACATTGCATATGCTCTAATGTTTTGGTCACTTTATTTATCGATAAACTAGAGCAGAACAATTAATCACTTTATAAATAGTTAAATGTTCTGGTGTTTACAAATTTGACAAATGAATTCATATTATTTTAGTTATTCAGAAAAATACTAATAATGGTATTATAATGGTATTAAAGTACTTGAGCAGATGACCTACTTGAAGAGAAAATATTATAATGGTATTAAAGTACTTGAGCAGATGACCTACTTGATTTATTTTTCAACGATTACCAACTCTGATTATCTATATATACATTTTTGGAGTACACTTAGCAAATAAATCCTAGAGTTTCACCTTATTTACGAGTCCATGCCATTGGCATTTATTATTTAGTTTTACAAAATTTAAATAAAGATATTAACCAAACGATATCTTGCCTAATTTGTTTCTAAAAATCTCTACATAATCTTTCCATATTTCTTCAAAAAACAATTCCGTGAATTTTACTCCACAAAATATGCATAAAACCAATTTATAGCAAATATTTATATTAACATTTTGCATAACAATAAAACTACTAATTTCTAATAATCAAAATATTCACATAGAAAAATCATATAATTTATATAATAAATTTAAAATATATATATTAGTAGTATAAATTTAAAATCATTCAAGGAACGGTATACCACGGGTGAGATCCTAAAATTATTGGATTTTATAACAATAATAATTTATTTTCTTGGATTTTATAACACTAATAATTTAGCCAACGGGATAATATAGATGGGTTTATATGGGATGACGGGTTTGGGTCGATATTAATAAAGAACGGTATATCACGGATGAAATCCTAAAATTAACAATCAAAATACAATTATACAACCTTAAACACAAAACAAAACATACAATATTAACAAAACAAATACAACTTAAAATTTAAAAATTTTAGTTATAAAAAAATCGACCCACCGTATACCGCGGAGTAAAATATTCAAAATTTTAAAATTGACCATACATCGTTACTTAAAAAAATTTATGTTTTCGTATCTATACTTCAAAAATTAAAACCTAAACAATAGTAATCATACACTAAATAATACATAAATAGATATTTACATTTTAAAATACAAACTAATATGATATATCTTCAATTAATCTTTTAAAAAATAACAATACATTTTTTAAAAAAATATAGCCCCGCGGTGTACCGCGGGTTAAATTCTAGTAATGGTATTATAAATATAAAACCACGAGATTAGCGATCTTCATAATCACCCAATAAAAGAACTCTTTTATAGTAATATTAAGAAATGATGTTAACGGTTGACCAAAAAACAAAAATTAACGAGTTTGGACCAAAACATGTGACTCGATTAATCATTAATCTGATAAAATTGTATGAACAGATCACTTATTATTTTTGTCGTTAACTCCCTGAGCTTTCCCACAAAAATCAACTTTCCAACGAACTCTAAGACCATCTCCGTCTCCAGTCTTAGACCATCTCCATTCTTAGAAGAAAAAACTAACACTGTGTGGATGTCTCAAAAATATTATTTTAATCATTTTATAATAAACAAGTTATTTATTTAAATTATAAATTATAAAGAGAGAATTTGACCAATAATATACAGACAAGTGCAAACACAGTTTCTCAAAATTTCTTAAACCAGAAATGTGTCTACACTCTCTCCTACTTTTTCTATTATTTTTTATTTTTTTAATTTTCAGACACTTTTCAAGACACTACTATTGGAGATGCTCTAACATTATGCATATCGAGGTGAAATTATTAATTATTAATTGTAATTTTTTTTAATAAAAAAATCTAATCCGATCTAATTTAATATGATGTGAGATCAATTACGATGTGCTCATTGAGATTCAGATTTGGTTTCGAATAAATTGATTTTTAAAATTTTAGATATTTGGATTTGGATCTTTATCAATTAAATGTAAATTTAAAATATGTTAAATTCTAAAATGATTCTTCTTTCTACTATAATGATTTTTTCTTCTTCTAAATTGATGTCTCCACGTCTAGTTTATGGTCTCCACTTCTTTTTTAAATGGGGAGAAAAGTGTAGCTAGGTTTTGGGTTTATGAATCGGATCGACCTAGTTGTAGGACATAAAAAGCTTTATGAGGCTTGCTTTTGGGCACTATGAGTGTGGTCATACTTACTCATACTGTCCATTCGACATCTTGGTCGAGAAAACATACGTGAACGTCTTCCTGCACAAAGGCATGAATTGTCTTATCGGCTTCCGTTGATCAAATATTAATAGATCTACCTGCTAGAGATCTAAGAAGTGACTCGTATAGGCTTAACTTTCAGAGACACCATTATGCATGGCAACCCTATTTCCCTTTTTGGAAAGCCAAAACTTTTGTTGCTTACTCTTTTAAAGATATTTATTACTTGGCTTGCCTTGTACGAATAATAAAAATTAGTACTTGTGTTTGGCTTGTTAAAAACGAGTATTTGTAATTTCAAGTACTTACTAAAAAATGAATGACTTGCGAGTTACTTGCCTTGCCTTATTACTTGCAAGTAATTTGCAATTAACACTTTCAAATTTTTTACATATTTAAATTTTACTTTATTTTTGACGTAACGTTTAAATATGTTCTTAAAACTAATATAATATGAAATATATGTATATAAAATGGTAAAACAATAACGAGTAACGGGTCAAACAAGCCGAGTATTATTTTTTTTTACTATAATTGTTACTTGGCTTGTACTTGTAAGTATCTAAATTATACTACTTGGTACTTACTTGCTTTGACAACAATGAGTACTTGTTTTTTCAAGGCGAATACGAGGCAAGTAACGGGTACGAGACGAGTAAGAGTAATATGCCCAGCCCTAACGTCCGCCGTGACTGAGGAGCATGTCCGTTGTCTCTTGCCGTTTAGATATGTGCATCCTTGCCCCACCACCACCGTGCTTCACAGCTTCACCATTGAGCCACCAACTACCAGCCGTAAAACACAAGGATGAGGTACGCCGGAAAACCACAGAAAATTAGATTGCCGTCCTCAAACAATATGCGCCTCGTGGATAGAGATCCAATTGTCAGATGATGCTGACTCGTAGCGTCGCCACCACCAAAACACGCTTAAGGGAAGGATTCTCGCCGGAGGAGTTGATTGATTCGTCACGAAACTTCCAAAATCACCATATGTATGACTTGACTGGAATAAAATCCGACCAAAGGAAAAGGAAAGGATTCCTCTCCGATCACCAGCAAGGAGCGCCGAGAATCGGAGAGGAAGATCAAAAAAAAAAGTTTTTGCTGCCGAGAGAAGTGAGAAAGAAAAAAGAAAAGAGATAGTTTCTTGAGAGATTATTTGTGTTACACGAAATAACCAAACTAAGCAAGCAGGAAAATAATCTCTAATATATGAAACAAATTTATTATGATAATAATGTTACCATCTATTTTTACACAAATGCCAATATATATATAAGTTGGCAAAAAAAAATTAATCATTTTATCAAATTAACTTCTAACAATAAAAAAAATATATTACTATTGTAACATGGCTATTTGTAAAAGGATTTTCTCTTCAAAATATTTCGAAATAATTTATTTTTCTTTGAACATTTTAGTTGGTTTCTATCAGTTAATTTTTTTTTTTCTACTGATATTTATAATTCTTATAAATAAATTACTAAATTAGATAATATATACATACTGTAGTTCCAACGTATATCAATATCTATCCAAAATTGGATTTCTTGGTTGACGTTGCCCAACCAAAACTCTCAATTTCCCCAGTGGATTACTCTTACATTCCCAAAGTTTCAATTTTTCTGAGCTTCAAAAGATCCAATGGCTTCATCTGCATTTGCTTTTCCTTCTTACATAATAACCAAAGGAGGAGCTTCCACAGATTCCTGCAAATCAACTTCTCTGTCTTCTTCTCGATCTTTGGTTACAGATCTTTCATCGCCATGTCCGAGACCCAACAACAATTTCCATGTAAGCTTACTTCTCTCTTCTCTGCTTCATCGATGGAACTTGATTTTAGGAACTCTGAGATTTTGTAGTTGCCCATTTGGTAGAATCTAGAATTGAGTAATGGGTTTACTTCATTTTTGACAAAAGTCAGAAAATCCGAACCTTTTACTATGTTAGTTTATTGAAATTGAAGATGAATTAGACCTATAATTTGCCTCTGCGGTTCTAATTTCCGGAGAAAAATGACAGCTTTTGTTCTCCAGACCCATCTCTTCCGGTCCCAAACACCAATCTGCAAAGTCCGCTAAACCGGATTCTCCAGTTCCCAGAAACTCGTTAACCGATGCCAAACAGGTAAAATTCATTACTTTGATTGACATATTATTGTGTCTTCTCGATTTCATGAGTTTATTTAGTGTTCCATTGTAGTTACAATTCTGTACATTGTGCCAATTTCAATTTTATATGTTTGATCATGTTTATATTGACACCGTTTCTTTAAGGTTTGTGCAGTTGGTAGGAGAAAGAGCATGATGATGGGCTTACTCATGTCTGGTTTAATGGTTTCAGAAGCCAATCCTCTAACAGCATTTGCTTCGACTTCAGTGTTTAGAGAATACATAGATACATTTGATGGATACTCTTTCAAGTACCCTCAAAATTGGATCCAAGTCCGAGGAGCTGGCGCTGATATATTCTTTAGAGACCCTGTTGTCCTCGACGAGAATCTCTCAGTCGAGTTTTCTTCGCCTTCTTCCTCAAAATACACATCACTTGAAGACTTGGGTTCCCCTGAAGAAGTAGGAAAGAGAGTACTTAGACAGTACTTGACTGAGTTTATGTCCACTAGACTCGGGGTTAAGCGCGAGGCCAACATTCTAAGCACTTCCTCCAGAGTTGCAGATGATGGTAAACTCTACTACCAAGTCGAGGTAAACCAAAGTCAATGACCAAACCGCATCCTAATTCTGTGAAATCAACTGTCTCATGTTTCGGTTAATTTGCAACTGTGTAGTGATGTGTAGTTCAGTTGAATTCAAATCCTAAATTATGAGTAACAACATGATAGGACGTTTGATAGTTAAGCTTGAGTATAGGGAGAATGTTCTTGTGCATATTGCTGTAACAATGTGTGAAGCTTTAGGTGAATATAGACAGAACCGGACCATTACATTTGTCTTATTGATTTTGAGTTGCAGAAACAATAGTTTTCTTCAGCTGTCGTAGTGTTGCAACATGTCTTGGTCAATCATAAGAATAGTTTTGTCTCGGTGTTGGTGTTGCAACATGTCTTAATCAATCATAAGAATAGTTTTCTTGATCAAACATGTCTTAATCAATCATAAGAATAGTTTTCTTGATCAAACATGTCTTGGTGTTGCAACATGTCTTGATCAATCACAGTGTTTTAGAGCTGCATAAGAAACAATAGTTTTCTTCAGCAATCATTGTACTTCAGGGTCGGTTCATTTGAAGTTGCAACTTGCATTTATGTTTAGCGATAATATATGACCAATCACGTAGCTCATAAGCTACATTGGTTTTGGATGACTAAACAGGTAAACATAAAGTCATACGCAAACAACAACGAGCTAGCTGTGATGCCGCAAGATAGAGTGCCTCGTTTGGAATGGAACCGGCGCTACCTTGCAGTCCTAGGAGTTGAGAACAACAGACTCTATTCAATTAGACTCCAAACACCTGAGAAAGTTTTCGTGGAAGAAGAAAAAGATCTAAGAAGAGTCATGGATTCGTTTAGGGTCGAGAAGATTTAGAATAACTCACATTCTCCATAAGTTTCTTCTTATTCCAAACCAAAAAATCTTGTTGCTGACTACTTTTGATTACCAATCAAAACGATTTTGATTCAATTTATTAAGATGTCATTATGACATGGTTGAGGAATATTGTCCACTGCCAAAAAGAAGAGTAAACCAGTCGATAAATTTCGATAAATTGAAATGAACCGGTTAACCAAAATTGAGAAATTATTACCGGTTATCTCTGAAGCTCTTTGGTTTATTAAGGCATTGACAAAAACCCTCACCGGAGAAAAATAAAGTAGAAGACGACGACGATGGTGGGATTTGAGAGCTATGTGGTTGTTCACAACATAGCAAAGCGTCACAACGTCGGAACTTTAGCTCGTAGCGCCACTGCTTTTGGTGTGACGGAGCTAATTCTCGTCGGTCGCCGTGATTTCAACGCCTTCGGTAGTCATGGTTCAGCTTCTCACATCCGTTTCCGCCATTTTCATTCACTTATCGAAGCTCGCAACTATCTCAAGGTCTTAATTTCACTTTGAATTATACAAATTTTGGAACTTTCTTTATGGGTCTTGTCATTACTGGATTAGGGTGTTACAAAGTTTGAGTCTTTTTGTTGTTTGGGTTGATTACTTGAAAAGGAGGAGAAAGATTGCGATATTTGCGGCGTTGAGATTGCAGATGGAGCTTCTGCTGTTAATGAACATCCTTTCAAAAGAAACACTGCGTTTCTTCTCGGTAATGAGGTAATCAAAAGATCTGATTTTTACTAAACTTTTTGAATGTTGCAATTTTGGTTAAGTTTGTGAACTTAGAATATGGATCTCTAGTTATGATATATACTGTTCTAAGTACATTGTTTGCTATCAGATCATGATCTGTAGTCAGTTTTTATCTGTGAACAGTGAGAAATCAGGTAGATTTATTGGAACTTTAATGATTTGAAAGACATTTTGTGCTACAAGAAATTGGGATTTGAAAGACATTATTTGCTATGGGATGATGATCTTTAGTCGATTTCATCTGTGGACAATGAGGTAACAAGTAGATTAAGAGAAACTAGAACACCGGAAATTGGATCGAAGTGATCTCAGAGTTAGTTAACTTCTCCACCTTTCTTATGTGATCCGCTCTCACTATTCAAAGGCTATTGTCCATTTAATTACAAACTGCTTATTTTGGCTTCAATGGTTATAGTCTAAATGGTAATTATAACTTTATAAGCATTCAAGATTTTAACAAATCGTTACTAAAGGACCAAGTTTGGGCTTTGTGTAGGGATCAGGATTATCTGCCAAGGAATATGAAATATGTGACTTCTTTGTATACATTCCTCAGTATGGCTGTGGCACTGCCTCTTTGAATGTTACTGTTGCAGCTTCTATTGTTTTGCATCATTTTGGAGGTATTTTGCTTTCTGTTTTTTTCCCATTTTTTGTGCTGATTAAAATTGGAAAACACTTTGATGGAAAGCAAAATGAGAGAGAATAGTAACTTGGTGTGACTGCCTAGTCATATTCAGTATAGGTAATGATGATAGTGTTGGTTGCTTAAAAATAGCATTGTTTTGTTACAGTTTGGGCTGGATTTTCTGAGCGTGTCCGGGATGGGAGTAAATTTATTGTGGCTGATAGACCTGTAAAACAAGGAAGACGGAATTTCTGTGCTGGAACAGAAGAATCCATCATTGAAGAGCGGAAGTTGAGGAAAGAAAGTGCAGAAAATGGGTTTTTTGATGAGAATGAAAATGGAAATGGAAGTTCATCATCCGACCTTTTGAATGGTTTGTTCCTTAATGAATAATTGTCTTTGAAAAAGATCAAAGTCTTGATTTGGGGGTAAATCCTGTGCAAGCTCAGGAACACCCCCTTTAATATATATTACCAAGCGAAGTCAGGTCCCTGCACCTTTTTTATTCCTTTAGTTACCAAAGCCTCTAATTTTTGTTATTCAAGTAGAGAAAGCTGAATACGTGAACTGATTACTTGATCTTTATTTGTTGATTTGCCTGTGGTACGGTTATGAACGTCTTTGAAGATAATTTCAGGCGGTAGAATCTCATTGCTCCGTCTTACATTGATCTTTAGTTCCTCCCATTTCCACTAGGCATTATGATGGTGTTTGTATTTGTTTCAAAAGAAAGTCAGGGAGATCACATTAAACATCCTTGAATACATTCCTTAACTCGTAAGAGTTATTGCCGCTAAATTTCAGGGCTTGTCGCTTGCACTAACAGTCATTGGAGGGGCATTGTCATGCAAAAGGACAGTGCATGTATGCGCTAAATAATTTAACTTCACCAAACATGGGTTTCCAGGTACGACTGATGAGATTCATAACATGTTAAAAGATTTAGCTACAACAATACCTCTTAGCGAGTTGCTGATATTTTAAACAAGTTGGAAAGTTTGATGCACCTATATTTAGAGCTCAGAAATCACAACGGAGCTTCCAAGAATTGATTGAATATCATTTTCAAGGAAGTTGCAAGTGTTGAAATTACTTGGTTCCAGATTTAGTTCTTATTTTACATTAAGCGAAATAAGAGACTTGGAAAATTTAGAACGTTTGGCCATTAGTGTAGACAATGACAGTTGTTGAAATATGCTTCAGAGCTATCGTATTCTGCACTTCTGTAACTTTTGGCCAAAGTATAGACGGTGCAAGTTGGTCTAGAAGATCATTTCGTCGGTAACGCGGTATGTAGAGTTCCTTTTATTTTTATTCTAATTCAGTTTGATTTTTTTTTGTATTTTTTTCCGGTTTATGTAATATCTAAATTACAAAAGAACTTTGTATTTGTTTCGGTTTGATATAATTTTGGTTTTGAATTGGATTTTTGTTGACAAAGTCTTTTTTCAATTCAAGAGATTTCAATGAACTGAAGATTTTAAGAAATGTTCTGTTATGGTATTTGTTCGGATATAGTAAAAGTAAAACTGCATCATTTTATATACTTTTCGGTTTGATTTAGAAATTTGTTTTTGGGGCACATTTCGGTTTGGCACATCGGTTTAACCGGAGTGGATGGAGAAATGTGCTCTTGATATTTGATGGTCTACCATATTGTGAATACAAAATTTCTTTAGCAGTTTCACAACTAGCGGTGTTGAATGCAATGAAATCTAACACCTGACTTTCATGGAAGCTGCTAAGGAAATTGCGGTCTACTTTTTTCATTTTTGATTAAGTCAGGAAGGCACCATTGTATTCTTTCTCCTCTCCTCCATTTAGCAGTCCCTTCTCTAGAATTGTTTACTAGATTGTCCTAACAGTTTGAGAAAGATGGGAAACTGTGTATCACTATCCCTTGATCAACTCTTGATTCATGCCTGTGGCTGCTTTTTTGGCGATGGAAATTACATTCACATGATGGAGGCAAATCTTGAGGCATTGCAGAAAACTATGAAAGAACTCGAGCAAAGACAAGCTGATCTGCTAAGAAGAGTTGACATGGAAGAAGATAAAGGTTTGAAACGGCTAGCTCAAGTCCAAGGATGGTTTTCAAAGGTGGAAGGTATTGGACCCCAAGTCAATGATCTGCTTCAGGCTAGAGCAACTGAAACTAGAAAACTGTGTATGTTCGGATATTTTTCTAAGGATTTCATATCAAGCTACGATTATGGTGAAAAGGTATTCAAGAAGTTGAAAGAAGTTGAGGGACTCCTATCCAAAGGGGTTTTTGAAGTTTTGGCAGACAAAATTCCTCCATCGAAGGGGGAGAAGAAGCATATCAAAACTACTATTGGTTTGGATTCAGTGTTTGTAGAGTCATGGAACTGCCTCATCAAAGATGGACCAAGAACTTTGGGTCTTTATGGTATGGGTGGAGTAGGAAAAACCACCCTCTTAGCTCGCATCAACAACAAGTTCGTCGAAGAGGTGAATGAATTTGATGTTGTGATGTGGGTTGATGTCTCTAAAGATTTGCAAAATGAGAGCATTCAGAAACAGATTTTGAAAAGGCTACGTCTTGACAAGGAGTGGGAGCACGAAACAGAAGAGGAGAAAGCCTCTTCCATACACAATAACCTGAAGAGAAAGAAATTTGTGCTGTTATTGGATGATTTGTGGAGCGAGGTAGATCTGATCAAGATAGGCGTTCCACCTGCCACTCTAGAGAATGGATCCAAAATAGTTTTCACCACTCGTTCAAAGGAAGTTTGCAAAGACATGAACGCTGACGATGAGGAAAAACTTGATTGTTTGTCACCGGATGAAGCGTGGGAATTGTTCAAGAAGACAGTTGGAGAAGTCCCATTAATGAGCCATCAGGATATTCCCGCAATTGCAAGAAAAGTTGCAGAGAAGTGTTGTGGTTTGCCACTTGCACTCTGTGTCATTGGAAAAGCCATGGCATGTAAAGAGACTGTACAAGAATGGCGTCATGCGATCAATGTTCTGAATAAGTCAGGCCACGAGTTTCCAGGTATGGAAACAAAGATACTTCCCATTTTAAAGTTCAGTTATGATAGTTTGAAGGATGAAAAAGTCAAATCGTGCTTCCGATATTGTTCTTTGTTTCCAAAACATTATGGCATCAAGAATGAGGAGTTGATAGAATATTGGATGTGCGAAGGATTTCTAGATGGGAATGGAGACGAAGATGGACCTATCAACCAAGGTCATGATATAATTGGTTCGTTACGTCGTCAACATTTGTTGATGGATTGTCAATTCTCCAGAGAGGAAGTGAAAATGCATGATGTGATACGCGAGATGGCCCTTTGGATAGATCAAGAGACACACTATGTGAAATCTGGTGCGAAGTTACGGCAGATACCAAAGGACATAAAATGGGAAATAGTGAGAAGGATCTCTTTGATGAGTAATCAGATTGAAGAGTTATCTTGCAGTCCAAAATGTCCCAACCTTTCGACCCTATTACTCCGGAATAACAAGTTGGTGAGTATATCAGGTGAATTCTTCCGGTTTATGCCAGCACTTGTGGTCTTGGATCTTTCAGAGAACAAGGAGCTTACTGGATTACCAGAAGATATTTCTAACTTGGGGTCCTTGCTATATCTTAACTTATCAGACACACGGATAAAATCGTTACCAGTTGGTCTGAAGAAATTGAGGAAATTAATCGACTTGAATCTGGAATGTGCTCATGAACTTGAAAGTATTGATGGGATAGCAACAAGTTTTCCAAATCTGCAAGTGCTGAAATTATTATGTTCCGGAGTTTATGTTGATGAGAGATCAATAGAAGAGCTACAACGCCTGGAGCACTTAACGCTTTTAACAGCAACCATAAAAGATGCCAAGATTTTGGAACAAATACAAGGAGTTGAACGATTGGCGAGTAGTATCCGAGCTTTATGTCTGAGATATATATCTGCAGAGGTTATAAAACTAAACGCAGTAGCTATGGGTGGTCTTGAACACTTGTCAATTCACTGCTCCAAAATCTCTGAGATTAAGATAGATTGGGAAAACAACGAAATAGGGGAGGTTCCAGGCTTCAAGCAGCTCTTCTCCGTTGATATAGAATATTTGGAAGGCCCGATGGATTTGACATGGCTGTTGTTTGCTCAAAATCTCAGGGACCTGTGTGTGGAGAAGTCACCAAACATAGAAGAAATAATAAATAAGGAGAAAGGAATGAGTATTACCGAGGTGCATCCACATATTGGTGTTCCCTTTGGAAAGCTGGAATTACTTCACTTACGTGATATGGTTGGGCTTAAGAGAATCAGTTTAAATCCTCCAGCTCTTCCAAGCCTGAAATCATTGATTGTCAAAAGCTGTCCAGAGCTTCCCAAAGCTGCCACTGTGTTCCCGAGACCTTGATATAGCGTGTCCTGCATCTAGTTACTTACGATTTGGTGTTGTGTTTTCCTTTCTATCTTTAGTTTCCTATTCTCAAATGTATTTGCTTCTTTCAGTTTATTTCTTCTAGGATTTGAGTTCTTAGGCTCTTAAGATACCTTTGTTTCGTTGTTTACTCACCTTTGCTTTGCTAATCAATAAAAAAAGAAGAGGAAACTCTTGTTTCCCATGAATCCGGACATTCTTTAAGAGTTCAATGGCTTTGTGTAGGTTTGGTTAACATGAATTCGAAAAATTTGCAGAGGAATAGCGGATGGATGGGTTTAGAATGGGAGAACTAAGCTCTTTAGCCAGGAGAAGATTTCGCGCCTACGACTACATATCACAGGTGCCTCTCTTTCTCCCTGGCTTGATTTCCTCACTTACTTCTTATTTTGGTTTGAGTTTGTGGGCTGCTTTTGTTTCAGTGACATTGTTGTCAAGTTGCATTTCTTATAGTTGGAAACTTTTATTTCCAGTAACTATAAATTAGAATTTCGAATCGAGTTTCTCTTATTCAATTTAGCTTTTATCAACAGAGAATATGAATCATGTGACTTCTTTGTCTACATTCCTCAGTATGGTTGTGGACCTTGTGGCATGCCTCCTTGAATGTTACTGTTGCAGCTTCTATTATTTTGCATAATTTTTGGAGTTACTTTTGATCCCCCTCTCTCTTTTCTTATGCTGTTTTAAGATTGTGAACCACTTTAATGGAAAGCAAGTTACAGAGAACTCGGGGTGACTTCTCAAGTCATATAAGAAATGGTGATTGTGTTGCTTGCTTAAAAACAGCACTCTTCTGTTACATTTTGGGCTAGATTTTCAATGCAAAGGCAATTAACGAACGTGTTTCAAGATGGGTAGAATCCCATTGCTCTGTCTTACATTGATCTTATTTCTTACATGATTTTCTCAGACTTGTCATCTTTAACTCAGGCTCGTATATGTATTTGGGAAACAATGGTTATTTTCAGGACATATTTAACATCCCAACAACAATGCTCTTTATTTTATTATTATTAGCAATTCAATTATCACATGAAGGGTTTTATATAGTCTACTTTCTTTAGAAGGA